TAACCGATTCCGATGGTAGCAGTGCATAGAAGCATTACTGCCAAGAATACGCTGCTCATATGGCTGGACTGCTACAGCACACCTTTGACGCAGTGGATTTCGAGCATCAGGGCTCTTTTTTCGCCTCCGCTCCCGAATAGCTTGCACGCCAAGTACGCGTACGACTGACATGATATGACATGACATGACACGAGCCCACCCCCTTCAATTAGACTAGGCATTTCCCCCGAGATTTGTCGGAATGTGGGTGCTGATACCTGCACATCTACAGTTTGGGACTGTTTCCCTCGGCCGATATCTCATATCAAGCGTGGGTCACCGCCCGCCACGCTTCTTTAGCCTGCATGACGAACTCCAGGCGTCGAGATGAACTCCTTTTGATTCATCAGCCTTGCCAGGCAGCAAGCCCCTTTTCGCCCCTCAGCAAAGGTGCCCCTCGGATGGCCCCCTCAATATTGCTAGTCGTGTCAACCATTAGCGTTGACACCTGCTACAGTAGCACGTCTTGTTCCAGCACCGCGGCTAGTAATGAGCAGATTAGTCTATGGAGTTTTGACAACTTAGCTTGACGTTAAGGGAAGCTATCCGCCATATATGCGGAGTACTAGTCTATGATCTACCCTGAGATTCTGTCTGACGGATTATCCGATCATTACCTAATACTGGGATTCTCTAATCTCTTTGTTCTTTTAAAGTTGGATCTAAAAAACATCGCTGGCGTACTAGCACAGCTCAAACCTCTGGGGGGCGTGAACATAGAGATACGAGCAATGCGACGGACGGGATGAGGCAAAACATTGGCGTTTGCCATTTTTTTTTCTCTCGAAACACTTCCCGAAAGGCTACGGGGGGACTAGGCTAACCCGCAACAATGGGGGAGAGGATATACCCGGTGGCAAAGTCAATTCCTGTCAGTGGCAAAAGGTCTGGCGTTCCCTTCAATTAGAAAGGGCGCTAGGGAAGTTTTTTTTTCTTTCCTGCGCGGACGTTGTTTTCTGTCAGTTGTTCTAGCGGCCAGTCAAATTTGATAGATGGGTCAGTAAACCTTAGTGCATGTAACGGTCCTGAAATTTAAAAGTTGTGTGTTGTTGGAGGTGGTATTTGGGAAGCAGTGGAAGATGTCTTTATGGGGTTTGGGTTAAGCCAAGGCAATAGACAGTTATTGCAATCAGAGGTGGGAAGATTGACAGTCCATGTAATCCAGGGTGTGAACAGTTCATAGACAAGTCTTTTAGAGAACACGTAGTATTTCTCCAGTAGCCATCATGTTGATATTTGTGCATCTGGGCTCATCTATCTCGGCTGACTTGTAAATAATTCTTCAGTTTTCAGGCATATGACGAGTTGTGGTTCATGTCGTAAGTGAGATGTTGAGTCGATTATACAAAGCACCTATGATTATAAAAGTCACATTGTGTGTCTTTATGATTGTAGAAAAAAGGCAGAGAGAAAGGTCGTCCATCTAGAGTTCAGGGCCAGGGTAATTTCCTAGCTTGTAAACAACTCATGTGATGAATCAAGTCGTGGAAAATGATTGTTTGCTGCGACGTATAATAAGGAAAAATATAATTGCATGCTTTATATGATCGAGTACTTCAGCTAGATACGAGTTCCAGAGCTCTTTGTGCATCGTGCCGGTAGGTAGGTTTATTATATTCTCATCCATTTTCTCCTTCCATTCAGATGTTAATTTGCTAACGTGGCCAGTCACCGAGGCTTTGTATCATCTGAGAGCCTGTGGTCTATATGCATTGCACTTGGGTTGTCTGAGAGTTGTTTGAAGTTATATGCAGCTATTCACCATCATGTAGTCTTAATTCTTTTTTTTTTTTTTTTTTTGTGTGTTATCTCACATATATGTGTTGTTACAGCGCTGCATAGAAAACTGCAATTGATTCAATGTGAGCTTGATATGTTTACTATGAGAAAGAATACGGATTTCTCATTTATGAGGATGTACTGAGAATCACTAGCGACCAAGTATATGACGGCCTTTTACCACTCCGAGTCAACTTTGTTTATGGCGTTCACGGCTGGTGGGATCAAAAAGCCAGACCGTTAGGATGACTACATCGGTGTTTTTAGACACAAAGGGGATAGTTTGCACAAAATATCTCATGCTGAGTGGTTCATTGTGGTGTTGTAGGGACTTTTGATATTAACGAGAGACAAGTAGCCAAGAACAGTCGTAGTGTGAGTCAGATACTCAGGCATGAATTGACGCACGATACGAGTTAACTTACCGCCTTCAAATTCCATAAAGTAACCATCAAGGACAAATAGCTGATGACAAACATTAAGATCGTTCTTTGCTGTTAACCTCACTCATTTCAACAATAGTGTAGAGGCTTGGCGTGCTCTTGTCACACGAGCTGCTACCTTGCGATTACCTTCTTAATTTGAAAGGCAAGAAAGCGTTACTGAAGCAAATTAATAAGATCCCTGATAGTATTTGGACCTGAGACGGCAAATCTTGATCAAAAATGTATCATAGGCTATCCTTGTGAATGCGGTGCTTGTCAAATGACTCTCACCCGGTGGTGGTAGATGCTGAATGGGCACGAAAACCCATCATTGCCTGCCCTTTCTACGGGAAGCTAGCATAGGATCTGTTTGTTTCTTCAAAGAAGATAAAAAGAGAGGGGAGTGGATACGTTATCGTGCGTAGAATCGTCGGCGCGGAAGATTTGCCAAGGAAGCGCCGTTCTCATCGTATCCTTTTCGCTTTATCAAGCAGATAATGTATATTAATGGTAGAATCTGAGACGCGCATTCATTCTATCAAGGTGCGAGTAGATATAAATGGATAGGAAATGCATAAATGGCTCATCTCAACTAAATCACGATGCCGCGATATAAAGTACATCCTCAAGCATTATGAGCATAGCTCAAGAGAGCACATTTGTCAGCATATAACATAATCCTGACGCCCTCAGATTTGTTCTATACTACCTTCAACTTCCAGGCCATGAGGCCTCTCCGCTGTGAGATCCATCTCATCTTCCAAACATGAATCCAACTTCATCATCGCCAATGGCGAGGATCTCATGCATGATAGCAAGGCTCTGAGCGCTTGGTACGAGAAAGATCGCTCGCGCCGTGGTAGTATTAGTAGCTGTAATTGCAGGTACGTTGGTCAAGAAAGCACGGAAGAGAAGAAGAGGAACCGAAGATGAGAGCAAACGAGATGGTATCACCATGTAAAAGGGGGTTGAAGAGGCCTGACCGGGAGCGAATGGTGTCAACCAAAAATGATACCACCGGCTATCTTAGTGAAACGGACCGAACTATGAGCCGATGAATGCGTAGATAAGATCTTTCTGAATTATGTCGTAATTTCTGCGGATCCTCGCAAGTATCGTAAATCGTGCAATAGCCATGTAATGGAATTCTCACACCAAGGTTAAAGGACCACTTTGTTATATCTTTGACTATTCTTTGGCTCAAAGCAACAAACTATATAACACAATCCAATGAATTTGAGCTGTTGAAAACATATAAAGGATCAATCCGGTTTGAACTTGTGAAATTTCCCATCTATGCCGTATCTAAAATTTCCGACTCACTGCCATTTCCGTGTTGCCATCTCCTCTTTCGTCTTCTACCGTCGTTATTTCCCTTCCTTCTTAATTTTCGTCACAGATACTATCCGTATAGCTGAATCTATTGCATTTAAAGTCGTACGCAAGGTTATAGGCTGCTGCAGTTGTGTGACGAACAAGCAAAACCTTGTACGCTTACTATTGGGGGCTTAGGCCATCCGTGAACACACCAATCTCAAGAGCTATTGTTCGGGCCCTCATTCTAAATTGCAAGGCGACATACTGCAATGAGCTCTACAATCTTTGCGTAAATGGATGGAGATGCTCTCATTGCATAAGCAAAGCCTGAGCTATTTTTACTTTAGCCTTATTTCTGATGAGATATAGTCTATATATAAGCATATCTCTCGCCGCACTCCGTAAAGCTCCTCTCACAATATGAGACTGGCAATTTGAACGTTTTGTTCTGAATCTCATTCGTCGAGTATGACGGGCTGCGCCCCATGCTGTAAGGCAGTTATGATATGCACTATTTACCAATACAATGCACTCATCCGGCATATGACGTCTGCTGCGGGTGACTATACTCGTTTAAAATAGCTGCTTATTTTATAATAATCAACAAGCGTAAGCAATTCTTTCCCTCTTCAAACCCAAACTATATATGGCGTGTTACCTACGTAGCCTTGCATGTTGATGACTCAACAGGAAAATATCTAGTCTCTATCTTTCAGTGCTGCTTTTATCACGGCGACGTAAGCCGGAGCCTGCCTGTGCCATGAACCGACATGACCGAACGCGAGCGCCGTATGTGTGACACGCTTCCCCCGAGGATTCAGACACGTTGCAAGAAGAAAGGGTCAGAAGCTATTCCATATCAGCGGTTCCTCGGAATCGCGAGCCAGAACAATCTTTGCTGTCAAAGCTGAGCGTGGCTGGCCGGTGGCTGCGATTAGAAAGCCTGAGACGCAGGTATCGGGCTTAAGTCAAAAACCCGAGGTCTAGAGCACCAGATTGCCTTTATAAGCTCGCCGAGCGCTGGCTGCTTGGCTAAGAGTCATTCCTCCAATTGGCGGGAGAAGCATAATTGCCCGTTGACTCGGGGTCGGATGTCGGACTTCGGCACAAAAACGCTCCGCTCCCGGCTTAAGGAAAACGTGACTTCGCGTGAATACGGCGCGGACATTGGTAAGCCTGGATTGCTAGGGCCGGATTGACCTGGGTTGATGTTCACGTCACGGTTCTCAGAAGCTGTATCTGCCTCGTCTGGGTTGCGTGCACCAGAGACGAGTCGTGTGTTTCGGCCTCCAGCGCTATATAGAAGCTCTGGTGGCTTCTGTCGTGTCTCACCTCGCCAAACTGCCCTGTGACAGCCCGCCGGCCACGGATGTGACTCTCCTTTTTCCCGCCATGTCGTCGACCGATGCCGTGACCCAGGCCGACGCCTCCGAGGCGTCTATGCAGGGCACAGAACCCCTTGCCTGCGTCTCGTGCCGGGCGAGGAAGCTCAAGTGTGACCGAACGAAGCCTGCCTGTACTCGCTGCGTCAAAGTAAACAACGAATGTGTGTATCCCGAGTCACGGAGGAAGCCAACTTTCAAGCGGCGCAATGTCAAGGAGCTGGAAGCTCGATTAGGTATTTTATATCCGTAAAAAGGTCCATCTTAGTTATGCAAGCTTACTCATTCTTCATTAGCTCAAGTCGAAGAATACCTCAAAGAGGTCAATAGAGGAGGCCATGATGATGGAGCCATCATGCTGGACGAGCCTGACATTAACCTGGGCGACCTTCCATTTCCCGCTGATAATATCAGCCAGGCCAACACTTCTAGCACCGCATCAGATCCAAATCTGTCCTTTGACATTCCAAACTTTGCTGGCCAAGAGGATGGTACTGGCACCTTTATGAATGGTCAGTTAATGGGGCTAGGCATGTCTGAGACACTGCCTCCCTTTGAGGTGATTGAGGAATTGTAAGCTTGATATCTCTTCTCTTCGCCATCTCTTGGAAAGGGTGAATGCTAATAGTTGTAGGCACAACGTCTACTTCTCGACACATTATCACTTTCTTCCCATTATTCACTCTGGCCGCTACTATCAGTCATTTTATGGACCGCCAACGAGAAAACCACCAATGTGTTTACAGTACGGAATCTGGGCATACTCTGCTAGCGGTCATGCCAAGTACGACCAGTATGCCGAAGCTTTCTACAAAAGAGCACGGCAGTACATAGAAGCGGATGAGATGAGAGTGAGTCAACTTCTTTCCCCACCTATGCGCCATGTTCCCTAACTCAGTAATTCCAGAGCGACGGCGAACATTTTGTTACAGTAAATCACGCTCAAGCATGGGCCATCATTGCCAGCTATGAGGCTAAAACGATGTTGTTCACAAGAGCATCCATGAGTGCCTCTCGCTATGTTCGGCTTGTCCAGATGCTTGGGCTGGATAGGCTTGATAGAGAAGGAGATGATATTCCCCCTACGCTCGGCCCGATTTCTAACTGGACAGAGCTCGAAGAGCGGAGGAGAGTTTTTTGGGGTGCATTCGCAATTGATGCACATGCGAGCATGGCAACGGGCTGGGCAAATATGATTAAATCTGAAGATGTGAGAACTTATTGGCTCTATCGCTGCGAGATGATACTGACAGAATATAGGTCATGACGCGCCTTCCAGCCTCCGAAGAAGCATTTGTGTCAGGAAATGAAGAGAAAACCGTGTTTTTGGAAGAAGTATTTACGGGAGCGCCCTTTGAGAGCTTTTCTGGCGCCATTGTTATCTGCGAGGTCTTCAAGATTATCTTGCGACACGTGCACGGGGCAAAACCTTCTGATCACGCCGACGATCTGTTAAACGGCCAGTACTGGAAGCGCCACCGCGATCTCGACAATAAGCTATCGAGTCTTTTCATGTTTCTACCCGAGAAATTTCGCCTACCGCAAAGGATCGGAGACCCGGCTGCGGTGCATGCAAATCTGAATTTGCACGCTTCCATCATCTGCCTCCATCATGCTGCCATTGAGACTGCGGAGAAGTATGGCTTCAACGAAAACATTAAACAGAGCAGTCTATGCAGGCTAAGGGCTGCCGCCGAAGAGATTGTCAATATTATCAAAATGACGTCTCACCACACCTCATTTTTCGTACGTATTGTTTCTCTGACAGGCCATATGATATTAAACTAACCACGACAAACAGAAAACTCAGCTTTGTGCGCTCTCCTTGTATTGCGCTACGACTGTATACGTTTATCTGGCCAAGGATGATCCTGTGGCTGGCGTGACTCCCATCGACGTTTCTAACCTGGAAATCATTATCAACGCAATGGAGGCTATTGGTCGCATTCACATGGTTACAACGGCCTTCCTACAGCAAGCGTGTCTTGATATCGAGCGAAATGGCTTGACGTCAAGTCTCAAACTGCCATCTCTATCGAAATATCGCGACCTTTTCGGCGGCCCGGCGTCCAGTATCCCTCTACTAGCTCGAAGCTCGATTTCGAAGCATACTGAGATGTCACCACCGTTGCCCGGAAGGCTGCCTCTTGGTATGCCTAAAGGAAATAGGCGGCCGGCTGGTTTGAGAATGAGCAAGCCCCTTAGCTCTCTTACAGGCGTCCAGCCGGAGATGCATCACACAATAGACTGCTTCAATGCTATTCTCGGCGCCGTTACCCGAAACGTGGCGCCAAAACAGTCCGCTCCTGTTAGCAACAAGCGGAGGCGTGTAGCTGTAAGCCCTGTGCCAGAGTCGGTCATGACGGGTAACTCTAAGGAATCTGGGACATCGGCGGCCAGGAACTTCCGCTACAACCTCAGTGGGGGACGTGCAGATACCTCTACACACCATCTATGGCCTCAGGGGGATATGGAGTTGAATATTCAAGGTGTTGTCGACCCGATTTTTGCACTTCCGGACCGCACCACTTCATCAGAGTCATCACCAGCACAACGCGGAACAGAGCCCTTTTCAGGTAGCAGCAATACGTCACCCGGCCTTGGCCTTGGAAACACACCCGAAGAAAATCGTATAGATCTTCGGCAATTCCAAGGCCGCGTTGCGACGCCGATTTGGCAAAGCACGGAAGAGGGGCTTTTCAACCACATTACAGAAACAATTGCTCAATTTTCGGGAGATGGCGATGATCCCTGGGCGATTTTAAACGGAGAGAATAGTTGGAATGGTGGCACTACAACATTGTGAATGGCGTTTGGGTGCGAGAATCAACAATCATTACTGGAGCATACTTTAGAAGCCGCGTAATTACGCGGCTGTGGACAAGAGAATATTTCTCTTTCGGTGCATAGCGGTTTTGGATAGGGCAGTGTACGATACGATACCCCGAGCGTGAGACAGACGCTACTCTTGTGAAATGGGTTACTTTGGCGTTCAGGATGGAACAGGATCAAGACGGCTGGTCTCATCACCTCTCTTTTTGGAAAACGGAACATTATATACAGATATCTACTGATAGAACATATGATGAAACATGCTGTATAAAGCGGCTTTGAAACCGTCAGTTGCTACGGTAACCAGAAAGCACGTAGGAGTTAAAGATCAGGCTGACTGCAGCCAATCGGTGGCCAGCCAAGATCCTGAATAGGGAATCTGCGGAGTGACTGGGCTACAGCTTGACGGAATCGTTTCACGTCTCCATTAACATGCCGAGGGACTTCCGTGCCTGAGATTTCGCAAGCCGAGAGATTTGTGCTTAAAGGGCGGTCAGGTGACAAAGCGATCCATCACTGAAGGTGTCCCCACATTGAGCTTAGGATGAGTTTGTTATTTCCGAGTTTATGGTTCGACTTGGAAACATGAATGCCGGACCTTTACTTGGGCCTATATACAAGGACTTGACATAGATTCTTCCTTCACATACTCTTTTTCTGGTGGCTCCTTTCTCTACATCCTTTGGCTTGATTCGTTCTTGTTGATTCTCCTAGCAACAGCAGGTGGATTCGACAAGGCGAAAAGATGTTTTCATACATCGTCGGCCTATTCGCCATCCTTGTCCTCGTCGCAAACCCGATAAGCCAATACTTGTTTCCCCAGATCTCTCGTACGAAGACCTCGCTGTCACCAAGGCCGCAGCTAAATGAATCGCTGCTGGCCATAGATGTAGCGAATGCGAGCGTGCCGGATTGTCCTGCTGACGCGTATGGCGCGCGGATTTTGAGCCGGGAGCCTCTGGTTGTGTATTTGGAAGGGTTTTTGAGTGAGAGTGAGAGGAAGCATTTGCTTGAGATTAGGTGAGTCTACAATATGAGATGCAATTGCCTTTGTATCTTCTTATTTCTTTTGCTTGTATACCTTCATTGAGATGGGTGAGCGCTAATGGATACTATCTATACATATAGCGAGCCCATATTTGAACCGTCAACTATCACTGATGACTCTAGCTCTACGCATCGTGACAGTACTATCCGAGACTCCGCTGTTGCTCTTTTGCCGCGGACAGACATTGTTCGCTGCATCGAGGCTCGCGCAAAGGCTTTCCAGGGCTGGCGACGAGATTTGTGGATTGAGCGCCTCCGAACTCAGCGATATGTCGCTGGTGGGCACTATAACCATCACTTTGACTGGAGCCGCAATGCAAACGGGTGGGGTCGAGTGAGCAGCTTCATGGCCTGGATTGATGCCGCAGACGGATTGGAAGGCGGAGGAACAGAATTCCCATTGTTGGAAACTATTACGGAGGGCAATAGGTCGAAGTGGTGTGAGTTGGTCGAATGCGAGGACGAGGGGGCTATGAATGATGATGGCCAAAGAGATCAGAAGAAGCTTGGTGATGATGAAGAAGAAGCTGGTGGAAAGGGGACGACTTTTCGAGTTATTCCTGGAAATGCGGTGTATTGGGAGAATTTTGCATCCGATGGCAGGGGATATGATGAGACGTGGCATGCTGGTTTGCCGGTGAAGAAAGGAGTCAAAGTCGGACTGAACATTTGGAGTTTTGGACGGATCGAATAATAAATGATTAAAAATTAAATAGCATATAGATTGTTGATAAAATAGTTGTACTGTTAAGTACGTAGCCCTTGAGCGGCAATATTGGCACGAACAACAGATGGGAGTATCAAGGCGGGGGAAAAAAAGCAGTCCGGACAAGTCACACTTGACGTCGCTGTTTATTTCCATACTCTTTCACACTGACCAATCCATCGCCCCCAACCCAGAATCTTGCCGTCGATTTCTTTCGCGAGCTGCTCTCGAGTGGGCTTCGAAGCTGCGAGTTTCTCATCTAGCGGTTCACTTAGAGCGATTATGTCGAAGAAATCTGCAAACATTCAGTCTTCTTTTTTTGCGATGAAGGCAATCAATGTGGGGAGATGACGAGGCACTTACATCTATGGATGCCATGGTTGAGAAGGGGTCGAGGGGGAATCCAGATTCTGCTGGTACCGTAGTGAAAACCACCATTTAGTCGTGTAGACTTTTCGTTTTCTGGCTTAAAGTCGCTGGTTGTAACCGATAACTTGTCTTTGGAAATTCCGAGATATAAGCTGTTGTATAAGTGACGATAACAGTCAGTCGTTGCACATCCGCTTCCTATAAAGTACGCGTAACTTACCCGTGACAAATGGGATTCGGCAGCGGCGCATCAACATCTTCACATATCAATATCCACTGCTTCACGCCAGGCACTGTATTCCACTCCAAACTAGGTAAACGGCCATCTCCCCCAGCAATGTACTCTGGCGATAGCGTTGCAGGACTCGCGCCGCAATCTGGAGATGTGATTTGGATGGTGGGTTCCGGGTATGAGGCGAATTGGGGGCCCTTGACGAACGTTTTGGCGTCGCGGCCTTTGGCGTTGGCGAAAAGCCAGCTGGCGGTGATTTCGACGTATTTGAGCATTTTCAGCTTTTCAATAATCCAGTCTAGAAAGCAGTTTTGTAAATAGAGTTATAAAGAAGGTTAAAAGATGTGAACTGCCTTGGGGACGAGGACTTGGTTATAAATGGTGGGGGCTCAGCATATTGGTTAGGGTGACATACTCATTATGTTACGAATAGAAGAAAAAGATGGTTTCAATCGTTCGGAGTTAATAAAGTTTAACTTCCTGTATTTCCTGACAACAGGCCACGGATTTGTCTACGTAGCAACCGTTCTGCATTTGCTAGCGAAATCCTTCCTTTATTGGCGACGTTTTTCGCAGGAATTCGGGCATCGGCGCCGAAACGGCAGACAAGCTTGGCCGACATTTGCCTGACAAGATCCACACTTTTCTGACGATGCCGACGTTCGGCTGAGCTGCGGGTTGAGTTTGACGTGAGATCTCATTTGGACTCGTTTATGGTCACTAACTTGTACGAGTATGGGTTGATGGCATATTCGCGGCGTGGACTTTCGTGGAGACTATTCGTAGGTGCTGGATGCTGCCCCTCGATTGTGACTGCGATGGCTGTGTGATCAGCCTTATGAATAAACTCTGGGCATAAAAATACCATGGGAACTGGGTTTAGTGGCGGCAGTTGGAGGGAGAGAGATCCATTCCCATGTGTATGTTTGCGTAGAGGCACGTAATTGAATATAGAAGCTATTTAGCCATAGTAGAACCTGTCGCGGTTCTCTGTCAAGTGCTGTGATCAACTATTAGCACCGCAATTCGATACTAAAGGTATATCCTTTGATGATGGGCCTAGACGTGATCAAGCTAATCTCAATTGTGTGGCAGGATGCTTTAAACTGCAAACACTGCGGGTGTAGGCTTTGATGCTGGAGGGTTGCATCCGCCATATAGGCCATGTCTGCATACGCTGGAGCTAGATCCAAAGGGAAGCAAGTGTTTATCCCTCATGAGATTACTTTTTGAATGTAAAAGGGCCTATAATTAAGCAGTATTCAATTCCGATGGAGCTATCTCAAAGGTTTGTCTCACCATGTACACTTATGACAATCATTTTCGGGTGATGATCATCCAAGTACTGACTCAATTCTCCAGGGATCATTGGCCGGGCCAGCATCATCGACGCCCTATACATCCAATGTCTCAATAATAGGCCTCCGCAATTCAGAAGCTAGGAGGCCGAATAATCATAATCTCCCTCATAGGAGTTGAATAAGCTAGCAGTAAGTCTGACACTGCCTCACTCTGCGGTTCAGCACGCATTAGTTGGGGAGTTTGTGGAATGAAGAAGAGCTTTTCTCCATTACAACATAACCAAGAGTCCTGACTCATAGAGTATCTCCGTCGTGGAAGCTGGAGAACTTTGTCCCAGCAGTCCCACGAAGACGTTTTACAGAAAATAGCACGATCTGTGAGTATTTGGTTCGTGATTGGGTTAAACAGCGGCAGGCTGTAACTTTCCCCAGCTGCGACACGGGCTAGGCGAATGCCAGCGGAGACTTTCCAGATCTGGACCTCATATTTACTATCGCCAATTCTGCAAATGACTGCTAAAGCTGTAGCATCGGAGGAAAAAGCAACGCTTTCAATCTTATGATTGTAAGGCGAAATATTGCCCCGTTGGAAATCTTCGTGCGGTCGTGAAAACGTGGAGACGCGGTGACTCGCGCGCCAATCCCAGATGCGCACTTCCCAGTTCCAGCTGCCACCAGCTGCAGCAAGATATTTCGAGTCGCGAGAAGTCGCCAGCCCCGCGGGAGAGATAACAAAAGGGCTCCAAAATACCCTTCCATCCGTTTCAGATACGCATTTGCCTGAATCCACGCACCAAACCTTTACCTCCCAATTTTTATAAGCTATAAATAGGTATTTCGAATCGCCCGAAAAGACTTTATGGAGGCGCTGTAAGCTCCCCCTCGGTTGGTTCGGGCCTTGAAGTTTGTGAATGGACTTTCCAGTGTCGACACACCATATTCGAACATCAGTTTGACCCTCATCTTCACAGGCAATGAATTCTGAGTTGGGTGAAAAGACAGGCCAGCCTTTGCTGCGACCTCCTCCTTTGAGCACCTGAACACTCTCGCCGGTGTCTCCGCTCCATATATTGATGCATCCTCCGAGACTCTGTGCTGCGACGTATTCCGACTTGGGCGATATAGTTACGGACGAGGGAGGGTAAGCAGTATTGTGCAATTCAGTGGAGGTACCTCTTGCATCAGCTCTCCATATTCGAACCTTACCGGAGTGGGCAGATGCTAAAAGTGAAGAGTTTGGCCAATTAGGAGAGAATAAGATAGTTTCTGTCGACCCGCCAGTTGCTATATATAATAGCTGCTGTCCTGTTCCAGTACTGCCCACAATCGAAATCCCGTCCGAGGCCACTACAAACAGTGATGCGTCGGGCGATAAATCAATGTCGTATATCCAAGTGTCTAGTTTAATCCGGCGTGTCATCGTCCATGTCTTAGAACACCAGAGACAAATATCTGTGTTCTTATTCATATAACTCTTTTCATGTACCAAGGCCAACAATGCTGAGTCTTGCGAAAATTTCGAGCATTTCTTATAAGCAACTGACTTAGCGTTGGGAGCCTGAATATGCTTCATCTCTTCTCCTGTCTGGGCAGAGTAGATTCTAGCATCATTTTTGCGTCTGTGTATCAAGGCTATTAGCGTAGAATTGGGTGCAAAAATTGCATGCAAATTCTTGTGCTTAGTAGGTGTACGCATCAGATCTATCTGACACGCGCAAGCACAAGTTTCTGTCGTCCAAATCTTCACTAAGCTCACGTCATGACCGGAGCTTGTGAGACAAGTCGATGCTGCCAGATCTCCACGGGGTGACAGACTGATCACCTGTTCCTGGGGGACCTCCCCGTATGGGTAATCAGTCTGCAATTTGCTCACGTTAAGGTTTAAAGAACGCCGTTGCATTTGGGTACTGTCATCAATGGCCCAGGTTTGCACGATGCCAGTAGAAGAAACTGAAATCAAGTGTTTAGAATCGGGCAAAAAGGAGACATGATAACGGCCGTTGTTGTCTATTCTCCGTTCAACTGTTTGTACCATGGTATCTGTTCTGTAGACCACGATGGTACGACTGTTCGAGTAAGAAGAACCGCTCAACACACAGAGTGCGGATGAATCCCAGGAATAAACTAGCTTGTCGACATCATCTTGGACAGAAATATTATGCCGTAGAGAGAAATGCGTTCTTGGCGTTTTTAGTATGGTAAGGCGGCTGTTCCCAAAGCGAGCTTGTATAGGTTGCCGGAAGGTCTTGTAAATTGCACTGGACTCATTTTCAAAAACAATCGCTGAATAGTACAGCTGTAGAGGCCAGTTCTTCACGTAATCTTTGCAGGAATGGAAAAAATCATAGGCATCGCTAATGAATCTGCTGAGATAATTCGCATCTCCTTTCAAATCGATAAGATGGTATTCACCAGACTTGTTTCCGTAAGAACTGGCAGCCCAATTTCTCAGCTTCTCGATGGCCACTACCCCGCGCTGCTCAAAGCTACGTAAGAGAGCCAAAGATTCTAGCCAGCATAGGTATTTGACTGTTAGAAACGAACGAAGAATACCATCAACTTTAGAGAGGTCTTCAGCTGTGATTACTTCAGAGCTGCATCCTCGAACTAGATGCTCGACCCAATATACGCAAGAGTATGCTACTGACCTCAACTGATCAGGAATTTGCGCATGGTCATCTTGTAGTTTGCTTCCAGGATCTTTCAAATCGCATATGTCGTGCTTAAGGGTTTGGCACATTGCCTCCAGTGAAGTTCTAGCCATTTGATAATGCTGGTACTCGATTCCTAAAGGGAAATTGCTTGTAGTGGCACAATCCACCATGTAATCTTTGACTGACTGGTGAATGAAGTAGACAGTATCGTCTCTTATATACAAGAGAGAACTAAGATCTTTCACGATATCTTGTATATCCCGTATATCATAGGTAGCTTTGTAATCTGCCCACTGAGAACTTATAAATAAACGAAGTTCTTTAAGATGAAGGGGCCTCTCAGCCGTAGTAATAATAGAGAAGAGGACTCGACAGGCTTCTTGATCTCTTGGTCTCAGTTTCGAGTTAACTCGCTCTATTATCAGCTTATAGAGGTTTTCTAGACCTGCTGGTATTTCTTTGAGGACGTCCTCCACATTCCGACGGCCTGTATCGCGCAACTGTTCAATTACGAGAGCCACCCATAGGAACGTGCCGTTTGCTTTTTTTTTAAGCGTTTTCGCTGTCTGGATTTGAAGCTCATGATCATCTTCCAATGCTTCAATGTCTTGGATAGAGTTATCAATGTAAGTATCGACAGATTTGGAGATGTTTTCGGCATTCGCTTTTAGCTCTAGGCTTAGTCTCCGATTGGATTCAATCTTTCGGAGATCTCGTTCAATGTCTTTAACATTTCGACTCGATAGCAGCCACTTTACGTGGGCACTTGTATCAACGATGAGGTTTAGAAGTGGTTTGCGATTATCCTTGCATTCATCGAGAGCATCGACAATACAGATAGGGGCTGCTGCATCCTTGATGACTGTTTCAAATATATCGCACAGAACAGCCCACGCGTTAGGTCCTTCAAGCTGATGTAATTTATCATTATATTTTTTGTGAAGAGATCCAAGAAGTGCCGTATGTTGCTTATCATGCCCTGTTTGGTAGAATCTCATTAGCAGCACTCTCTAGTTAGATATTTGGATTAGGATGCATCAAAGAGCGACTATACCTCTTGTATTGACGAGCGATACAATTAACCCCGCCACAACCGAAGTAGCAGAATTAATCCTCGAGTCCGTGGCTTGGCAGAAGAAATAGCCTAGGTTGGTGTTTGGTCCAGGATGCTTTTCCAAGTCTTCAATAATACCGCAGAGGAGCATTGTTTTGCCTTTTCCTGGGTCGCCTTTAATCCAAAGTACGCCACTCTCCGTAGTGTAGCGCCATTTCTTGAAGCCTTCATGATCGAGAATCCAACTGAAGGATTCGTGTAGAAAGGGACCCTTTGTTTCCAAGATTCGCTCTTTGTCGTAATATGGGTCCGTTTTGCTAATTTTGTTTAGAAAAGAGCCTGTTGGTAGGTGTGGTTAGCCGAGTCCTGTATGCCTCAACTTCATACCCAAGGCGGAACATACCAGCATCAGTAGTGTTCAAATCACCCTGAACGATGATTGCATTGTTCCCAATTGTGTTTCCTGAAATTTCACGAAAATCGGCCATTTTATCCCAATTGTTCTTGCAAAATCGCACGGTTAAGTACAGATATTCAGATGCGAGGATGAGAGTTGCAGCCCAACCATAAATGTTCGCATATTAGGCTATATTGCGGTATGTAATTAGGCATCCAATAATAGTTGGAGAAAGCCGTTGGGCACAAATCTTCACTGTAGCCGTGTGCTTGGCATTTTGGACGAGGCTTATAATTGGCTGGCTGCATATTGGAGGAGCTATCTCTGCGCAACATCACAATTTGATACCAAACGCATATCCTTTAATAATAGGCCTGCACATGAATATGCTCATCTCGAATATATAGCGGAACGATTAAACTGTAAAAACTGCGCCTGCAGGCTTTACTATAAGAGGGTTACATCTGTCATATTGGCCATGTCTGCATACGCTGGAGCTAGATCCAAAGGGAAGCAACTGTGGAGTACATGTATGCTGTTACTCTGCAACGGATCAAGACCTTATGCCATTTCTGGAATCTGGTAATTTGCTGTTGTAAGCAAGTCGAGATAGACGAGATACACGACAGGCGCATTCCATCGGCAGGGGCATCAACATATGTATATGTAATAGATTTGTAAGTCAGTAGTATCCGGCATTGAGGGCTTATATATACACATCTGTCGCAAAGGTCTCGTTTTGCCTTTCCTAAAGATAACAACCAGTCCCAACAGCTGTTGAGGCCGATAAAAATTGCCCATTATGCAACTCACTATCTTGGGTGTAAGTCGATTGGATCTCAGATCCTACCAGGACAATATGCTAATAGTTCAAAGCTTCTCGCTCTGGCCATTGGCCCCGCCGCTGCTATCGACGGACTCGACTTTGAGATATTCTTCACCGGAGACGGAAGCCCCGCCGCCCAGCACTGCGGAGGAGACAGCATCCAGGCCTTTAACGAGACGGTGACCAATAACGGATGCGAATCGTGGCGGTTTGCGTACGGAGATGCTGTGAGATTGGTGTCTGGACAGGTCATCCCCGCGTCTCTGCAGACCAACGACGAGCAGACGTGCACTCTATACTGGGTGCAGGAGATTAACGGCATCAACTCGCAGACCTGCGCGGATACTATTTTGGCCACTACGGCTGAATTGACTGATGAGTGCTATGTTGCGCCGGTAGGGGTTTATGGGCTGAATGTTGTGTGTGAGCAGAATTGAGCAATCTGAGTATCTACTATAGACACTGCTTGGACACTATGACATTATTGTTATTGGGTGCAGTGATTACAAGCTGCTTCGCGGCTGTGATGAAAGGTGCATAGTTGGCTGCAACTAGAGATGTAAACGCACTCAAGTCGATCGGAGTTAAAGCTCTATCCATTATGCCATGCGGCCACCAATCCACACATTCAATCTCGAAGTCACTTTGTGACGTTTACTCTTCAAATAAGATTAAGTCATAACGATAGAGTTCGTTCGGCGTATTAAGATAAACAATGATAAGATATTGCTGTTGCATAACTTCACGTGTATTCGACTTTAGAGCCAACAAATTACTGCCAACTGTTGGTATATAGTCATAAATCGGAAGTTTATTATGCGGCAAGATATGATGGTTCATTGTGTAATTGAGTGACCTCTAAATTTCCTGAATAGCTATAGTATTGAGCATTGGAGACCAATATGCGTTAAATACAGATATGCAAGTATTCCTTCATTAAATGAGTGCCAAAATTAGAAGAGAAGCTGATCATGTGATGCTAATTGTTAGTTGAGCTCGGTACGTAGTGGTGTAATGGGATTTGTTTTGTTAAACATGAAATCGGGGTCGTATTTATGTTTCAACATGCCCAGTCGTTGCTGATTGCCACCGAAGGGCGTATCAGTTATAAGATCGCCAGCTATCGTCAAGTATTAGCTCTGTTGGAAGATTAGACCGGACCAGTAACACTTACGTTCGACATAGTTGGCATATTCCAATGAGGTTTTAGTATCTTCAGTAAATTCCTTGCTGTCGATAACGGCTTGTCGACACTTGGCCTGAATCATTCGACCCCAGGCTCTGTTCTCCTCATCCATCGTAGGGTCAGTCCACTCCAAACCGACAATACCGGGCCTATATGACCCCCGATTGGAAAATGCCGTCGCCTCCAAAGGTACGCTTTGGATTTTGGAAGTGTCATGGATCTCTATACCCAAGATGGAAGCGGACATGTCGGGATTTTTCTCCACCTGCTGCGCATAGTCGTTGTAAAGTTCCTGCACAAACGCGGCATCTATGTGGTGTGTAACCGTGACTGCTTTCAAGGCTTTGCGGCGGCCATGCGTGGTTAGAGGATTCAATAGCGCATTGAGATGGTTATAGGGCATCATCTTCGCGGTGACGGCAACAGGCTCCAAGTCGAATAAGAATTTGAAATATTCCCGTGCTGCAGCTTCATCACCGTTGTAGAATACATTGGCGACAACCACAGCAACAGGCATGCTGGGAGGCTTTGCAAAGAGAAACATGCCCGTAGCCTGGGGGTTTGGAGTTTTCATCCTGGTATTAAATCCGTCCACGAGAAGAGTCAGTTTATCAGGGGTAAACACCAAGCCACCAGCATATACGTCGTTTGTTTGGTCGTATGCTCGAAAGGTGAATTCAACTGCAACGCCAAAGTTGTGGCCCGCACCGCGTATTGCCCAGAATAGATCAGTATTCTCATTTTCTGAAACCGAAAGGACGCGTCCATCAGCAACGACAATCTTGGCTGCAACGAGATTGTCAACAACAGTGCCGTATAAGCCCGAGAGCCAGCCCAGGCCGCCGCCAAGCGTTAAGCCGCCGATGCCTGTATGATTCACAGTCCCACCTACGGTTGCCAGGCCTTTTTCGAAAGCGGCATTGTCGACGTCTTCCCAGAGGGCACCGCCTTGAGCAACGATCAATTTTGAGTCTTTGTCAACCTTCACGGCACGCATCCCTGAGAGATCAATGGTCAACCCGCCTTCGGTAGAGCTAGTTCCTCCTGTAGAATGGCCACCACCCCTCACAGCAAGATCAAGCTTATTATTGGATGCGAACTTGACCAGCTTGGATACTTCTTCATATGACACTGGAACGGCGACAGCACCCTATTATAGTGAGCAATATCCCAATTACAAACTTCAATCACAAGATCATCTTAAGGGCACTTACAGCACGTTTCACCGCGTTATCTGCCCAACGCGAAATTATCTTTTCATAATCATCGCCATCTGCGGCGGTGAGCAGTCGAGTAGAAGCATCTAGCTGAGCGGCAAGCTCCTTTACCTGCTGCGCTGTGATTGGGTGTCTCATATTTGCCAACGGTACAATAGAGGTCGTTAATGTTGTATTATCTTGGAAGTTAGAAATGAAAGAAACCCTCAACCTGGCAACAGGATCCTACAGTTCTTATATATCTGTTGGTTCGGTCGTTTAACGCGGCTTATTGCAGCTTCAAACCTAAATCCTTTAAATCCTCCGCCACTACAAAGTGCATGAGACGCCAAGCACCTTAGTTTATAAAACCCAGAGCTAAGTCTGTGCTTATAGGCCACTTAAAAGGCTCTATTATAATTAAGCCACCCTTGAGAGAAGTGCTTACTCCAAGTCTCTCCATACTCCGCAAGGCGTCTTAGCCATAGAGGCTTGTGTGCTGTCAACCGTATACGTATAGTTTCGGAACCGTCAATTTCCGCGGCTGTAGGGCTGCATGCATACATGTAGTTTAGAGCTACGATGTTTACACTAAGTATGGAAGCTTACGTCAGGAAGCTATTCATATCACATTCAAGATCCGCCAACTGCAGCGCCTTGTGCTATTTTCTCATTCAAACGGCGATTTATTTCCCTATTGCAGTCTAGTCTAGTAACTCCTTAGGAATCAGCAAGGTATAGTGATCCGTATGAAATGCGGAGGTATAAACGGTGAATTCGAAATCGGGGCATGGGGCTTATGATCGGATCGTGCGGAAAGTATACCGCGACACCCGCTATACGAATCAATGCTCCTATTTAAATGGCAAGCTCCTTATGGGAGGCCGACTATCCGTATATATCTCACGCGCCAGTCCTTAGGTGATATACTAGGAGCCCTCCTGTAGCAATATGCTTACATGTAATGGAGAGGTATGTCAAAAGTGTCACGAAATACAGCATGGTGATAAGGTTTGCTTATTAAATACTATTTCCTATCGCGCATCTCGCTTTAACATTTCCATAGTCTGACTAGAATATTGACATTTCCTACAAAGAGGTACAAGGCAGGCTTTGAGAAATAACTGTTAGCATCCTGCTAGTGATTATGGGGCCGCACGATGCCAAGCTCACTAATCTGACGTTGAGCGCCCAAAACTATGGCCTGAACGGCGAGTAAAGTACTAAGAAAGAATGTATGACGTACGAGTAACATTAAGAAGAGCCATACATTTGTAGCTGGAGCTGCAACTTGATCCTGATCGCGGTTTAGAGCAAGCTGTGGAGCAAGTTGCCCCTCTGATGCATAACGCTCAGGTCGATCCTGGCTAGCTCATCCTGACATAGGATTTCATAAGGAGAGATATAAAAGTCTGATCCATGAATTGCAGCTGATGGCAAACAATACTACAATACCCTCCTTTCATTTGATGCCCATGCGCTATTGTAATGAACAAATAAATAGTCTATATGAAGCACTGCCACAGGGCAAATGATACAAGACTCTGACAACTTCCTCGGAAAGCAAGAGGACCGCCACGGTTTTGTCCGCTGCTGATAAAGCCACAGGATACTGATATATTCACAATGCGGTGATTGATATGAACTCTTATGGAGCCTTTCAACTTCTAGAACATTGTTTATCCACGACAAGGGGGAAGTTGGGGGGAGAGGGCATTAGGAATAAGGAAGAAATATTCGCAGTATGGCGAAGGAAGATATTCCCTTGGAAATTTAGGACAAGACAAATGAAGAGACGGAATTGATCAATGAATAAGTTCAATGAGCCTTTGCCAATCAGAGACACGAGAGCGGTTAGGGAACGTATAAGATTAAAATTAATCGTGTAAGTATGAGAGAAACGTGGATGCTGTATGATCATGGCCTTTAGGCATTCATAGTTACAGGTATCTTAACTAAAAACGGCGCTTTTGACGTAGATCCGAAGCTAGGAAGAATCAAGAGTCTGTTTCTTTGGTGCCTGACCAATACGAGTCATAGGCATTGTGGATCTTGATTCGTATACGCCTTGCTACTTCATCAATGAGCTGGTTTTACAGTGGTTCGTACATCTTGTGATAGTATTGTAGAACGCGGGAAAGAGAGCTGTGATTGGTGAAAATACGGATACGTCCAAGGTAAAATCGTATTGCAGAAAAAGTACCTCTTGTCATTAAGGATGAATGACTTAGCGATTACTGATCAATGTAAAACAAAAATAATTAAATAATAAAAACATGATCGAGTTCTCTAAGCAATTGTATTACATCCAGCAACAGTGAAGTAGGTGGAAGGTGCTTCTCAAATTGCCTACATATCCGGCTTTCACAAGACCGGGGTATAAGCAATCTGTTCTGGTATAGGTGGAAATTCAGTTCAATAATAGTTCCAGATTCAGTGTCAAGGGTGTGCTAGATGACTACAACAGCATAGTAGTACTGCTAAAATTCGATGCGGTAATAGATGTGTCTTTACCCAACCCTCACCGATCTTTTCGTGCGACTTCGTATCGACCTGCAGATCTCAACTAGCAGCCATACGCATGGTTGGCAGCGCTCGTATTACTTTGAGACGTGTGCCGAAATTGCCGATAACCGGAACTTGCTCGTTACTCGATTTGGACGGAGACAATTCGAATACAGTAGCTGATATAAAGTAAGGAGCATATAAACAAAGCACCCTTCTTGTCAAAATCGCCACTTCAACAATCTGACGACAATTCGAAGCACGCGTCTGCAAAATTCCAGGTTTCACTCAAAATGAAGACTTCTGCTTTCGCCACGACTGTTTTTGCTAGCCTGGCTGCGGCTGCCTCCCCCTACTGGTACATCACCGAGCTTCAATCCCTCGATACCACTTCCTCCACGGGAGAGAGCACTCTTCAATTTACATTTGAAGATGCAAGCACTTCATTGGTTACGAATTGCTCATTTGTCAATGTCCCAGGATCTGGCCGCCCAGTCACCGTGTTGACTGCCACACCCTGCGAAAACCCGCAGGTGAGATATACTTATATCAAAACCAGCCAAAAGACTGGACAGGTCAACATCACCCTTCAGCATCTCAACGCAGCGTAAGTCCGAGTGATTTAAGCCCCAACCATGCATTTATATAGCTGACATTGCGTTTGACCACAAGTGGCAACCTCCAAGGAAACCAGTACGGACTTGGAATCGCCGACCTCGCTTGCCAAGAAGCACAAGGCGAAACAACCTGTTTTGCCGCGAACACTGAGATTATTCCTGGCCCTGAAACCGGCGCTTAAAGTCAAGTTGGATTAGAAGACTCTTGCTATGTATTTAGGAGCACAGCAGCACATAATGTCGAGGGATTGATGTTGTAGCAGACTAACTTTTTAGGGGATTTAGTGATTTGGTCGAGCTTCATGGAGTTAGCCTATTTTTGCTGCTTAATCGACTGATCGTTTTCAGAATCACAATGAATTATCGTGAAAGGATGTTACCTTAGATCATGTTGATGATTTCGGGTCTGGAGCCTTACTTAGGGAGATACGTCGATGGATGGCTGCTGCGATCAACGTATAGCGAGAAAGCAACTGAACAGCAAAGCACCACTTGTCTCGGTATCTGTATAACCGAACCAAGGGTTCAAATGAAAACATAAGAATATAATTCTACGTGACATTATTTATTAAACTATGCCCTACTATAACTAAGTAACAGGTAATTAAGATTTCAGGGACCCGCCGTATAACGCAAAGCTGCCATAATGTAATCTAGTCACACAGTACTCTTTCGTTCAGCTACACTTCACAATCATGTTTACTCAAGTCAATTTGCTCTAGCAGTCTGGTACAATTTTGTTGTGTCCTCTTCGGTTGCTATTCAACATGTTATTCTTTACCACAAGAGACACCGAGGATTTATTCGCCATCCTGATACTGAGAAGAGCACATTCGACCGTACTCTAAATGTATATGGATCTAGAGAAAAAGTTACATACACATGTACATATTCGTGAAATAAAGCAATTGGCTCGGCAGTTGAGCGCTAGATTTCTTCTGGACGTACAAAGAGCATACTTAAGGGGGCGACTAAGAGGATATTGAGTAGTGAATTCGTATTACTATGCACGGAGGAAAATTACAGGTACTTCAAAACGCAGGGCTTAGAACGGGAACTCGGAAATTCTTGCCCAATCCACTGTTTAGGCTATTACTCCGTGTCATGACTGCCGCAAAGCCGAGACCTGGCATCATTGACATGGGGCATTATCTAGCCGTAATACCCTACCTACATGTAGGCTTGTTGCATGCACTTTGCATCGACTTACCATAAACAAAGTTCGCAACACTATCTTCTCAACTTCGTGGATAATTAACGCTCATGAAGAGTTAAGTATACAACTCAACATGTAGCAGGAGTTTAAGAGAAGATCAAAGCGGCCGATATTTTGTTTTCTAGTCGACCTACTATCGATGAACCATTATTTAAATTGTCTATAATCAGAGTGTATCATAGCACAATAATATATCATGCTAAAGCACTATTCTAAACGTTTTTACCAATTTCCGCCATCACCCTGCTCACGTCATTGTTATACACGAAAAGCGTTTAAACACGTATCATTTGATCATCTCCCCGGCCTTCATTTGACTCATAGCTCATCTTTTTGTAGATGGCTCTTTTGCTTAAACTTCTCACCGCCCACACTACGCAAGCGGTAGGCTTTAGCAGCATGTCTGGGCACATGGACGTCAAAGCGGCCACCAGACTTGATCAGACCAACGCGCTCGCCAAACAACCGCGGATCCTCGCGCTTCAAACCCTCAGCGTAGGAGGTCTCGGTCGAATTATACCAGTTCAGCTTTTGTAGCTTCTGCTTTCGGGCTGAAGCACTGTCGGCGTCAAGGACAGCTTGGGCGTCCTCACTGCTCATAGCAGCACCAGTCTTGCCCCATAGATCATAGACAGCCCAGTCATTCTTGTTCTGAGGGGCAGTGCCGCCAACGCCATTCGTGAGGAAGATTTCCTCGAGCGTAGCACCCATGTCAAGGTCCTCGTCGGCGACGTTGAGGAAGATGAGGATCTGGTCTCCGTTTGCGAGAGGACCGCTCCAGATATGAGTCTCGCCGACACCCCACTCGTCCTTGGGAACGTTGAAGTTACGTCTGACACGCTGAACGGCACGGCCACGGGGATCTTGGTTGATGGCAATCACAGCCGGGTTGGTGACAATAGAAAGGTCGGAACCTGACCACTTGCGAAGATCGGTTCCAAGAAGGAGCGGCGCCTTCAGGGCTGCCCACATGGTGAAGTGAGCTTTGTACTGTTCACTGAAATTAGTCTTCCGTGCATCAATGTATGAAGATTTACAAGGAAACTGAAATCTCACCTCCTCCTCAGTCATACCACCATGACCAACTTCAAGCATATCGAGATCATTCCATCCTCCTGGAAGACCGCGGTCGATATAAGGAACGACTCGGTTAATGATGGCGAGAACCGAGCAGTGAGTGCCAGGAGCAATACAAGCCGGGTTAGCGGGATCATTGCAAGAGCATAGATCATCTGGTCGGGCAAAAGAGTCGTAGATGTCTCCGAAAATGCGCCAAGAGTTACCAATCGACGCAGCCCACTGTGTTGTTTCAACGCGTCAGTATCAATAAGTGGCAAGTGCTGATCAACGTGATGAGCCTTACACTGTATGAGTAGTCCTCACCCCAATTACAAAGACTGTAAAAGATGTTCTTGCCTGTGGCTTTGAGAGCTTCTGCCATGGCGTTGAAGCGCTCGAACGAAATGAGAGGAGTGCCGAAGCGACCCATGTGGTAGCAGTTGTCATATTTGAGATAATCAACACCCCAATCCGCAAAGCTTTGAGCGTCATCCTTTTCATGGTCCAAAGAACCAGCTGCAATGGTGTTAGAATTTGTTTCCATGTCTAGTTCTGGTACATTTGGAGTAGTAAAATGAAGGTATCTTACCATATCGTGCGCATGTCAATTCACCAGCGCTTGAGTACATGCCGAATAAGAAGCCTTGAGCATGCAAATCGTCTGCAACGGCAGCCATTCCGCGAGGAAACTTCTTCTTGTCTACAACCAGTTTACCCTTTCTATCGCGACCATCGGACCAACAGTCATCTAGGACGACATATCCGTATCCCAAGTCTTGAAGGCCGTACTCGGAGATGAGCTTCGCATGGTCAAGCAGCAAATGCTCAGAAACATCGCAGCCGAAGGAGTTCCAATTATTCTGTCGTGAGAATTAGTTATTACTCAATCAATACTTGACATCTCAAAGGTTTTGTAGAGAAAAGCTTACCCATCCCATCTGCGGGGTTCTAGCTAGACCATTGTCGATTGCCTCTACGACAGCCACAGAGGCTGCGACAACCAGCGCACTTTTGGACAACATTTTGTGCCTGCAAGACCAACTGGCGGTTTAGTCAAAATCAATACTTGATTGTAGTTCCAATTGACTTGTTGAACTGTTAATCTCATAGATATATGCTATATAAATAAAGAGACTTCAATCTACCTTGGACAGCTTCAGGCTCACCCCACCAAAGCCACCCATTTACTACTCCCCGCGATAAACGGAATCCTACTTTCCACATGCGGGGTTCTCTGGGGGTATTCCCATCTATTTGTCCGACCCCACGAGGTTTTCCGACTTCTCTATTCAACAGCTAACGGTAAAGTTTGACGACAATGGTCACGAGGAGCCAGTGGCTGATCGCTCATCGTCTGGAGAAATGTTCGGGAGATTGAAGGGCTCCACACGGATAAGGGATCCGAGTCCACGGAAAAGTAAGCCAAAGCTCGCACACCGAGCCAAGATTTTGGACATGGTTCGTGCAATGGAACTGGCCGTCTATCTTGGCATTATTGACCACGGGGAACCTTTTGGAATTTTGGTTTCGATTACGGGGATAAAGGACTTGAAACAGGGTTATGTGTAGATGAAATGGCTACACAGTGCCATGGGCATATGGCAACTTTGTCAAGCGGGAGGAAAAGAGGTGCATCTGTATCATTCATTTTTGATCAATTCTTTTCCATTAAAAACGATACATGTATACATATATATATATAAGACTATAAGTTAATATTTAGCTTCAATTCTATTTGATGTACTGCTTTTGTTAATTCTGAACCTACCTAGGACCGCTTTGGTGTGTTATCTGAATGACATATGTAGTTTGCTTAACCGCTTATTCGCATCAAATGAAAGGCAATTTTACTACATGTATTTATCAACTTTTGGTCTGTAATTGGCAAACTCACGTGTGGTAGCAGCCCACCGTAAATGTTCCATTGTTTTGGTGCATTCCAGACAGCGTTTGGTGAACATCTCATTTACAACTCTCTTCTGTTACACCCGAAGAGACAAGAAAAAGGCATCCACGTCGTACACAGATGGGCAGTAAACAGCAAATGACTGAGCTTCTTCGTGATATAGGTGCCAATTAGAAGATCGCTATCCATTGGCACTATAAATCGGGAACTTAAGCACTTGCATATGCAGGGACGGGAGATGGCACCGGAATACAGGAACCGTAGTGCGTGCATTCTCATATCTAAACATATGGTGTGGGAGTTTATGGTCATCATGATTGGTGGATAATATAGATATGGAAAAAAAGCTGATGCATAATCTCGAAGCAGTGCATCATTGCCAGAAGCGGAAACGCATACTCGTAAAGGTTGTGGGATTGGCTCACCATTCATGACACGGGAACTAGGAATATAGCTTGAAGCTGTTCGTCATCTATTGATGAGACGAATAGTATTATTTGCTATGGCTGGGTTAGGGCCAGCGATGACTTGGACTTGGAGAGACCTGCATGGATAGCTGGCATTAAAGAGGAATGGCTGTTAGACCTACAAAGTATTTGCTTGTCCTGCTCAGGATCTTTGGAGATGGAACAATGTCCTAAAGGGTCATCCAATATGCTGGCCATAGCAAAGCGGATACCATCTCCAACAAGCTTCCATTCCGACGCCCTTATATACAATTTAAAACATTCATTATCTAAATAAAGTTGCAAGTTTACTAACTTTAGAAAGCGTTCTTATTACCGATGTTTTGGATCGATGATAGCGGGGGAGGTCCACGCCGTCTTTTATCTTGTTCTTTGATGAGAACTTTTCTAATGTAACCACTTATTTAGTTGATCTTGATACTGTTTTATACAATATTCTATCGACATATGACATATGCAACATCGGATCAACTCAAGCTGGTAAACTAATGGCATTGCTTGAGCCCAACCGAAACACCTCTTACGAATGCTGCAGCACAACACCGTCTATCGAAACCAAGCACCAAGCACTTCTATATCCAAGTCAACATCTTCAAAGCCCAATTACCATTCCCTGATCTCGCCGTCTGGGCCCCTAAACGAGGGCGACTCCCATGGTACGCAATCTTTGGACAACTTCCGGATTGCCTCCTCATCTACCTCAATGCCCAACCCAGGACCTGAAAGCACCTTGATGTAACCGTCATCAACTTTCCAGACTTCAGGGTTCTTTATATAAGTTTCAATATCTTGCCCTGTGTTGTTATAATGGATTCCAAGGCTCATCTCTTGTATAGAGAAATTGGACGACACTGCGTCAACTTGCACATTTGCAGCCAAGGCAATCGGTCCCAAAGGACAATGTGGCGCTAGGGCAACATCGTATGTTTCGGCCATTGTTGCGATTCGCCTCAACTCAGAAATGCCCCCAACATGGCAAATGTCAGGCTGTAAGACGTCCACGCATCCCGCTTCTAAGTATGGACGAACGTCCCATCGACTGTAGAGACGTTCGCCGAGGGCAATAGGGCAACTGGTGAGTTGAGCTAGTTCTTTGATTCCACCAATGTTCTCGGGTAGTAGTGGCTCTTCAATGAAGAGAGGTCGATGCGGCTGGAGCAGAGCGGCCAGTTGCTTTGCCATTGGCTTGTGAACACGGCCGTGGAAGTCGACTGCGGCATCCATCCCAAGGCCTTTGACGACTTTTATCCTTCGCACTACATCATCAAGCACTGATGGCGAATCCAGCCAGCAAACATCCGCAGTTCCATTCATTTTGACTGCGTGAAACCCCTGCTCTTTGCGAGCTATTCTGTTTGAGATTATTAGCCTTGCTCGTGAATTTAACAAATTAATAAGATGTCCAGCTTACGCTTGTTGTTCAACTTCATCTGGGCGGTCACCTCCGATCCAGGCGTATACTTTGAGCTTGTGCCTCACTTTGCCACCAAGGAGCTCATATATCGGGACACCCAGTTTCTTGCCTAGAAGCTAGTCAGTATTATTCTCAAGCTCAAATTAATTTTCTTTAAATTAATAGCCATTTTACCTTTTAAATCCCATAAGGCGATGTCAATTCCAGAGAGTGCACTCATAAAAACAGGCCCGCCGCGATAGAACCCAGTGCGCCACGCCATTTGCCAAATGTGCTCGATCTCGCTGCGTTTGATAAGCACATTTCCTAATTTGTCCAAATGCCGAATCCGGTGAAACCTACTCAGCGTCGTGTCCTTTGAACTTCTCAAACCACGCATCTAAACATCCTTCAACTGCCTGTGTATGTCCTTCTAGGGATGCTTCGCCCCAGCCAACATTTCCATCTTCATCGGTGACTTTTACAAACAGCCACCGAGGCGGGACGCGAAAGTATTCCATAGACTTGATCCTCGTCATGATGAAATGTGCGGCAAGTTTGACCTAAACGATCCAGTCTGTCATGTGAATGAACGCAAGTTAAGATGACAATTTATTGCTCGTATGATTCGGATGTAATACAATACTTGTATATACGTATAGTAGCACCCACGGCGAGAAACCGAGGAGAAACATGCAAGACAATGTGGCCGCGGAGCTCCACCAATACCATGACGGCTTACCTGTTTGGGAGCAGAAACGCCTCCCCGCCGAGTGGAACACGAACCCCCCACCACTCCACAGCGCACGGAAAAGCAGAGAGGGGGATGAGGATCGAGTGGGGATGATGCCTACAATCCGGGAGAATGTAGCCCGAGTGCCATGGACCGATGATGGTCCGGTAGGAGAGTTATTTGAAGTGGTACGACGCTCTTCATGACGGAATGAGGGACAGTTGAACGGCTTGAAATATCTGGAATCTCCTCGACGGAAGCAGCAGCTTGGTGTTTACTGCAATCATATAGGAACATCTCACATATTCCAACAGCGCAATGGCCTCGCAGACGGCACCACCACCAGGGGTCTTTGTCCCCGTCCCTACTTTCTTCAAGCCTGCCGCGGATTCGAATGAGCTCGCCGAGCCCAAAGTCGACATCGAAACCCAGGTGGCTCACAGCGTCTACCTCGCCAAAGCCGGCATCACTGGACTGACCATCCTCGGATCAACAGGCGAGGCCATCCATCTCTCCCGGAAAGAGAGATCCGACCTTGTTGCCGGTGTGCGGGCCGGGCTCACAAAAGCTGGCTTTGAGAATTACCCGATAATGGCTGGGGTACTAACAAACGGCATTTCTGAAACCCTCGACTGGCTGGAAGACTACGCGGCAGCCGGAGCTCAGTGGGGTTTAGTCCTGGCGCCTGGCTATTTCGGAAAGGCTGTGAACCAAAGCAACCTTATCGAGTGGTTTACAACAATCGCCGATCGAAGTCCATTGCCAATTTTGATGTGAGTGTCCAGTCTCACATTTCATCATGTGTGTACAAGGATCTAATAGATGATTACTTAGATACAACTATCCGGGAGTTACCAATGGGCTTATCGCGGAACCGGATACATACAGAGCCCTAGCCAAGCATCCCAAAATCGTCGGATGCAAAATGTATGTGTTGTTTTTGATGTTGTTTTCCGCTTCATTTCCGAGCAATCTCTCTAACATGCGATGTGACTAGGTCGCATGGAGACGTGTCTTACCATGTCCAAGTATCCCTTGACCCTCAAATTGATCACACAAAATTCCGTGTCTTTAGCGGCTTTGGGCAACAGCTTGGGCCAATTGTTTTGTTTGGTGCCGCCGGAGTGATTGACGGGTTGGCAGCCTTCTATCCCAAGACCGTGGTCAGACTCATGAAGCTTGCGAACCAAGCATCATACCAAGAAGATGTTTTACAAGAGATCAGAAAACTGCAATTCGCTGTTAGCCGCGCCGAAGAGTTTATTGTCAGGTCTGGAATCATTGGCATTCGCGAAGGCATCATCCGTAACACTGGTTTGGGAGCATTTGAGGGAGGCAGACTACCGTTGAAAGGCAGACTGCCTGAGGCAAATTGGACCTCACTGCATCAATTGTATTTATCCGATATTGAGCAGATAGAGGCTACGTTGTAAATCTAGACTTTTCTACAGAGAATCGAGCCAGTTATTACAACTTTTAGTACTTGTCCTACAGCATTACTTGGTAGGAGTGCGCTTTGTGATGATGAGAAGCAAATTTACTTACCCCTGCTTCCGAAGAGATCTATTGACTGCGCGAGTTTACCTTTTATTGTTCATCCTATTCTTTGGTCAAGATTAAATTTCACGACATGCCTAACCGTACTGTTGACTCTGACTGTGTTGTTTGGATCTGCGGATTATCTTTGTGACTTTAAATAACTTGTACATGTTACAACAAGGCTGTTAAATCTATAAAGATCGGAAAAGAAGTACTATACTGAATATTAAATGGTTTCGGTCTGGCATACCCTAACCCTAAGGCTCTTCAACTCTAAGCGGTAAAATCGCATGGAAGTGAGCCGCAGCGATATCCATGCCCTGCACTCAAAGCTCCCTAAAAGTCAATGTTGTGGCATCCATCGGTGATCCTCCACATAAGAGCGTAAAAGTCGTAACTGCCCGGAGTATCTTCCTCGAAACTAATCTCAAGTCGGTCATCTTCTTGCCGCGGCCGTTTCCTTCTCCTATTACGTTCAAATTGGCTCACTAAACAAACTTCTGCGTGCCTGAAAAGCTGAAGTTTAGATCGCCAGAGTAAATGGATCCAGTGTTGTAGTCGGACAAAGTGATGAGTTGATAGGCGGGACCCTCTCCGCTAACTGTCATCGCGCTGGCAGCCATCTGGCCATAGAAGGCGGCGGCAGGCCCAGCGAGGGCGGCGATAACACCGACAATGGAAGTGACCTTCATTTTAAACTGTTCTACAAGAGGGCTTATAGAAGTCCCGGTGTAATGTAGTATACAAGGTAGTATAGAAGCGATTAACTGATGTATTGTTCAGGAAGTCCATATGCAGGTCTTATGGGTTATTTATCTTCAGGTATCAACAAATAGCACATTTAATACCAAGGCTCGCTATTTGAAGCTCAAACGATTCGACAATGCCTCCTTCTATTTAACATATCTTTGAAAGGTATCATGCACCTTCTTCATATGTCAAAGCGTCTTTGAGATTCATTCCGACTATACTTCTGTTAATTAAGTTGCTAAGTTTGAGACCACAAGACAATATTAGGAGACCTCAAAACAGAATCATAAACTTGCCTCTTTGTTTGCGTCTTACTCCGCTTGTAGCAACTGTCAACTGATGGTGTAAGGCGCTGGTTTGTTTGGTGGAAAAATTAGCTCATCGTACTCGCATATCGTTTAACACGGGTCGCTCCGCTATGTACTCATATAGGCAACCATGGTCTTACTCGAGTGTTATATGACCTTTTGATACCCACTGCTATATTAGTAGTAAACGATAAACGATCGCTTGGATCTTCGACGACGCGAAACTGTCCACGGCATGTGAATAAAGCCCGAGAGACTGTGGCAATGTGGCAGTTTGCCTTGCTCAGAACTCTTTTGTAGTATAAATTCTTCGAATTCTTCATTAGTGAAGCCAGACAGTCATACTATCAATGTGTTAAGCGCGAGGAACTATGATGAGTATTAGACAACTCGGCTCATATACGTACTGGTTTGTTCAACATTCTAAAGCTCATTTCAAGGTCAAGAATCTATTACAGGGTAATCGAGCTCATTGTGAATGCCCATTCCGAGTTCAATCAGATTCCCTGCTCACACGGGCGCTACATTTTCTCGAATCATTCAGGCAAGCATATGCGGTGTAATATGAGAAGAAATGAGAGTATTCTCGTATGTGGTTATGCACAAAAAGTTGATGGATTTTTCTCGTCCATAGTCTTGACCCTCATGGCTTCCCAAGCGCTCATGAACCAGCATTGGGCCGCGCGAGAGAAACGCCATGAAGCCGCTCTTTTATTTTATAATTATTGCGAGCTTTTCATCTAAAGTAGATTCAAATTTATTTGTTATGATATGATGCATGTGACTCAAAGCTTTTTTTTTTTTTTTTTTTTCTACACGAAATATCTTTAATAGAGCAAGTTTTCAGAGCGGTACAAATACGCACATATTCCAAATTGTTTATTATAATTCTATAATACGGGCTATACTCACAGATTCTATTTTTGCTGGTTAGTTCCGGAAGAGTACATGCCTACGTACATCAAGCTTTGCGCGCAGGAAAATGGCCGATGCCTGTACTGTTTCCGTCTCAAGCTTCAGACACCGTGAAGCGCTGCTTGTTCCGACACTTTAAATGGGCCGCGGGCTTTTATTAGCGGAAGAAAGCGAGTAGCCATCGTGTGCCGGAAACAGTGGAGCCTGCCCGCACTTTGAACTGAAGCCTCCGCATCGTGAACTTGATGAGCATCTAGCCTGTCGATTTATGGAGTATTGACGAACTCAGCGCCAAAGTCTTTCGAGATTTCATCCACTTGGCCGTAGTATATAGTCTGTTTGCGAGCAAAAGATACTGAGACAGGCCGGTCTTGCTCTTTCTTTGTCTTCTCTACAGCCAACTGCCTTTTGCCACACTGATTTGCTCGCAAAGATAGCTCAGCCGGTTATTTCGACCTCAGCAATCACACAAGAAGGGATATAAAATGGCTTTCGCAGGCAAGGTTTACGCCGTCACCGGGGGCGCAAGTGGAATTGGACTAGCTACGGTTAAGCTATTGGCTGAGCAAGGAGCTACTGTGTGCTTTTCGGACGTCAACACAACTGCTCTGGCTGCAGCCGAGACCTACTTGAAGGAGAAGGGGGCCAAGTTCTCAGCCACCAAGGTAGATGTATCAAAAAGAGCCGAAGTAGATGCGTGGATTGAAGGCATTGTCAAGGAATTTGGACAGCTGGATGGTGCGGCCAACATCGCTGGCATTATTGGCAAGCACCACTCTATTCACTCTATTGAAGAGCTGGAGGACGACGAATGGGACAAGATCATTGCAGTAAACCTTACGGGCTGTATGTATTGCATGAGAGCTGAGCTGAAGAATATCAAAGACGGCGGCTCCATTGTCAATATGGCTTCGATCCAAGGAATCACGGGTGAGTGGCTTGTTTAGTTATACTGCTCCGTTCTACACATCACCTAACTCTTGGTCACTAATAGGCCTGGGATTTCACGGAGGATATGGTGCGAGTAAGCATGGAGTCGTTGGCTTGACTCGGATAGCGGCAAAAGAGTACGGCAAGAGGGAAATCAGGGTCAATGCTGTGGCGCCCGGATCAATCTACACCCCAATGATGCAGGATTTTTGGGATAATAGCGGACGTCCAGCGGATGCCCCTTTTGATGACCCCACTGCATTCCAGAGGCAAGGAAAGCCAGAAGAGGTCGCAAAGGTTGTTCTATTCCTGCTGGGCTCAGACAGCACCTTTGTTAGCGGCAGTGTTTATTCTGTCGATGGTGCTTGGCTCTGACATTGATGTAGCATCAATATAGAACAAGTTTCACACTCAGCTTATTGAGCCCCAGCCCATACTCTTTTGAATATGAGATCACTCGTATTCCATTCTGATTAAAGTAAATCTTGAATGATAATCTGGTTAGTAGCGTTTCTATTTAGCTAACACTGATTGCTACTACGAGAATTTCAGAATCCTTCATTGAAATCAGGTGTAATTGGCAACGTCATTAACTTACCAGACCTTCTTCATTCATGGTTATTCTATCTCTATCTCTATATAAGTTCTACCCAATGCGAGGCAGCAAATATGAACATTTAGGGAATACTATCGATTACAATATTGATGATACTCTTATCATCTATCCTAGCCATCAGATACATAATGAAAACTGTAAACATCTTGACTTTCTCTTACTAGTGTAAACATCGTCCGAATATCTAATTTCTTTTCAGCTCGGATCAATATTCGGTAAGTAAGCCGCTCAAATGTCAAGAAAATTAATATAGCTGGAATTATCCGCTATGATGGAGTGAAACTATGGGATAATGTTATCACTGCTGTCAAAATAGAGTATTGATGTCGTATTCTGTTTGGTGGACAAATCTGTGACACCTTTTTCCGACGGAAATGCTGCTCTCTGTTGGCGGAAAAGACTTACCGTTCCCGGGAGCTTCAGACGACAGCCCATTTCAAGTTCGCCTAATTAGTCAAACGGCATGCTCTTCACGGAAAATGAGAGCTCTTAAAATGACTACTGGAATAGTTGTACCGTTTTGTCATATCCGGAGCAATGTATGATCCTTTACGAGGTAAAAATAGTAGATCTTATTTAGCTGCGAATTGGTTAAACGTGACACTCTTACAGGGATCTTGGAAAGCGTATTCTCCAGGCTGAAAATTTGTTGGAGAAGGAATTAGGTATGTTCACTAATGGCATGGGTATACGAGTATACGTACAAAGGCAGCGGCAGGATGCTAAATGATCACACAAACCTTTACATATTTGAGATCATCGAGTATAATTGGGGTAAATCATAAATACCTTTGAGTGCTTCTGTATTGTAATATGACAGGCAACTTTACGTTGGAGCCCAAGCTGCCAAATTCTTGCTTGCTCTAACACCATTGGATTGATGGCCTCCAGTACCTACTAAAGAAGCATGCATCGGTCTTGTTTCCCGTAAACGGCTTACTGCTCTTATTCTAGCGTCTCGCATTATACTAGGACATTTCAGTGTATATAATGATTACATTCAGTCAAGACACGATGAGAATAAGCCACCACTATCGCCATTTGTATACTCCGTATGGTTCTTTACAACTATTTTACTGTTTCTCTGTATTCTTTTACCACTATGTCATTTTGTTTAGACTCAAGAAGATGCCCCAAAACAGTCCAGCTACACTGCCAACTAATTGTCGGTAGTCAAACGGTACCACGCTCAAATTCAAGAGACCAATAATTGGCCACACGCGATATCCTGCAATTAGCATAGGCCAGAAATCCTGCGCATCGATCGTTAGCTTCTCCTTGACCTCCCCACACAAGAATGGCAAGCTTGTTAAAGGTGGAGTGACCTACCTTTTGGACATTGTTCCAAATCTGGCTGTTACTCTGAAATGTCATGCCACCCATGAGGTAGATGAAAGCCACCGTATTGATGGGTGCACTAAGTGACTGATCCAAGAGAAACTTGACCGCCGTATTAGTTAAGCTTAGACGATCTTTCACTGTGCCTTTGTCTTGCTTTTGCGACGGTTTCAAGTCAGATGATGATCCGTTTATTGGCTTTCTGGATGGCCATTTGCGCTCTAAGAACTCTTGCCATTTGTAATTTGGTGGCGTAACAAGAGCTGTGTATACTACAAACCGCAGTATTGACTCTAGTTCGACTTCTTGGAAAGACTTTTTGTTGAGTGGCAATTTTAGCACCCAATCAAGTAGCAATTGTAGAAAAGAGGCGAATCAAACAGATCGTGTAAATGGGGGTGTCAACGAACCTTGGTTCTATAAGCCGTAATGCCCTGAGCACACACTCCAGAAAAGCCGTTGAGCAAAGTAGCTTGGAGAGTCGCTTCCGCAACCTTGGAATCCAACATCATGGTGGAAAACCTTGGTGGTACCGATCGATAGTCTGCTGCTCAATACAAAGTCCCAACGGTAATGCCTGCGATGCAATGAAGCTATTTGAACGCCACCACCGGATAAGCCAGTTTCGGCGGCAAAAGATATCCGTCAGACTAAGAATCATCACCGCGGGCCGGATTTACTCAATCGCTAAACAACAGTCGTTAGCATCTAGCCAAGAGTGACATCTTTCGGCACCTTCCTGGATAGAAACAGAGCGGGCTACTCCGTAGTTGAGCTTTTAGCGCCGAAGCTGAAGCCAAAACCCCAGGCCACGAGGCTCTCATGGGTGCCATTCCAGGATTCTGGACGGCCGAAAGCCGGCATTACCCCGCGTCAAGGTTCCATGCTACACGAAGGAGAAATGCTCGGGAGTTGGCAAGCGACTTGTCGGCGAGGCACGAGAGTCTTGTTAGTCTGAAAAGCTGTCTGGACGGATCGCTGATCCGCAAAAGGCTCGCCATTGTGGGGGTTAGCCGATTGTGGGGTATGGGGAGTCTGGATCTCACCATGTTGCTTAGCAAGGGGTCAAACAGGGCCAAGTCCTTGGAGACAGGGCGTTTACACTTGTTCATGGTGGTGGTCATGCGGGCGAGGCAATCTATAAATTCTACCGGCCTGGGCATCTCTAGCATTGCGACAGTCGATCGTCACAGGGCGAGACGAAACACTTCAGAGTAGTTATAAAGAGGCCCCTTGGACGCCTTGAACGGCCGTCAACTCTTCTTATTCTTCTTTTGTATCTTCACAGCTGCATTGCCTTATCAGACCTCCACACCCTCCTGTCGATCTTCAACATGGAGAAGGCCGCCGTGTCCACTCTCCACGAGGAGAGCCTCCCCGTTGGGGCTGGGGAAAAGGCCACGATCAACGAGATCGCAGACAACGCGAGGCTGGCTGCCGAGGCCGAGCACGAGCTGTCACCGCTTAAAGCCGTCCGACGATATCCCAAAGCTGTTCTTTGGTGTCTTCTCATCTCCATGTGCGTCATCATGGAAGGCTACGATACTAGTTTACTCAGTAACTTCTACGCCTATCCGGAATTTGCGAAGCGATATGGAGAATTCAACGAAAAATCTGGCAATTATCAACTGTCAGCGCCATGGCAAGCCGGCCTTGGTAACGCCTCGGGCGTGGGATCCTTCTTCGGAACCCTCCTCAATGGCTACCTCGTCCACCGGTTCGGGCACCTGCGGGTCATCACTGGCGCGCTCATTTCCCTCACCTGCTTCATCTTCATCGTATTCTTCGCTCCCAACAACAAAGTCCTGGTCGTTGGCGAGTTCCTTTGCGGTTTCCCCTGGGGAATTTTCGCGACAACAGCCCCAGCCTATGCGTCCGAAGTGTTGCCTATGGCGCTACGAACCTACCTCACCAGCTGGACGAATATGTGTTTTATCATTGGACAATTGATTGCGTCCGGTGTTTTGGCAGGATTGGTGAACAACACCACACAGTGGTCGTACAGAATCCCCTTTGCTATCCAATGGTTCTGGCCAGTTGTCTTGGGACCTATTCTTTTCTTTGCCCCTGAGACCCCGTGGCATCTTGTTCGGGCAGGAAACATCGACGAAGCAAAGAAATCACTGAAGAGACTGCGTCCCAATGATAGTGACGAGGAGCTGCAAGAAAGTCTTAACTTGATTATCTATACCAACAATCTCGAGGAACAACTGTCTGTCGGAACCTCATACTGGGACTGCTTCAAGGGATTCGAGTTGCGTCGAACTGAAATATCTTGCATGTGCATGGTTGGCCAGGTTCTTTGCGGCATTTGCTTCGCGTACAATTCCACCTATTTCTTCCAGCAAATTGGGTTGACCTCTACACAAACCTACCACCTCAATGTTGGCGGTACTGGCATGGCCCTATTTGGAACCCTTGTGTGTTGGTTTTTCATCATGCCCAACTTTGGCTACCGAACCACATACTGGGTAGGAATGGGCGGCATGTGCGCTATTCTCATCATCATTGGCGGCTTAAACGTCCATACCAACGACAAGTCTGTAGCCATGGCACAAGCAGTTCTTACACTCATCTGGACTCTCATCTTCCAACTGTCTGTCGGCCAATTGGGATGGGCTCTCCCTGCCGAACTCGGGTCAACCCGTTTGCGCCAAAAGACAATCTGCCTTGCCCGAAACTCATATGCCATTACTGGTATCGTTGCAAATGTTCTGCAGCCTTACTTTATGAACCCAAGCGAATGGAACCTCAAAGGTTACACCGGGTTCTTCTGGGGCGGAACTGCTTTTCTCATGACCGTATGGGCCTATTTCCGTCTCCCTGAATCCAAGGGGCGCACTTATGAAGAGCTCGACATCCTATTCGCTAGGAGAGTTTCGGCCCGGAAGTTTGCCAAATACAGAATCGACGCTTTCAATGAAGATGTGTTGGCATAGACGTTTCATACTATTTAAAGAGGCAAGGATGACTGGGTAACGTCAGCTTGACTAGGCTTCGAAGTGGAGAAGACGCCTTGACAGTTTTGAGGATGTTGATTATTTCATGGAACGTACGGGCGCCAGCAAGTTGCAGATGTTCGGTTGTTATTTTCGCCGCTTACAATGCCGCTCCTTGCCTGCAAGGGTAGGTAATCAAGGATCCCGCAGCGCTGTTAGGATACAGCAGTATAGGCCTACATAACTTGGTAGTTCGAAATCTAATGAGACTTATTTAATTGCATCTTGCAAATCATCTGCGATTATAATAAAGCACACAGCTAAGTCGAGGAGATTTTTGAGACGTGAGATGTCTGTTTGAAAGCAACTGAAGATAGGAAAACGCTGTGAGGCATAGAACAGGTCTCGGCAGTTCCGCTTGACTTACCGATACCTCAACTAGAGTATACCTATGACTACAAGGTGTAAGATTGTGCTTATTTCTTACATATTTCTCCGTACCTAGTATTACGTAGCATAGTACTATTGACTCGGTATTCTAGTCTGATCGTACGTCCTTGAATCGCTTTGCAACCCTTGTAACATGGGTAAGCGTCGCATCAGACTATTACAGCCACCACCTTGCGACATTGAGTTGTCAAGTTGTCAGGGCTATTCTTCATACCCGTATTACATAGGAGGATGGGATATGCTTCCTACGTTAATTAGGATTTATTGATAGGCGTTTTCTTCCTTGAAATGGCTACAGTATGCCACATCAAACGTCAGCCAGTACGTAGAAACACGGTTCGCCTTCATCTTTGGCGGCACATCCTCGCGAATCCGGTGATACGGGAAGAGCCCATAAAACGGCCGAGGCCAAGGTTCCGCCCCCCATCCCATCTTTATGTTAGGGGCTAATGCCCTGCCAAAGCGCGGGGAATCAATGCCGCCGGTTTAACATCATTGGCTTCTTCGAGTTTACAGGCCCTGCCTATGCCTTAGTTGGCGCGAGGTTGCTAGGAAAACCGCAAGTTATGGAGCGTCGTAGACACATAGTCGCCCGCTAGGGGCCAACGAACCTATTGTTTACGGCTAGGCTCGTGTCCATTCTCGCATTTGTTTGTGGCTAAAGAACGTTCGATTTTGCGAGGTGATTTGCCAGGTGCATTTTGTATAAACTTACACAGTGTCTTTGAAACAGCAGCTTCTGACCACATTCCCGGCCCGCTCATCTCCCGGCAGCAGTGTCCAATGCATAGCCGTCCTTCTCCGCGTCCATGTCCCGGAAGTCAATCCTGTTCGGATATCAAAACTGAGCATAACTAACATGGACGGGTACACGATATCCGTTGCCGATACGGGCGCACAACCGTCAACGCCTTCGCGGCAGACGAGCAGAGACCTCAGAGACTCGAAGCGGATGCGGGTGACGCGCGCCTGCGATAGGTGCAAGAAGTGAGGCTCGCTTGATGCCCCCTTTTGCGTGTCTCAAGACGCATCCACTGACTAAATCCTTTGCATCGCCATATAGGAGGAAGATTCGCTGTACTGGATTGCAGCCCTGTCGGCTGTGCATTGAGGCCAATACAAACTGCACATACGACGCTGCATACACTCGGGGGAGGCACGGCGCGGTGGTGCCTCGTAGAAGCAGCCGCGCCTCTCCGCCATCACAGCCGTCACAACACAGCAGCCAGCATGAGCGCCAGACGTCGGACTCGGTGCGCTGGCATGCTGCTAACCAGCAGAGTCCTGTGCCATCCGGCCGACATCAGCGCCTCAATGACGAGCCTCCGGAGCCTTATCCAGCCCTCGGAGACCCCACACAGCCCGGGACTGAGCCGTTATCTCGGGCCTCTCCTGAGCCTGTGCAGACCGATCTTGAGGGCCACTACGTCGGCCCATCCTCCGGAGTCTCGTTTCTGCTCAGGATTCAAAAGAGGCTAGATCAGTTTGTGTCATTCCCGCAAGGATCCTCCATCTTCACCTTTGGCGACGTGCCGCTGCCGTACCTGGACTCGCTGCAGAATGAGGCGCCGTACTTTGATCCGACGCTCTACATGATGTTGTCCAGAAGCGAGACTACGCGCCTTGTTCAGAGGTATTTCGACTTTGCCGTGCCTGTCGACAGATTTCTTCACCAGCAGACCGTTGAGATGTGGCTTGAGGAGCTGTATGAGACCAAGGGGAAGATGCATAACAGAGAGGATGCGTCCATCCGGAAAGCCGTCTTGTTCATGGTATTTGCGCTTGCTCAGGCGCATATGAGCCAGAGACCAACATCTGATGACGCTGATGTGAGGTATGGCTATTTTGTAAACCGACATCAAACTGGCATCTTGTATGACTGCTGACTCTTCTTCAGTGTCCGGTATTTTCTTGCAGCACACCAGCTTCTATCGAGTGAGAAAGGAGCTATCCGTCTGGAGAGCATTCAGGCCCGACTGCTGCAATGCCTCTGGCTGTTATCAGAGTCACGAATCAACCATTGCTGGAACCTCTTTGGAACCGCTGCGCGCCTTGCATATGCCATTGGCCTACACCGGAAGCGGCATGCTGATCGTATCGACCGCATCGAGGTAGAATGCCGGAGAAGGACATTTTGGAGTGCTTATGCTTTAGACAACTACCTCAGCATGGCATTGGGAAGGCCGCGCACGTTTCATGATGATGACATTGATCAAGAGCTTCCATCTTGTGTAGACGATCACCAGATTTATGCCGATCACGTCAACCAAGACAGCACCCTCGGACAATCGGTAATGTTGGGGCCGGTGGCCTATGCCAAGTACTAAACCCCCCTTTATTGAGCTTCGAGTCGTCGAAAGCGTCAAGACTAATTATTGCTATAGGATGTCTCGAATTCTGAGCATGATTCTTCGGAACGTCTACTCCATTCACGCAACGTCGCGTGATGACAAACACGCATTTGCGACCATACATACCAAGGAGCTTGTTGAGTGGCGAGAAAACGTTGCTCATTTTCTCGATCCCGTGACCCATATGCCTCTGATACCCATCTTCCAGCGCCAGAAGAATGTCCTCAATCTGGCATACTGGCATACTATGATCCTCACTCATCGACCCTTTCTCTTGCGAAACTTTGCAAATCTGCAGAATGGCAGCAGGCCAAGACGTGACGATCGCGAGTTCGAATCTCGCATCGAGCAAAGTGTCAATGAATGTCTGCAGGCGGCTACGAATATCACCAGAACGGTTAACGATATGTACCAAGGAGGACAGCTTTTCCGAGCATATTGGGTATGTCGCGAAGAATCTCGCACTATCAAAAAGCAATGCTAATACATCCACATAGTTCACATCATATTTCGCCTTTTCAGCTGCAGTCATACTGTATGTTTACACAATTCAGAAAAGCAATGAGCCCGAGGAAATATATAGTGGCTACCTCTCGGCTGCAACTCGGTGCCAAGATCAGCTCTCTAATCTCGCAGAAGACGGATCTTTAGTCGCGAGATACTGTTTGGTGCTGGAAGAGCTGCGCCTCGAAGCCCTAAGGCAAACAAAGCAAGGCCGAAACTATGCACGATCGCCAACACAGAAACAAGTCGCCTCGTTACCGAATAACACGAATGGCACTGACGCATTTGAAACTGCCGGTGACGGGATAGGCGTGGCGGACCTCGGAGCCGGTATGACGGATATGGGTGGCATTGGCGATATATACGTGACGCCCACCGACTCTCTCGCCGAGATGACTGGGTGGGCTCAGTTTGATGCCATGGTCAGTGTTTCGATGGATGGATTCTCACTGAATATTTAATGGAGCCATATACGCCGTGTCATCACTTCAATTATGGTCAACATGTCTATTATGCGAACGAAGCAGTAATATCCCCCTTTCACACAACTTCCAAAGCCAGCGCCAATCAATTCTTCGATCTCACAACCACTTCCTTGATCCACTCAATCCTCCCATCTTCCGCAACCTCCGCAAACATAAAAGTCTCGGCAGGCAGCCCAGTTCCATCCTGCAACGTCGTCTTCGATGCGTGCCGCTCCGCAAGCTGGTTTCCATCACGCAGAAATTGCACCGTCGTGAGCTCGACAACTAGATTCATTTCGCGCAAGCGGCGCATATGCGCTACAAAGCCATTAAAGTCGTGATGTTCGTCTACAGCGTCGAATTGAAACGAAGGGGTGAAAATTTTTGCCAAATCAGTTTCGGTTTCTTCAGGCTTCCCAGAAAAGAGGCTCCTGAGGGTCGCTTGATATGTTTCAGCGCTGTCGGCAAAGGTAGCTCGAGTCATGATGAATATTGAATGACATAAAAATTATGTTTTAATTTGTGTCTTGTCTTATCAAGTTCTAAAGTGTGATGAGTCTGCAGGAACAGTTCATTCTCTTTATGTGTGGCGCGAATGTCGCTGCCTGAAGTATTCGTCACCAACTACGGCATTTGTATATACCTCTTCGTGGATGGATCTAAGGAAGATCAAGAAAATGCTATATCAAAATTTTACTGCCTAAATCAGGCTACAAAAATGGTGATTGCGTAATTTTTCCTGAGAATTTCCAATGAATCGATCCATTATGGTACTGCCATGGTGTTGTAATGAATTTCTTGGCCTTTCTATAATTTCTAGCCTAGTGGTGGAAGTTTTATAAGTCGCCAACTTTCCTGCAGCCCAACTTGCGTGCAACTACGCTGATGAATCAGTCGGACCCTACACCAAACTCATAGCTAGGCTGCCAGCATGGTGAAACATTAATCTGGTTGCAATTACCGGCATAGATTTATGCTCAAGTCTCACATGTTATCTAGAGCAAAAATAGGACAACACTTGCTTCACTAAATTTTAAATTTTCCAGGCTCTTGAGCCTTTCTCAATATTGCACAAGCTTTTAATAACTCCAAACCTGAATAAAGATCACTGATCCTCAATTGAAGATGTTCTTCAACAAGTACAAGCATCCATTCCCCTGCAGTCATAAGATGTTAGACAAGAGTCGGAATCTGTCTGCCGTGAGACATCCTGTGACTTGAGAAGCGCAGCTACTTTGAGATACTCTCCCTGAGTAAAATGAATATTTAATTCAAGCAGAGGTAGTTTAAAGAGAAAATACGCGCAGCAGTTCCGTCAGTCATATAAGTTGAGCTGAAGCATATCGCCTCACCCGCTGGCCCGCTTATGCCTAATTTAGTGAGCTTTTGACAGGTAGACTTTCGTGAATGTTAAATGCGCCACTATACACGGTTTCCGCCAATCCCCGATATAAAGAAACTTGAGGCATGATCGATCAAACGATGTGCTGAAAAGCGTTAGTGTTGAGCCGAAATCTTGAAGCCGATATCGCAAATATATACCATGCGAGTGATTGATTCTTAGGAGCAGGCAGATGAATAATAACTACCTAGACCCATAAACACGCGCTGGGCTAAGTTGGCAGAGAAATAAACATTGAAGTTTACAGCCGGAATACTTGAGGCCATATTAACTTACATTGAAGAATTATCTCCATTTCATATGAGAGAAAGATGAATCAAGCTGTCGAGTACATGTAAGACAATGTTTGGCGGAGTTTAGAGCTACAGATGGAGCCGCGCCTCTCGCCAAGACCGAAGTCCGACTTAAGATGCTGGGACACATTTAGACTATTCGAGGTCTAGTACGGAGGAATTTCTACATTGAGAAGATGGAGAGGCATAGCGAGAAAATCATTGGTTGCTCTTTTTCATGTCTCATTTACTCAACAAGTTTATACAGGTCGATGGCAGTAATTATGTACCCGGGGTTTGGTATTGGTACGGCTACTGGAGTAAAGACCCAACTAATAGTAATTGCATTGTAGCGAGAAATGTAGCCGTGAACATGCTGCTTTTAGTATTGTTGCCTAATTCAAGAAAGGGTGAAATCCCGCCTTTGGGTCATCTCATGCGCTACTGGCCGTGATCCTGAACTCCGACCGGTCAAAGCTAACAGTACAGTGACTCATCGGCAACCGCATGAAGTCATCCGCGTTACAACGCGTCCCGAGAAGTGGCGCCGGGCATGGTGGCCGCCTTCCAGCCTAGCTGCAATAGTTTAGGTACCAGCTGCATCAGGGTCAAATCGCTTCACAGCCAGCATTAGAATACGGTTTATACGGCGACTCACCTGTTGAACTGCCCCGTTCAGGACAACCCGAAGCCGAACCCGATACCGAGTCGGCTTCGGAGTCAGGCTTGTCATAGGAGTAGCTTTAGGCCAGCCGCACAAGTTACTCGAAGTGGTGGGTATCTATTGTTTTTATTCTTGTAAAGCCTTCCTTCGGAGACTCACTTTCGCTCACTAACTTAGACCTGCCCTCTTCGCCTCTGATCTACTCCAAACCCAAGCACTGATGGAACAACACCACTGCCGATAAAAAGTTGCCAGCCTTGATACAGCTTGGAATTCTGAGTTGCTTCATCATCCACAATAGCTGTAAGTCATCTATGCCTTCTCTACATCTCTCACTGCAGTCTCCTCCACTGTTTCCGAGTGTGTTAACTGAGCCTGCGAATGTGTAGGTGTCTCCTGCTCCAGCATATAGACATCATCATCGAGTTTATGGTGTCTGATCCAGAAGACGATCGTTTGGACGAAGAGCGCAATGGCTGGACCACCCCAAACCCACTATATTGACCAGAGCAATTAGCATTCTATAACGATATATGTTCGATTTGAGAAACGTCAACTTACAATCAAATGCGGGTCGTCAATAGCCGGAATCAGAACCTCGCCGAGTGCGCTCGACAAGGCGGTGGTGAATAAAAAGAGAGCAAAGACGACAGACTTGAGATGAGGCGGAGAGCGCGAGTATGCCAACTCGTATGCCGTGACGTTGCAGAAGAGTTCGGAAATGGCACCGAGAGCAACGTTGGGAATCTGCCACCAGATGTTGATGGGAGACACGTCGTCGCATGTGCTGGCCTGGTAACCACAGGGGCTCGTCTCATAAACCCTCCACTGGACGATGGCACCAATGGCACCGGAGATTGCTGCGAGCATGAAGCCAAACGTCATGCGGCGGATGGGACCAAACTTGATGCCATATCTGGCCAAGAGAGGATACAAGCCGTGAGAAAGGACTGGCGCGACGGCGATGATGACGAGAGGATTGAAGTTACCAAGCAAATCGGTCGGTGCGCCATTGTTCGTCATGGATGCGCCCTGGTTCGACTGAACAGCACCAACACCTCCGTCGTTGATATTATAGATGGGGAAATAGAGGAAGACAACGCAGGCTTCCATGGTACGCTGCACGTCCAACACGGCTCGATCCGTCCATCCTACTTGAACCCCTCGCTCTGACAGCTTGGTCGGAGTGGCTGCTGACCAAAAGTCCTTCTTCCAAACCTGAAATTTATTGAATTTGAGGCTGGCCCAAATGATTTTGAAGAAGTTGACCAGCTCAGATCCTTGAGGCTTCTTATTGATGATCTTCTTGTAGACGCTCAGCAAGAGGAAAGGCAACAGGAAATAGACGATACCCGGCAGGAGGAAAGAGAGCCAGAAGCCAACATATTTCTCAGTGTACGTGGTCGCAATGGCGAAGAAGGCACCGACGTTGACCGCGGCGTAGAAGATTATCAACACTCTCTGGATCGTCGTTTCCGGATCAACAATAACCTTTTCCCCAGACTTGAGCGTCTTGATCAGCTGTCGCTGATCTTTATATTGGTCAACAACGATTGGTGCCACGTTGGGCTTGAAGATGCCGGCTCCGATGGCCAAGGTGAAAAATGATACGATAAAGGGCGCGACGCCTTTGCCGGCCTTGAGAAGAGACGGAGCAGCTCCACCAATCATGATTACATGGGCAACAGCGCCGATGACAACGCCGAGGATGATTGTCTTGCTAGATTGGCCGGCACATTAGCATCTTTGTTACGCTCGAGATCGGATACCTTCTCATTTCGGTGTTATTACTTACAAGCGTCCGAGACGTGTATCAGCGATATAGGCGCCCAGGATGGGGAAGACATAGGCTAGAAACGTGAACAGGGTGCTAAACGCCGAAGCAAACTGAAGGCCTTGGTTCCTAGATGAGCAAAGACGACGGTTACTCTTGGAGTTCTGGTTACAAGACTATGGACATTGTGTTTCACTTACAACGCGCCCGCATGGCCATTGGGGTCGCTCTTGGGAACGGCACCGCTTCCATTGCCGCCCTCAGGAAGAGGAAACTGCATATAATCGTTGAATACCTGGCTGGCGCCATAGTAACTTGCGCGTTCAGCAACCTCGGCAACACAGAGCACCCAGGAGATCCATGGGATGCTACCGGCGACCTTTCGAAGAGTGACCTTTTCTTCCTCTGTTGGCTCTCTCCCATCAACATCCAGCGAGACCTTTTCTGTGTCATCGTGCAGTCTATCAAGAGCGGCACCAATGTCTTCGCTTTCGATCGGGGCGGCGCCAGAGAGGATCTCCACGGTGCCATGCACATGCGTGGGACCATCGGCAACGTGGTCTGCATCTATATGGAGTGGTGAGTAACCGCGATGAATTCACAGAGAGCTTAGGCAATACATACTCATCTTGGATATTATGGTCCAGACGACTCTTTCCAAAGCAACACAAGGTTCAGCTGCAGCAGATTATGTCGAAGGCATCCCTCACCTCGCGACTGGCGAGCAATGAAGATGGCGATGCAGCCCATTCTTATCTACCACAGAGCAGACCACCAACCTACTCGCACACAACCATACGCGAGCAGATGCGAGCCATCCACCCTAGTCCCACCCGCAATAAAGTGCATGTTCCAGGGTGGAACATAACATGTGCAACCTAGGGATCGATTTCCCATCATCTCCTTGCGAGCGCGAGGCAATACGCCTCCAGCATTGGATAATGTTGGCGAGTCAGGGGATCATCCGCCGAAGCTAGACCACGCCTGAGACAAAAGTTCCCAAATAGTCCAATATTGCCGGGTTTATTTCGATACGGTTGGGAGGTGATTATTTGGCCGTTTGTGTCTGCCAAGACTGCCTCTCTTGTTGGTGAGCTGCACTTACTAACAGGTCCTTGGGTTTGGGCAACACATGTAACCTTCCCCCTCTTCTACATCTGCATCCTCCGCTGGGTATTTTTCAAGCCTCGCGGGTTTCACAACTTTAAAATAAACATATGCAATGCTCCGAACGATTCGAGATAACTACGACGCCGCATCCAGGGCAGAAAGCAAGCCACGAGTGGTACCAACGGTTGAGGGGGTGAGATCAAGATGAAAGAGAGCTAGAACGAACAGCATGCCTCGTACTGTCGTTTACCCACCTGGATGATCCTGCTGCGTTTGGATATAAGCACCTACGTATGCCTATGCCTATGGAGACATACCATTTGGATGCAAAAATGAGCAACGATAAGAAGCCAACAATATTGTCGCCTCTCTTTCAACCGTCGTTATGAACGTTAGTCCAAGAGAAGGATAACAAACACCACACGCTCAAGACCCCCCACACACTTCTTACCCTTAGCCAGACAGAACAAGCCGGCAAACCGGCACCGCAGAGCATCTGGCGCAATCGCGTGGTATGGTTGCGACAAACGCTGATTTGCCGGTTTTGACGACGCAGCTGCTTACCCCAGCTTTTGCCCTTGCTCAATTTACTCTTTGAGCGTATTGAAGAAGGACCCCCTGGCACCCAAATGCAGCAGGTTGGTTCGGTTGCGTGATAGCATCGTTGCGTGAGGTGCGAGGCCCTTTTAGCAGCTCTTTGATTCCTGATAACGAGTGTGGCCTCGCCGGCGAACCGTCCATATGCGGATATAAGAGCCGCTCTTATCAGTTACTGGCTATTGACGGCGTCTAGTTCCTTTCAATTTTCCTCACTTTGCCTCTCTCTCATTGTTTGAATCGCTCTGCTCATGGCATCCAAATACATCTTCTTTCTTTTGCCACTAATAGATTGCCATAACAGAGAACGTCAACGACAAGAAGAATGACCGGGAATAGCCGAAGCAAAGAGCTAGATTGGCTTTCGACCTGGCACGGGCGGGGTACAAGATCGCTCGCCCGCTGCTTTTACCAAGAGGTTATCCAACCATTTAACCATTTCCTCATTGGCGGACGCGCTTTCTAGAAGAAATTGGGCTGATTCTGGCGATCATTGTACAACGGTAACATGCGCGGTGGGGATTTTTAATCGATGGCGGACGGCCTAAATCCATGGCTCAATAATGGCGCAGATGAGACAACCAAAGACATTCCGGCTTGGGCACGTTACTCGCTGGATAGGCGACGCAAGTGCTGCTAGCGACGCTCAGCACATCGTTTTCAACATGAAAACTCAGTTGAACTTGCTATCACTTGAAAGCAATTACTTTCCAAGTTTGAGGCTTGGAGACGCCATAGCGTTGATCAAAGGCAGTGCTATGCCCGATATGCATCTTGTAGAATCGATTTCATGTGGATTTTGACGGTAAGTCTAAGCACTACGCGTGCTTTGCGAGAGTCCTTATATTCGGCCTTGCATTTCGATTGAGTCGTCAGGTGTATCAAACTTTTTTAACAAACCGGCGCATTACATCTCCATCATAATGCCTCTAATTATTTCCACCATACTTACGAGGTCTTGCTGTTGCTTGAGTCTACAACGTCTACATCTAAAAAGGGCTTTTATTACTCTAGGGATGGCGTAAGCTTCTTTTTCGCGCTATTTGGAACCATGGCACTTCTGTTCCGCTTCCCAAACATCAGATGTCATTCTGTTCCAAGAGTACTCTTTGCTGCAGAATACTTTGGCATACTTCTACACGCGCACACATAATCCAGCAGCAGCTGAGTTTTAGCGAGGTATCAGGTGTTTTGCTATTGTATACCTATGCGCTGATCAATACAATTTATGCATCTGCTGGATACACATGAAATGCGAACCGTCGGAATCGTTGCTTTTGGCGCGCTCATATTTCCAGCACCCTCAAAGGCTGCATCTATCCCGCGACCAAAAGGGCTTATTCTTTGTTTTCTAGCCGTTCGTCTAGCATGAAATGGATCATTAGTTAATGCGACATTACAATTTACAACGGAAAGTAACAGATTCGCGTCACGAGCACAAGTAACGGCGTCGTGAGCCAGAAGGAGCCCCTGCAAAACAGTTCGTTGTATAGGTAAACATTATGGATGTAGGTGAAGGCGCAAATTCTAACACATGAATTAATCACTACCCATTGCAGCCAACATTGAATCACCTATGTTATTAGAGAAAAGTGGTTTCGGAAAGATTCCTCTTAAAGTTGGTTGATTTTTTTTTTCGTTGACTCAGCTCTATTACTCTATTAGCAACAGAGAGTAATGAAAGGTTAAATTGCCGTAAAGCAAAGCTGTCTTCTCCACTAGTATACAATCCATACTCTCAGGGACCCAGGAGAGTAAGGCAGGTCTAGAAGATTTGCAGGCAAGCTCATCCGTATTCTTCTGAAAAATATCTGCGCCATCTCGCATGGGGGCTCTACATATTGACACAGAATGAGCACGTATATTTGCGGTACTGCTCTATCTATGCTAGATGCAATCGGACAATCGCTGCTTTATATCCAGTAGCAACTACGCCTGTGGATCCGTAGATCCATAGATCCCTAGCAAAACCAGCCCGACGAAGTCAGAATTACCAAAGGACTTCGGCCCAATATGCATTGTTCAATATTTATTACTTCCATAAAATTATGCACAAGGACCAAGGACTGTATAGACATTGAACAAGTTCGTTTTCGTTTAATGATACAATACTATGCCGATGTGTCAATGGAAAATGTACACCAAGATGCAAGGAAGTGAATATATTTGCTCGAGCTTCGCCGCCTCTTTGTCCCTTTTTTGTCCTATTTAATATCGCGATGCCTAATTGTGTAAATCTCGAAAAGCCAATTATTAAGATTGACGGCCCAATTCGCAATAGTCAGACAAGGGCAATGACGAATATTCAAAAGTTTGAACCTACATGGGAAAATAGCTGCGGGTACTGGTGCGGAACATATTTTTGCAAATGTTGCTGGTTCTAGTGGGAAGAATAAACGAACCTCTTTGTTTTCAATAGTTGTCTGGGTCATCAGAATCTCGGCGTGCAGAGTTCAGATGCAATGCGTAATTGTGCCAAACACTGTGTTACATACCGAGAGGTCGCTGTTCTGTTGCAGACCGCTAAATGCACCTCCAAGAGATGTCCTATGAGTCAGAGCATTTCTGATATCTCGTTCCATGGCCAATTGGGATTCCCAATATTTCTCAACATTCGGGAGCGCGCAGGTTGGCTGCCTAGAATGAATCTTGTCATTGCCCCGTGCGTCGTCAAAGCCTTCAGCTGGTCACCGCCTCTGTAGCTTGTCTGTATGTGTTTGCCACCTACTCCATCTATATGAAACAAGCAGCTATTCTCTAGCGCGCTCCATTACCTCTCGGTGAGCATTCTCAGAAGCCTAGTCGGTATGTGGCTTCTTGGTAGTGAGTCACTGTATGCATTTCGAGGACTTTATGGACATTTGATCACAACAGATGCAGCGTTTCCATTTAAGTTGTTCTCATCAAGTATATATCATGTTCCAACGTTCAGGTTCAGCTTGTCAACACACTCGCTGGGGCTTACAGGCGTGCTGGCCATGTCGTATTAGCGGCTGTTGGGCCTTGAATCACGCATGTTGTTGGTACGACATAGTCCAGAGACAATAGACTAGTGGTGTTTAGGTGACACCAAGACGGTCAGACGCTGAAATTTCCTTTTTCCTGAAGATTATGTATTTAGCATTATATCAAACTAGTTTCCTCCTCCACTTATCGTCTCTCTTCCAATGCCTTACCTGGTTCGACGACAATCCAGCGCTACACAGCAATCGGCTCTACAGTATCGACGATGAATGGTATCAGTCCTCAGGCGGAGAGCACCACTAGCATAGTGCGCTTGCTCTTCCAGTCCGTTCATAAAGACAAAATCGAAGCTTCCGAGCAATGGTTCGCTGCAACGGATAGGCTAAAGCAAGAGCCCGATTTAGGATTTGTCACCATAGGGTATTCAATCGCTGACGAAGCCGACATCGTCCTTTTCATCTCCTGGGACTATGCTGCGAAACCATCGGCTAGCTTTCTATCGGGAGATGTTGATCACATCTTTTCGCCCCTCAGCGGATTTTTCGCAAAGAAACCCCAGTTAATCTGTGACGTCTGTAGCGTTATAGGAAGACAATCCAAAAACTCTTTCACAACAATGGATAATTCATGGCCCAACGGCATGACCGAATTGATGACGGTGCGCGGGCCAGCTAATGCAACTGAATCAACGATGAGCAAGATTTTCGAAGAAACCAGGGGTTACATAAACGCCATATATACTGGAATGGATTTTTATAACATACATGCATCCAAGCGAACCCTTTTTGGCAGCTGTCTCTATCGCTTGAGCGGCGAGTATGCCAGGGATGGCATAGATAGCGAGGAGAATATCGACTATGCTACCTTCATTCTTCTTCTTGACTGGTTCAGCCCTTCAAGGCGAGCCGAGGTTCAAGATCCTGATATTCCCGAGCGTGCGATACCGGCTTTCCTTCAGGAGTTCTATGGCAACAACTGGTGGCAAAAACAAGTGGTACAGCCGCTTGAGGAAGTGGGTGCCACTATTTCATCCTTCCTTTACAGGGGAGATATTGCCCGTGACCGGGAGGGATTACTACTTATAAGCAAATTCGAAGTTTGGTTACAGGTTGGGCTCATGGACGATGACTCGCTTGCCCAGTTTGAGAGACAACTGGCAGAAAAGAACCAGCAGCAGCAGTAGTTCAAAGACAGGAGTTGGCAACAACTAGATGGCAGGCCTGCGCTCTAGCAAACACGCATATTTCTCCAACAGTGCGTGTAGTTAGCAAGATAGCTACATTTATTGACCATGTGTTGACCATTATGCTTGCCAATTAATTTCCTTCGCTTTTCCATCCCCGGACCAATCAAAATTATCCAAATACCTGTAAAAAGATTGTCGTTAGCTCGCTCATCATCACCATTGACAAGACTTTGTGCTAGAGAGACTTACGCCATCATGGCAAAGTAAGCATATGTCTCGGCGGTTTTTGTCGCTTGTGATGGTCCTGAATTCCCAGCAAACTCACTACCGGGGTGGCTACGTGCCAATCTAGAGCATCGTACATAACCATCTATTTTGCCACACCATGTTAGCTGTGTTCTCTTCAACAAGTGCATGGATACTGTTCCCAAATCCTTCAAAGACATTGTAAGGAAAAAAGCCTTACAAGTTGACAATGCCGTATACGCCTCATCATCGCCCTTTTTGGTAGTAGTGAGTTCAATCTCTCCTGCCGCGTTCTCGAACGACCAGATTAACTCTCCCTCTTTTGAAACGGCCTGTTCATCCTCAACTTTATGACATGCGGTGTTAGCTGTTGATGCCCAAGAAGTGATCATATTAATATTTGGGGATTTACGTCGATTCACTTCCTTGTTTACGATCTCAGATCCGTACCAATGCACGAGCTCATGAAACATGATACGAGAAGCTGCAAACACCCCGAAATCATCTAATTTTTTCCCTACCACAACGCTATTCCTTCCATCCACCGGCGATTCGGATCTGGATACTTCGGCCGAAAAATATGAATCGCAGAATGTGATGAAGTCTTCCGGAACTCGAGTGACGGCCCAAACTCTAGGACGGCAGATGCCGACGCTTCTAGAGTCACCGTTGGTGATAAACCTTTTTCCGTATATCCAAGCTCCCGTAGCTGTCGTGAAGATATTGGGTCTCGATAGATATAGCGGTTTCGTCGGGGTAATAGATGGATCGTTCATTTCTTTAGTGTGCCACTTCCATGATGCGTCGCCGCACATCCAGAGCGGCTTCTCGTGGAGGCCCGAGAAACCGCCTGGCGGGTAATTCACTTTACCATATAGAGCATCATTCATCCGTTGATAGACACCTAGCAAGTGCACACGTCAGTCCTGGCGTGTATAATTTGCCTCCTCAGTGAGGCAAGAAAGGGGAAATTATAGCCTATATTTGACTTACCCAAGACCTTTCTAAAATATTTATCTCCTGGGCTCGTTCCTTTTTCTTCTGGTTTGAAGCCAAACATATTTTCAAAGGCTCGGGCAATGCGGTCCCATTCGATTCGATCCTAAAGGTGGCTGGGGCGAGGCTGTTGAACAAATCGGACGTCTTTCAGTGCTTTTATAACCATATTCCCGACATCATTATAGGCCTTCCGAAGGGTCGATTGATGCGATTTACAAGACTTGTCGATATCCCAAATATCAAGATTGGGAATTCTTTCGTGCTCGCCAGCAACAAAGTTGAGGCCAGAAAGAAGCACAACGAGAATGAATAGGATGAGCATTGCAGGGGCAATGAATGAGGATCGCAGATAGGTAAAGCGACGGCTGTAGAAGTGCAACAGTATACAAATCGGAAGATGAGGAATTACAATCTAATCACGAACAACAGTTCTATCATGGTTTATATAGTTTTTGCAGCCTTCGCGTAAGATGCTAGCCACAATGCAGGACTATCTCCTATAATAGAGATAGACCACCATCATGGCACAGCCGGGGAGCTCTGACCTCCTAACAAACATGAATCTGGCGACGTGTACATTTCCACCTGATCACTTTGGTAAGATTTACATTATTCATGCCTGTTCCCGATAACATGACTCTCTATTTGCTTCATACACTGTTCAGGAGTAGTAACAAACGATGCAACATACCGCCTTATTGGAGCTCCTCTTATCACCGCTTAAGCATTGACCTTCCACTCCCAAGTCATTGAAGGAATATGGCCTTTCGGAGACACCGGCAATGATAACTAATCCACCACCTATTTGAAACTAGCTCTATCAGATGACGGTTTCAAAAGCAAACATCGTAATTGTAAAATTGACAGCCAAATAGCAAAGTTTCAGGAGACTCCGGCCGATACTCGATAGCCAAAAATAGAATCAGCAAATAGTCAAGCAGGATCGTTTCTTACCTGTAGAAAACATTGTTTTGCATTCAGAAAGCTTCCATAGAAGTAATGATATATTTACATCCTCGATCGTACGGCCTCTCAGTTGCATATTGCTCTACCTCATCAATTCTATATTCGCCATCTCTCCTAAAAAACCAAGATCGTCATATTCTACCCAGACCGACTTGAAGCCAAGACGATAGTGGTAGGCTCAAGTCAAAATGGTTGTAATCAGGAAACTATGTTTCCTTGTTGCTTCTTGCTTGGCTTTGGCATCTTCCTATGTCAGAGATAACCGGCCAACGCCTTCACCCCCTTACTATGGCCTACCTATGTCGCCAACCCACACGAGCTCAGCCATTACATCTGTTCTTTCACCCTCTTCTTTACCCTCTTCTTCTTTAACGACTGTTGAAAATTCTTTCGGTTCTCATAGCTCCACATACTCATCTGCAGTCCACCAGATCCAACATAAGAGTATATCGATAACTGCTACTCACAATACGGAGGCTATTGCGGGACACAAGACGCCAATAGGAAGTTCTACAAAATCTATTAGCCGCAAATCGACTTTTTCTACAGTTCACGGTTCACTTACATGGGCTACGCAGTCGCTTCTTGGCTCGAAAGGAGTCTTAAGTAGCAAAGGCTCTATGCAGTCTGAGAAAACCTTTGCTGTCTCTTAGTCCCATTTGAAGACAGCTTCTCGTCCAAATGTTTCAGAGGCATCTATATCATCGTTTCAGCCACGAAAGCCTTCTGTGGATTATACTCGAAAGCCTACAACTCATGCAAGCCAGCCAAAGATGGCCAGTGACAATAGCAGGGCTAGGCCTACGGCCACGATGATGAAGCATTCTACGAAGGAAACGGAAACGGCTATAAGCATTACACACTTGAGAAGTACAAGTGCAAAGACGAAGCTATCTACTCAAATGAGGACTTCTCAACCATTACGATCGTCAACAGTCACGAAAAGGCCAACAAAGGAACCGAAAAGTTCTCCGTCTAGGTCGAAAGATGGAGCTAGTTCATCCATGCCCAGCCATTTCTCGATTACAAAAACTTCGGCCTCAAGTCTTCTGAAGATCATGTCAACTACGACTGGCTCCTCCGAGCAACAATCGACAATACCTAGCAGCCAAAAGCTTTCAACCACTGGCACAAATCCCAAAGGGCAACTGAGCTCCGTTAGAACAGAGACCAGCTCTGTGACGACCACAAAAAGCGGCAAGGCAGCTTCAGGAAATAGTCCAAGTTCTGCGCTGGGGCGTACCATCGGACAAGAAACCACTCCATCAACGCATCAAGTTATTACCCATTCAGCGGTATCCCAAGGCAGTACCACTTCCGCGACAACAAAGCATCCGGTCGGCTTGATCCCTACTAGAAGCACAGCTTTACCAGCTCCTACCAAAAAGCATACTCGCACGATAACAGCCACCGTAGGCCAGTCTGCCAGCATCCCTCGTTCTACGGCCGCAAAGACTACACGTCGGCCAGTAGAAACTAGAGTTACTGGCTCCAAGGGCCTCGTGGCAACCTATGTAGCTACTCAAGATCCCAACTACACCACCAACAGAAAAACAACCACAACAACTGACCATCATGGACACGATATTATCATCTTCCCTGGAGGCTGGAGATGGATTCCCATTGGTATTCCACCCTTGAGGCTGCCCCCTCCGCCGAAATCAAATCCAGATCCTCATGACCACGACGACCATGGCGGTAACGACGATGGTCATAGCGAGGATCATCGCGCCAGCCACAGTAAATCGTCTACCAGCAGCGCGCGTTGTGCCACAACAGAGCCCCCTGAATGCACCAAGACCGTTTCATTCATTACCAGCGGTACCGGGTTTAAGAGGTAAATATTCGCCACTGAAGAGACAAATATCAGTTCAAGGAGGGCTAATGATAGCATAGTACCATTTTTGGAACTTGTTCCCCTATTAGCGGCTGCGTTTCCGGAGAGCAAAGGACTACGACGACAACAATAGCTACCACGCTTCCGATTATCTGGATTAATGAGCCGCTTGGAGGTGATATGTTCTCACCTCCAGACGATATTGATCAAGACACAATACAGTACTTCAATGACCTTTTCGAAAAACAAGGTATCTCCATTGAAGATGACCAGAGAGCGCTTCAAGGTATAAATCCTCAAGTGGACTGTACCGGAAACACACTCGGAATTTCTGTTTCATGCTTCAACGCCATTTATCCTTCGTTCTGCAAAGAAGTAGAGGCAAATTTGAGCAAAAGTTTAGCCAAGTCATTTATGGGCCTTGAGAGTCTGGCTAGTTCTCGGGTGGCCCGCTCTGATATGGTGAGCCGGAGAATCTTGATGAAGAGAAATGCCTGCAACGATTGGAGTTTCCAGTTCAATTGGAGTGGCTCCTACGGTAAATGCGACAAGTCATGCAGCGAGTACTTTGAGATGATTGGCGAAAAATGCATAAAGGATAAGAGCAACGATAAAGGCTCTCTTGACGTTGGATGCGGCACATATAATTTCGAAGTCAAAGCCGCTTCTACTAAATCAGTATCATCTACGTCAAGAAAGATGTCTCATAAAACTACTACTACTATATCAGCCTCATCTATATCGAGAAAGACGTCTCGAAAATCCATCACTACTGCTACATCAACCTCATCTCCATCAAAAAAGATGTCTCATAGTCCGTCGAGGATTTCAACTAGCCGAATAGAGGACGCATCGAAATCTGTATCCACTCCATCGAAACCCAGTTTCCTCACGTCAACTCCTCTTGCAACCACAGAATCGTTTCCTCCCAACCCAACTGATGGCTCATACAGGCCGCTAATAGTAGGGGAAGCGGTGTGTGAAGATGAGGACAACCTACCTGGTCACGCACCTATCAATGAAGAACACCAGGGCCAACTGGCCAGCATAGCTTGCCTCAGTTTACGTTTGGTACACCATATCAGCTCTATGAGCTCCCATAGTAAGCCTATAACATATAACGCAAATCCTGATGGAACAAATTACTTCTATTCTATTTCCTGGATTGATGGTTGCGAGACAGCGGTCGAAAGCCAAGATCCTTCTCTTCCATTAGGTTCTCTTCCATCTGGAAATGACCTCAGCCCTCACTGCTCGTACATACTTACTTGGGCATATGATTGGTGTAAGTGTCTAAGCGCCCGCATCGGTTGAATTTAACTAATTGGTATCAGGTAATAATGGTGGTGTAGGCGGGTACATAGACGCTGGCTGCCTGCGGTATCAGTTTATTGGAGGGCAATAAAATATCGCGTTCTAATTTACGATGCGCATAGCTTGGTCTTTGCCAAGCTCTTCGCTTTGACTATCGGGCGTCATTTTCAACAAATGTTCACTTCAGCCCATGATTTGTATTCAATTAGTTGCTTCAACAGCTTATTGATCTTTTAGACGCGTTTCTATGTATTTTGGCAAGCTTGACATTGAGTTTCTTTTGTAATTGATCTAGAGTGTTGCCATAGGGCTATTTTAAAGCATATTGTACAAAGAGCATTCTCAGAGATACCCATAAATCATCGCCTAGGTAATCTTACATTGTGTAGCTTGTGATTAGTCTAGCAACCTCATAGTAAAATGGCTTTTCTCGACATTTTCAAGCATTTTGGATACATCCGGGGAAGAGCGCGATAGTATAAATAACTCTTGAGAAACCTTGCTAAACAAGATGGTTGTCGGGTTTGCGTCTCCGTTTATGCTAAGCACGTATAAATGGATGAATCTTTATCCCCGGCAACCAAGCGCCTCTCCCCTCACTTACATATATAATAAATAGGTAGTAGCGTAAAATATACTAACATTTGTAGATAATTGCCATTATCATCCATCTGTATCAACAAAATCTCGATTCAGTCATCAGCAAACTTATTTCTACCATGGCGCAGCGCATTCTTCTTATCAACGGCCCCAACCTCAATCTGCTTGGGACTAGAGAACCTCAAATCTATGGCTCAACAACACTAAATGATGTCATCAATCAAGCCAAAGCGCAGGCAGATCAGCTTTCTGTACAAATCGAGGCCTTCCAGTCCAACCACGAAGGAGCCATTGTAGATAGGATTCAGGCGGCGCGAGGAGAAATCGACGGCATCGTCATCAACCCTGGAGCCTTTACGCACACAAGCGTGGCGATCCGAGACGCCCTACTTGGCGTAGGAATACCATTCATAGAACTCCATGTCTCAAATGTACATGCTCGAGAACCATGGAGGAAGCATAGTTACTTGAGCGACAAAGCACAGGCAGTCATTTGTGGGTTAGGAGTGTTTGGATATACAGCAGCAATCGAATTTGCGGCGAGGCATATGAAGATCAATGCCGGGGCATCAAAATTGTAAAATAGAATTATCATTTCTCTTATCTGATATGAACTAGGAAGGCTTGGGTTCACAATAAAGCTTGAGTCTTATGTTCCTCGATTGACCGATCAAGTCCCAGGTCGCGCTTCATCCGTCTCCATGACTGTGCTGCTCTGCTTGCCATCATTTCCGGCACTCCATCATCAGTATCTAGCAGAAATCTATTAAATACTTCAAAGCTCAACCAGCCTTGGTATCCGACCTCACGAACAATAACGTCCAAGATTCGTTTGATAGGTAGATATCCGCCATGGTGAGTCTCTCCGTAAAATAACCTAGCATTCCGAGACCAGCTCATCCGAGGTGGCTGTTCTTCATTGTAGAATAGATGATTGCGATCAAGTGGCTGGGCTAGTTTCTCTGCGTCTGCCATTTGGACGAGGAACAGCTTTTGCGGATTGACGTATGCGGCCATATTATGCAGAGATGCCTCAATCGCCTCGTCGCAGTTCTCCGTTCTGCCGGACGATAGATATGGGTCTGCATAGATTCGACCGGCAATGTTAAAAGTGTCGAGGCATAGGCCAAAATTAGGCCTGTTGACTCTTTGCACAATATCCCAACTAGACTCCCATGTGTCCACTCGTGTGCCCCAACACAAAGCCTCATATGCGTATCTGATGGTCGGCGTGGCCTTGAGGCCAATTTCAGCAATCTCAATCATATCATGGACAATAGTATCCATATCTGACGAGACTTCTGAAGGAGACAGGAAGCTACTCGGCAGTAAGATCAAGTCAGTTCCAAGAATATGTGCTAGATGCACCCAAAGCTTCGCCTCCTTCAACCTTTGCTGATGAGCTTCTCTGTCTACCAGGCCCTCATAGTGCATAAAGGGCTGCAGACATAATATCGAGAGTTGGCGGTCATCACAAAGTTGGCGGATCATAGCCGCAGCGGCAAGCTGATTGCTCGGCTTGTTCCCTCCCGGCATCGATTGTGTCAAAGCCACGAGGTCTTCGAAAAACAGTTCGATAGCTTGGAATCCGTATTTCTTCGCCATGTCAAGCTTATGTTCAAGGGAGTGGCCCGCAGAACATCGTCCAAGGGATACAGTGCAAATGCTTGGTTTATAGGACATGGTAAAATTAATATTACAAAAGAGGGCTTGATGTATATAGTGATTATATGATTATTCAAGTTTTGTCATGGATCAGTGACCTGTTTCACGATATATTACCCAGAAGTTTCTACACGTTGGAGACAGCGAAGCTATTTTATACAAATGAGGTACACTTTCTTACAAATTAGATTACAGGTCTTTTACCTATTTAAAGATGAAATATGATAGCATGAGAAATTAGTTCTATAGAGCGAGTGTCGGATAAAGATTGAAGCATTCTTGGATAGAGAAAGGAGATCGGATTAAAGTTTGCAACCGGTCGGCATGACTTGAGCCGCTTAAAAGCGAAGCGCGAGGAGCGAATATCTGTAGAATCGTCATTATTACAGAACCTACATGTATTACTCTATTGGCATGTAGTCGTATAAGCTACGGGCGTTTTGTTTTAGCCAGCGATCATGTTTCAGGGTAAAGCTTTAGCCGGATGGCGGACATAACCCACCAACAAGTGACCCCCACGACTAGTATCCAGTATGATGGGAAGAAAGCCGGATATTCGGTATTCTTCAATGCGGCAACCGTTGCGAGAGATCCGTACAGCTCGGATAACCTTGTTACGAGTTAGGTGTTTCTTGAAAACGATATGTGATTCCTATACCGCCATTATAATGGCCCATCTCAATCTCTTTGAGAATCGAAGAAATCACTGTTGACCTCACCCAACCTTCTAGCAAGCATCATGGCACTATCAGCCCAAGACGGTATCAACGAAGCAGAACGTGCCGGGCTCGACAAGCACGGTTACCTCTTTGGCAAGAAACTCACGCATTCACTTTCTCCTTTTCTTCACCAGGTCATCTACGACCATCTTAACCTCCACTGGAGCCAACTTCGCCTTGATTCATCAGACCTACAGTTGTTCTTGGATCTAGTACAGCACCCATCATGTTTCGGTAAATATTTGTCATTCGCCTCTTATAGCTAAGTCTTTATCTAATCGTGGGTGTCTCCTTCAGGTGCATCTGTTACTATGCCCAACAAAGTGGCCATTATTCCCTATCTTGATGAAATGACAGATGAGTGCCGCGACGTGGGAGCTTGCAACACTGTCTTTTTCAAAAACCGCAATGGCCGACGAGTTCTATGCGGCACCAACACGGACGTCATCGGCATCCGCGACTCCTTTTTCTACAACGTCAAAGATCCGGCCCTCACGTACCATGACCGGCCGGCTCTCGTCATCGGCGGCGGAGGTGCAGCGCGCAGTGCCATCTACGCTCTGAGAAAGTGGATGAATGTCAAAGAAATATATCTCGTGAACCGGGACGCTTCTGAAGTCGAGGCTGTCATCCGAGACTGCGCATCGCGAGGCTATGGCCAAGATCTCTTGCATATTTCCACGGCCGGCCAGGCCAGAAATGCTGCCGGACCTGGTGCTATTGTTGCTTGTGTGCCAGACTTCGTACCACAGACAGCAGAGGAGAAGCTGGCAAGGCAGATCACTGAGATATTATTGGATAAGGAGCACAAGGGCGCCATGCTTGAAATGTGCTACAACCCCACGCCGTTCACTGCTTTGGGCATGCTTGCTGAGAAGAAAGGGTGGGATGTAATCTTGGGGACAGAGGCGTTAATATGGCAGGGACTGGAGCAAGACACGTATTGGACAGGGAACACGATTGAGGGCCTGCCGGCCGAGAAAGTCAAGGCGGCAATTGCGGCAAATGTAGCTCAGAGATCACAAGCCAAATTGTAATAATTACATACACTGAAATAGAACAAAAGTCTTCAATAATTATATCTTTTCAGAACAAAAGCGGTACTTGTTCACTTTTTCGTCCTATATCTCTAGCTTTCATCTGTTTCATTGGGTGTCGGGGCAGCACGGTACATGTAGTCTAGTCAACATTGCCTATAATTCTTGCGCAAACATTACGTCCTGAGCAATATTTCAGTCTACAGTAAAGATGTAATCAAGACATAACAAGGGATTTATCGGAGATATGATGTTTAATCAAGAAAGATGTACACTAATGATGTATATTCATATTGGTAAAGCTTCGCTACTTGGATATTTCGTCGCATCGTTTACACGTTCGTCGTCTCACCCTCCACCTGCTCAGTTGCGAAATCCTTCTCGCTGTCCCAATTAATCCCTCGCGTGTTTTGCGCAAAATCCTCATTCTCAGCTCGAAGCTCCTCCAGCAGAATTTTGTTTGCCTTCCAGGTCGGCTTGATCTTGAAAAGCCGATCCATGGCCTCAAGCGGCAGCGCCTTCGTCTCTGGGATACAGAAAAATACAAAGACAACAGAAATTATCATGAGAGAAGCAAAGAAAAAGTATACCCCGTATCCCCACGCCTCAAACATTTGCTGGGTGAATCTCGCAATTATAAAGTTCCAGAACCAGTTATTGGCCGCTGCGTTGGCTTGACCAAGAGACCGCGTGTTTTGGTCAAACATTTCGGAATTGATGACCCAAGGCGTTCCGTTCCAGGAAGGCGTGTAGAATGCCGTCCATAGATAGAAGAAGAAAATGGCTGCTATGCCTCCAGAGGATAGTGTGGTATTACCACCCACCTTGGAGGCAGGGTCGGCGACTTTTATATATGCTCCAATGAACCACATGCAGAGCGAGCCGCCGATGGCACCAATCATCAGAAGATTGCGCCGACCCATACGATCAATCAGGAAAAGAAGCCACACGATCGTTAAAACCGTTTTAACAACTCCAAATATTCCTGTCGTAAGAAAGCCTGTGTTTGTTCCTGTGATGCCGATGCTCTTGAAGACAGTTGGACTGTAGTAATTGATTGCGTTGATACCGGAGCCTTCAGCTTGTTAGCAACATATTATTACATATTGGGACTCAATGACATCTTACCATTCTGGAAAATGAATAAAAGGGCGCCAAGCAAGAATCTCCATTGAATCTTGCGCTCTTTCAAAGCCAGGAATGGCTTCCAGAAACCAGCACCGACGTCTCGGCGGTACCGTTCCAGTTCTTCGTCGATGAAACCTACTTCTTCCACGATATACTTGTCTTCGCGGTCGAGCTGCCTCATCCAGCAGAGAATCTTCAGAGCCTCCTCTCGCTTGCTCTTCAAGAAGAGCCAGCGTGGAGATTCCGGGATGAATATGGCACCAATCAGCAGCAGTCCTCCGGGGATCAATTGGACGGCAAAAGGTATTAGCCACTGGGTGTTGCTAGGTGCCATGGTTGTGTTGACGCCATATGTGATCCAAAACCCAACAAGCCCACCAATTTGCCACCCGAGTTCGTAGAGGCCCACGAGACGTCCACGCACTGCTGGCGGCGCAAGCTCAGAGATGTATATCGGTGTCATGTTGGAGCATCCTCCCACTCCGAAGCCAGCTACAACGCGGCCGCCGATGATGAGACCAAGGCCACGACTGCCATTGGCACCCAGCATCATGCCCGCTCCAATCATGAAGAGAGCAGCAAACGCGAGAAGGGATTTCCTACGTCCAAGAAAGTAGCTGGAGACGTAGGCCGCCAAGCTTCCGAAGAAGGCTCCGGCTTGATATACGGACACGATGTTTTGCTGGACTAGTGTGAGATGGGCTGGGGTGTATTGCGCAAAGTTGAACTCTGCCTCGAAGGAAGGGAGAGCAAGAGTGGTGCCGATGAAGGCAGAGTCGTATCCAATCATGCATGCTGCAAAGGATGCTGTGGCAGCGCAGGCATACACCCGCCAGTTGTAGACGGCCTTGGGCGTAGGCCGATCTTCTTTTAATGCAAGGAGAGTCATGGTGAAAGATGATTGAACACTGCGAGAGTGCCAGTTGGCTTGAATGCTCCTGAGCAGAGGGAATCTTTGGTGTCCATTGGTCAACTTATACGAGACAGTGATCAGCCATAAGGTCGTCTTCAGCTTTCCCCATGGGGAAGAAGTCAGTAGCGAGGAGCTAATGCATGTACATTCGGCATAGATTGATTACTGGATGAATCTGGGGTTGATGGACTGGCAGCCGAAGATTTGGTTCTTTGGTGGACTGGCTTGCTTGTGGAGCCGCCACCCATGCCTGGATAAAGATATATCCAGACGGGAAGCGGCAAGCATTTTAGCCCTGCACGCATCAATAGTTTCGAGCCAAAAAAAAAATATCCATGTGACCATTGGCAGCCTCTTACGTAGAATGGCCAAATGGTTGAGCGCCCTGCATCTACAAGCCATGTAATGCCTTGTGAAAACCAAAACTTGCATTTTTGTAAATAGTAAAGATCACGAATAGGTATATTGGTTCTAGTAAGTGATAAAGTGGCTAATTAGGCGCCGGAATCGGCATGAAACAATTCTTCCAGAGTACACCCTGGAGCAAATCCAAGATTCATCATAAACTGGGGATCCATTTCAATGCTGCTGTCAGCGTAGTCGATGTTGCCCAGCTCCTCCAGGATTGCCTCGTAGTCGACCGAGTTGGTTTGAGATTCTCCTGGTTGTATGACCCGGCTAACGGGCTGCATTGTACCGATCAAGGTTGGTAAAAACTGCATACCGAGATTCGGCGGAGGCTGGGCGGGAGAATATTTATGCTGATTTTCCATATAAATCTGGCCGCTGGGGGGTATGTGTGCCTCCGTGGGGAATAGCCCATATCCTTGGCGAATGGATCTTGTTGGGGGTTCTTCATGGTAGCTCATTGGATTGCCCTGGCCCAATGGCTTCAGTCCGGAGATGTTCCCCCAAGAATTACCGGATATTGATGTTGATGTTTTAGGCGATATTGCATTCCGAGCTGCCTCATCTGGCAGCCACACTCTCTTGATTGTATTTAATGCTAAATTCCATCTGTTGGTATCAGATGTCAGCATTTCATCAATGATGCCTTTCTGTTGAACGAGTGAAAACAGAGCAACGATGATAGGCGGAGTCCCACATGCCCCAAAATTGGATATGCTGGATTCAACCACCTCTAGGAAATTAGACGTGAGGGAAGATCGTTGGCCCGGGACGAGCTCAACGGTTGCGGCTAAGAACATGGCCTGGATGAGAAATGCTGAAGGTACCATTGGAGTTGCCTCTCCGGCAATAACAGAATTGCAAAAGCTGAACTGTGGATCCAAGGATGATACAAGATCCCCGACGGTAATAGCTTTACCAGGGTCGTCTGGATGAAGCTTTTCGGCAGCATGAGTACTTAAAATCTGGGCAAATCGACTCAACTGGTCCAGAGCAAAAGGAGGGGGTATCTGAGGGCGAGCAGAGATGGGATTTAGTGAGAGTTTACCAAACCCATAGGCCGGAGAAAAAGAATCAGTGAAGCCCAAATCTGATAGACCAGTCCGCTGGACATTTCTCATATCCAGTATCCGGGATGGCTGCCCAATACAAATCGATGTTAGCACCTCGATGAGGTTACAAGCGGCAGCTAATTTATCCAAAACTGGCTTTTGCGCATCGCCATTCATTACCCGCAGGTATGAAATCAGCCGCATGGCCTTTCCTGTGATGAGTGATGCAGCCAGCATGTTTTCACGGCCGATCAGAATAATTGCGTGTAGAAGATTTGCTTGAATGCCGGAAACATCGAACTGATCTTCCTCCTGCGGGATCAGGCTCCGTGCTATGGAAAAGATCTCTGTCGGCGATACAGCCCCCTCGCTGATGAGAGGAGCTGAAGAGTGCGCATTTTGAAAAGCTGCAACAGCTACAGCAGACCAGAGAACGGCAAGATTAGAGGAGGTTGTGCCATCTTCCGTCGGGCGATCAGATACACTTCCAGCCTGAGACTCGCATATTGTCGCGGTAGCAAAAATGTCTTCTCGATCGAGTATCGGGAACCAGCAATGGGTATATGCAAAATAGATGTTAAGGAAATGTCGATAATTCGAAGGTAGTTTTGTCGCCCGTTGTTTGATTGATTTGAGCTCTTTTAAAGAAAAAGCCTCGTCAAAAGCTCCAGAGTCTGTCATGTGAGGACTTGCCGATGAACCTGCTATCAAGTCGGTATTTTCCACCGCAGTGTCGTCGTCTGTTTCTGAATCTTCGGTATTAGATGCTTCCACTTTTGGTGCTCCCCCTTCGCAAAGTAGCGATTCAAGCTGCTTATGAACGCGGCACTTGCTCCACCGCTTATGAAGCTTATTCGCGGATATGCCTTTGCTCATAAGAATGTTGGCGCCATCTTTGCCGTCATCCTTGACTAGCAGCTGGTGTAGGGCCTCTTCATTGTCGGGAGTCTTCTCAAGCAACCAAGCAAGCGATAGCTCAATTGCTCTCAGGTATCCGCTTTGAATACCTCTCTTCTTAGATGCAGGCGTATAGGAACAAGACCGGCGCTGAGACACGCAACGGCCACATTGTGGACGTCCGCCATCGCATCTCTCTCGGGCTGTTCTGCAAGCATCACAGGCCAGAGACACTCGCCGTCGCTTGGTTCCTGTGGTTGATGCCTCTGATTTCCTAGCAGGTTCCGACTCGTCCTTGGATCTTTTTTGGGGCGACATGCCGATCGATCATATCTCACCGAAAATCTTTGTCAGCGCCGAAAAATGGATTGCCGTGTTGCCAATTCTCTGTCTCTGCACCAGCATCATCTTTCAGAACGCCAGTATCAACTCTGAAGGATTCTGCACAATCAACAACTGAAAGGCTAAGGAGACAAAACAGGCTCAGCCTCACGATAGTCTTCAGCTGCGACTTCGGCACTTGCCACGCAATCACAACGTGCTATTGGATACACGCACCACTGATAGGGATAGAGTCTGGGGTAAAAGGAGCTAAAGGCTCCTGGCGGGTGGCGAAGTTCCGGTTAAATGCTTATCCCTGGCGCCACAACAAAGTTTAGAACAGTAGTAACAGGCGCCGAGTTGACACTTGGAAACCCATTCAATGTTCACGTTGCAAGAGACTCTTACCACACCACCACACGTTTGGAAACCACACGCAGAATGAGGCATCATGGCTGGCGTGAAGAGATCGTTGGCCACTATGATGAGCAATGAAGGGCCGCTCAGTGTCGACCGGCTGCGGCCATATGCCTTCATCGGCTCAAATTCTGGATCAGAAGTTGCATCAAGAACCCCTACTCCGCCGCTCACACCCACTAGCGGCAAGATCCCAGGTTTCAGTTCCGATGCCTCACTGGCCTTGGTAGGGCTCCGAGGCTCAGGAAAATCAACATTGGCCATCATGGCCGCGTCGGCTTTGAAAAAGAAGGTCATCAATGTGGACGTGGCATTCCAGTCAGCTACGGGCTCATCGAGCTCGAATTTCAAGCAAGTCCATGGGAACGCAGAATGTCAGCGGAGGCAAGCAGAAGTGCTGCAGGAGATTCTCCAGCAGAATCCAACAGGGAGCATCATTGTCTGTCCCTGGATGGATAGGAATGTTCAGATTCTTCTTCGACAGTTTACAGCTACCAACCCAGTCATTCATGTCCTTCGGGATGTCGATGCAATCCAAGGCCACTTGAAGCTCACAGACAAGACAAAAGTGCGCAATTTGATGAAAATGAGCAACTTGTTCTATCGCAGTTGCACGAATCTGGAGTTCTTCAACGTCTCCGAAGTTCGGGAGAAGAATGTGGAGCAATACGAGATCGGTGGCCGTGGATCCACGGCGAACGCTCCTTACTTGGCTTTGAAGCAAGCTGAACGGCATTTCCTCAAATTCTTGTCGCTCATTTACCCAACCGGGACTATTCCCTTTTTCGAGTCTGCATTTCCTCTTGCTAGCATTGCGCCAGAAGACAGAAATTTCACATACTGTCTCTCTCTGCTCATCGAAGACATTTTGAGCGGTAATGAGAAATTGCAAGACTCAATAGTTGGCGTAGACGCGGTTCAAATCTTTGTCAACGACTTGTCAGCAACCCGGGATCCTATTGGCGGTTTCAACAACTTAACTAACAGAATTACCGAGGCCACGGGAATTGTCCGAAGGAGCACTATGCTGCCCATCTTGCTCCACATCAAATTGCCTGAGGTGCCCAACAACAGCATAGTGCGGTTATACCTGGACTTGCTTTCGCATAGTTTGGCTCTCGCTCCGGAGATGCTTACAGTTGATTTACGATTGGACCAGTCTGATCTCTCCAAGGTCATCTCTTCAAAGAGCCGATCTAAAATTGTTGGAAGCTATTTCATCTCAACAGACTTCCAATCTTGGGACTCTCCGTCATGGGTATCTTGGTATCAGAAAGCCTGCCAGCTGGGTTGTGACATGGTACGGCTAGTACGAGTAGCGACAACAATGGACGACAATTTTGTCATCTCGCGATTTAAATCCAAGATTTCATCCCTTCAAACAAAAATACCGCTCATCGCGTACAACAGCGGATATCTTGGCCGCCATTCGACCTGCTTCAACCAAACTCTTACACTGGTTGCATCTAGCCCAGTAACGCAAATCCAGGATATGGGCCATCCGTTTCCCTACATCACGGCAAAGGAGGCCACCAATGCCTTATATGCATCTTTTGTATACGATGCAATGAAGCTTTACGTGTTTGGAGCCAACGTAGGATACAGTATGTCTCCAGCCATGCATAATGCTGCACTGTCATCCTGTGGTATACCACATCACTATGCGCCTTATTCGAGCGGTTCTCTGAAAGGGGTTGAACACCTGATATACGATACTCACTTTGGCGGAGCATCTATTGGACTACCATTCAAAGTTGAAATTACAACTTTGACTAAATATCTAAGTCCTCACGCCAGAGCCATCGGGGCCGCCAATACTTTGATTCCCATTCGCCAACTCAAATCCGATGGCACCATCCCAACAGGCTCTGCGCTTTTTGCTGGAATAAATAGAGCTGGTCCTGTTTTAGCTCTATATGGCGAGAATACAGACTGGATCGGTATTCGAGCATGTATCCGCCGCGGACTGTCTCCCGCAAATGCTGTAAGACCAACCACATGGGGACTCATTATAGGTGCAGGCGGTATGGCCCGCGCCGCCGTTTACGCTACGCTACAGGTTGGCATCAAAAACATTGCCATTTACAATCGAACCATGGAGAATGCGGAGAAACTAGTGTTTCATTTCCAGAAGCTACTCAAAGAAGGAGAGCAGAATTTGTTTACCGATAACCAAGAGATACGGTTTCATATATTCACTTCTCTTGATGAGCCTTGGCTATCTGATCAACGGTATCCCTCCATCATTATATCATGTATCCCGACGCATCCAATTGGCAATACGCCATCTCCCGAGTTCAAGCTGCCTGATGCATGGATGGCCAATCAAACAGGCGGCGTTATCATCGAACTCGGATACAAAACATTGAATACGCCACTCTTGAAACAAGCAAGAGATGGGGCTTCCCGAGGCTGGGTAGCTATGGACGGCCTGGATTTGCTTCCGGAACAAGGCTGTGCGCAGTTTGAACTTTTTACAGGTAGAAGAGCCCCCCGACGTGTCATGCGAAGAGAAATCTTGGAGAATTATAGGGATGAGTATGGAAAGTCACACCTAGAAGAATTACAGCACAGGCTACAGTCAACAGTTGAACAGGATTCTTAAAAGCTATAGCTTCAGCAACTACATGTAAGCTATGGGTTTTGATTTATTATTAGTAAACTTTGTATATACATAGCTCCAGCAAACGTGGGCACGCTTTGGGGTTTGGTTTCGTATTTAGTAGATAAAATATTATATGTACATAGTTTAGGAAGCATGGGCAAATTATGGATTATGTTTCATGATTTAGTAGGTACATACACACACAACTCTTCATCATGCCTGGCTGTGAATTTGGCAACCTAGATATAGCGTAGGGATATTCTATTAGATGTCTTATGCTACACGCATTAAGAAGTCCACTGAGAGAAATACTTCATAGGCAGCATTGCTATGTCACCAGCAACAAGAAATTAATTTCTGCTTGGTCTTGGCCTACTTAAAAAGCCACCGTTAAACCACCGTTATCCCTGTCAATTCCAAGCTATGCGATCCTACGAGCAAGATTGTCTCACTTGGAGGGGCATGCAGGGAACCTATTGCTTCTCCTGGATAGATGAACTCAAATGAAATGAAACAACAATTTTTAGTGAATCGCGGCGTTATTTATTACTCACAATGAGTAGAGTTTATCAACTTGTTACGTACAGTCACATTTGTAAAGACTGCTTTTACCACGCTAGACGCAGGGTTGAACGGATAACAAGCTTATGATAGCTCTTGGAATACACGTACATCTCCTTTCAGTTAGTCTATATCTATTCAAAAGAACGCTTCAAAGCTTAAAGTATAGCATCTAGCCCAGTTGCGTTTGTAGCGGCGATAGTACAGGGTATTTGCCTGGGGACCCGTCAAGTGGCACTACCTGCACAGGATCAGTCAAGGCACCCTGGTTTCAACCACAGGCATGGCCTTCTATGTAGAAGCGCCGACATTTCATGAATCAATAGTTTACAGCTTTCTCCACTGCAGATCTTAGTTACCTTGATGTCTAGCTTGAATAGACTCCATGAGCAAGGAACGTAGGAGTTGACGTGCGCTTGCTAGTATGGATCCATGGCAGCACGATTGATCACGCACCATATTCTTAAAAGATACATAGCTCCCAGGAAGCCTGTATTCTTTTCTGTCGTAACTCCTTTGCAAATAAGCAACGTTTATTCTCCATATGCCCTAAGTAGCTCATCCTGCTTATCAATGTCTTGGCCGCACAGAGTAATTGCTTAAAGAAGGATCATGCATGTGCGCCAATATTAACACTCATCCGTATCTTGCTGAACAGTTGTATGCGGGAATATACTCTTGAGAAACTAGAATAATATCGAGGCCTATTGGGAGCTTTCTTTTCCACCCTTGTCAATCGTCTCTCTTTACCCAAGACACACGAAACGAGCGTAAATCCCCTCATTAGCTAACATTGCCCATATTTCACCTGCCCAGACTGCTTATTTTGGTAAATATAAGCGACTCGAGCGTATTAATGCTACAAGCACTAATAAACATTTACAGTAGATTCCCAATAAATATCCCATGTTCAATTTAAACACCCCACATCTAGGCTGCAGCGAAACAAGCATATGCTTGGGTAGCCCGATCCAACGATCCATGAGATACCGCTACTGCATGGTAGTCCCCCTTGCATGAATGCTATAGCCAGGATGGTCCATGACCTTTATGGAACTCATCAATCGCCGCGTGGACAGGTACAAGTTTCTAGACATGAGGGAAAATGGTACAAGTAGTCGAAATTGACACTCTTGGCAAGCCGAAAGTAGAGATTAACTGTTGAAGAGGGCAGCGTCAAGGCAAAAATTCAACGTTACTTCAGAAGCGCCTTCTGTAATTACCATATCAAAATTTCCTACCTTGGAAATAATTTAAACTTCTATTTCTAGCATCTGCATGTAAGACTTGGCAGGGTTGAAAGACAAGGAGGCCGCAATCCCATGGCAAGTTAAAGACTTTGGTGTTATTAAGCTGCTTGACAGGATTATATGCTATTGAGCTTCGTTGATACGGAAGCAGCTTTCCCGTTCAAATCATCAATCATTTTGCTATTTCGCTTCGTTCCTTATTTCACAGCTTCATACCCTTACAGCAGCGTCTTACTGTACTCACCGGTCCAATCCTCTCACTAATTCGCAAAGCGCTTATAAACCACAGCGACCAATCCTCCTGTCATCCCAGCTTCCTCATTCGACAAACACCAAGGCGCTACCGCCTCTCAAGTCTCCATATCCCATCAGTCGATTCACAAAAAAAAAAAAAAAAAAAAAAAACCACCAAAAAAATTCTGTTACCAGAGCAGAGCAAACAAACACTAATGGCCCCGGCCCGCACCGGCCACGCCGAAAGCACCCAAAGCCCATTGGCTCCGCCAAGCAGGAATACGCCGCACCGCGTGGCCCTCGAGTCAACCACGCTTGTTTTAACCACGTTGGGCATAACGGCATGCCTATTGTGCTATTGTTTGTTCCTTCAGTTCAAGTCGTCCGATATGTCACTGGCCACACGACAGGAACAGGAAATGGCGCTTGGGAGGCTGTCAAAGACGGCTACACGGAAGGCTGGACGAAAAGGTAAATGCCACATGTTTCAGTTGAACTAGAAGCACCGAGTTCAGAAAACACACATGTTCGAGTCAGCTACTTAGGTACATAGTATTCACTACTACTAACATGCATCTCTGCAGGACATGGCGATCGTCAGATTGAAATGAATATGCCTAAAAAAAACACAAAGAATAGCTTATTGATTAGTGCTCCCCAAGCCAAGTAATAATTCCAGCTCGTCTAACATGACCTACCTTTTCAAGCCCAGCTCCTCATCAGGGTAACCCGGCCATCAAAACCGTCTCTCCACGCTGTTTCCCGCTAATCGGGCCTCTAAAAAAAAAATCCGCATGGCATCGTTCCCACCGCCACCATCGCGGAATCTGGACACCGAAAACATACAACTCAAGTCATGCATGCATGTCACCAGGCCCACGTGTGAAAAAGAAGAAGAAGAAAAGAAGAATGCACGCAAAGACGCATCATCGCATCATTTTAGCTCAGGGTTGACACCCCCCGTCAGTGCGGCTCTCCAGCCATCCAATGGCAGCCCCGTGCCTGGCAGGCGGTTAACCCAAATAGGCAGGAGACGATCCCACAGCAGGGATACTCACTGATTTTCTCAGCGGCACTTGGTTCCGTCTCCCGAGCTTTAAGGGGGCCGTTGTTTGACTCGCTGAGGCCGTTTGGGTGCAGCAGAGCGTGTAAGAGTGCTGTTGGTCGTCAAGTCATGTATGGAAGAGCCATGAGTCGATGGGGAAAAAAACAACTCACTCACTCGGATAACCAGGCACAGTTAGAGCCTCGTCTTTGCATCGTAGCCTATCCCTAGCCCCCAACAACGTTTCACAAGCCGAGCAGGGCAAACCAATCGCCACAGCCTCTCCCGGGCCCTCTACGACCTTCCGAGAGAGAGCAGGCTGTCAGCCTAGACGCCCGGTCCCTCTTCAGGCTATCAAGCGGAATATACTGCATAAACCCTGGGCTGTCTGTTTAAAGGCAAAGGTGGATCCATTGTCTGTATGCACGAGAATACCATAGTACACTGTTTAGGTAGCATGTTCACGACCAACGTTGCTTGAGCACTCATACTGAAGGATTTCCCTAAAGGAAAGTTGCTCATGCCCAGTTTGGGTTTAAAGCAGGGATGAGCTTAAAAAAAAAATATACTTGTACAAGCATGTGTACACTCATCCTATGAAGTTTCAAGTCAGAACCTGGTCCAGTGAGCACTAAAACAAGCAACTCCATAATGTTACAATGGAGCAAGGGAAAGCATGAGAAGGCATGGGATATCTCCAGTTTTATTTTCTGTTTCCCCCGAATGAATAGTAACACCCTTGTGAGGCGCGAGGCTCTAGAAACAGATATATAAGTTCATCTCATATTCCTCTTTGCCGATCTCTCTTTTTTCCCCTTCTTCAATCTGAGCAGCTCTTCAGCAAAAAACAGTCCTTCCTTTCCTATCCTTTTCGAACGAAGTATCCAACTTCCTTCACTCCTTAAGAAACAAAAACCACAATTCGGTTTACAACTCTCCTTTTACCAAAAAAACAGAACCAACTTCATTCCTTTGAAAGACAAGATGCCTTCCTTCACCTCTTCCCTCGGCTTCCTCGCCGCCACCGCCGCCACCGTCTCGGCCGCCGTCCTCCCCCGTGGCGGCACCGTCTCCGTCACCCCCCACGAGCAATACTCGTCCTCCATCGGCGTCCTCGGCTGCCACATCAACACCAACCGCGTCGCCTACTGGCCCGGCGATGTCGACTGCAACAACATCTGCGTCCAGCTCACCTACCAGGGCCGCTCGCTCAACGTCCTCAAGATCGACTCCTCCGGCGGCGCCCACGACATCTCCTATGATGCCTGGAACACCCTCGTCTTTGGCCAGTCCGCCACCGTGGACCCCCAGCAGGGCGGCGGCATCAACATGGACTGGCAGTTTGTCGACGTCAGCCAGTGCGCCGACCTGCTGCACAACGGCAAGCTGCCCCTCAGTGCCGCCAACAGCGTCAACTACGTGGCCAACTGCCTGAACCAGCCAAGCTCATTTGCTGCTCAGAACTACGAGTTCATCAACATCCTCGATCCCGTGTGCCACTATGGTTATGACGAGGACTGCACCTTCAACCTGTCTGTGAGCAACCAGCCTAGCTGCCCTCACCAGCTCGGTGTCCCCAACACTCCCACTGGCGTGTCTGTTCAGAACATCCAGTACGGCACTGGTAAAGTCTACACTGCCTAAGCAGCCAGCAACTGTATATATCTAGCTGGCGCTTGCTGTGGTGATTGTATATAGTCTCCTTACCTGCATATGAAAGAAAAGAAAAACTTGATGGAAATGTTGTCTTTTTTTGGGTTGTCTTGTTGATCATTAGCAACCATTCTTGTATATATATTTGAACCTTCTTGTACATAGCTACCTATGCATATAAAACGTTTTCAGCAGAAATGACCAGTCTCACTCGAGTGTAACACGTAAGAGATAAAAGGGAATCGAGTTGCCACAGCCCAATATATGGTGCATTTGTCGCTAATAATTTGAGAGTATGTAGTCGGGAGGGAGGGTATCTATACTTCTATCATTCCCACGGCGGATGTGTTGAGTCCACCTCATAATGCCCACTCATCAAGGTTGTCATCCCGAGTGATGAAAGGCTCGTCAATCCTCTTGATGGCAAAGTCGCTGCAAAGAATACTATAAAAATGGTTAATCAGCTGCTTCAGGGCGAAAGATGCCAAAGTAAAAAAAAAAGAGACTTACCATGCTGAAGCTACCAAGGCATCAAGTTCAGCAACAACAGCTTCTCGCCGCGCACCGCTCACAAGTCCCTTGTGAATTTGCATTTGAAGCTCTTTAATTCGGGACGACTTGGCAACACCAGCTTGTTCCAAAACCTTCCGCCCCATACAGTCCGAGTGAAAAGAGTGCTGGCAAGGGAACACAAAGAACTGCCTGCTCAGGAGTGGCAGCCCACATACGTAGCACTTCTCGCCAGGCTCCACAATAGCGTATCGATGATCCAAAGCAGCAATATCTAGCTTGATATTCGCGGCCGTCTGAGAAGACTCATCCATTTCCTTCTTCAAATTATCAATGTTTCGGCTATAATCTTCGAGGGCCTCGCAAATTTCCTCTTTGAAGTCATCAATGACCACAAAATCAGGGAAGAAGGGAATTAGATCCTCAATCCGGAGCAAATCGCACCTCTTTAAAAATTCAATCGCCGTCTTGATACCGTCAGACTGAGATATGACTCTCCGGGCAACAGCCAGCCACAGCCTTTTACGCAGCTGAGGGTTTGACATTGGTCTATCAGCAATGACCGCTGCTAGCTCCACCTCATTGTGTGAGAGTGCCAAATCGACGGCCTGAAGATACTGCTCCATGCTGGTGTATATATGAACACAAGAGAGGGTTCGGTGGTGATGGATACACTGTCTCAAGGCAAAGTCGGAATCGTATCGAGGATCATCGCCTTGCGCCTGAAGGTAAGCTAGCAGTCCCGACTCATCTTTGGAAGGGAGTGAAGCGTAGATGGACACAAGAGTGTTGTGAACCGCGGCATCGGTAGAATTGAGCTGGTATACCACATAGTTGAGATATCTTATGGCCTGATTCTGGGCCGTTCCTTCACCAGAAAAGTCGCGATGATATTCCAACAAAGCGGGGATGAGCTTTCGTGGACTGAGATCTTGATGCCTCATAAGGATATCCACTGTATCTTGTGCCACGTGCGACATGAGCACAGTACTGTATCGGTAGAAAACTTCCGGATCCGTCTGCTTCTTCAGGACATTGAGCGCATCAGTCCATCTCTCTCGCTGTACCCAGTATGATAAGACATAGTTGTAGTCGTTGATAGCGTTGGCAAAGTACAAAAGCTCTTCTTCCCTACCGTGGCTACTTATCACGTCGTATACTGTCCTATGGTCGAGATCGCTCTTGTATTTGTTAACGAATTCTTGAAACTCTTTCTTCGCCGCACTCATTTGGTTCCTTGATTCGGCAGGATTAATTCTCTCTGTCAAATCTGTCTGAGTGATGATTGCATCGTCGAGAGAGTTTAGCTTGGCCATGAAGATCTCCACAAGCCAGCTCGCAACCATTATTCTCTGCATGACAGCAGACTTTTTGGTCGTACCCAGCTTCGTAAGTAGGAAGATGCGCAGTGCATCGGGTTGGTTGCTGTCGATGAGCTTGAGTGCAATCTCTTCAAATGGCTTGTTACTCCGGCCGTACACCATCGCAGCCTCGCTCCAGTGGCCCTTTGTAGAGAGGTAATCACCAAACGCCGCGGAAACAGTCTCCTTTTGCATTTGCGAGCGAGCTTGCTGAAGAGCTGGCTCAAACTGCTGAGTCTCCATCATAATCTTCCAAATGTTTCTATCTTCATCTCGCACCACAATCTCAAAGATTTCCTCAGACGTAAACAGCCAAAAGGTATTCTTTTGAGAGTCTACGGAGAAACCAATGGGCTTCTGCCCGGCGGACAGTACGTCATGTTCCGACACCATCTCTCCAGTCAGACGGTTGGTAGTAATGACACGGCCGCCGACCAGATTTACAATGTGCCACTGGGTCAGAGCAATGGCATCGATTGTTTCTGTGGACGGCTTCCGCTTGCTTCCTGCGCCCTGGGTAACGATTTGAGCTCTGGGGAGCATCTTAGATTCTGCAAATATCTTTGATCCAAGCGCGGCGTCTGTAGGTGAATTTAATAGTTTTCCGTGATACACGCCATGTGATGATAGCCAAGCATATGCTCGATCCGGCACATCGTCGTCATGAGGGCTAGTATCAGGTGGATCGGGAGACACGACGAAAGTGGAATTTGCCCCAGAAGTAACTCTTGAAAGCTCGTGGATGACGGGCTGCTCCGTCTCAAACATCCTTGTATAGACAGAGCCGCTACCGTCATAGCCATGGCTAATCCTACCGACGAGGTGGAACAGTCTACTTGGGGTAGCAATCATAATCCTGCGCAAGTCTGCCTTGCCATGCAAGTTGTCGACCCAGAGGCCCGTGATGGGCTCATTTGGAAGCTTATGTAGGTTCTTGAGATGCTTCACTTCTTTCTTGTAGAATTCGTTGGACGTTTCTATGAAGGCCTCGTAGATGTTGCCGTCGGCGGCACCAATAAGGATTTCTCTCGTGGAAGCAGTAGGCAAGGAAGGGTTCCAGGCAACACTTTCAATCACAACATCGCGCAATTTACTCAACGCTCGAGGCTGCTTGGATTGTGAATGTAGATAGAAATTCTGGCCAGTCGTTGTGCAAATCAAAAGATGCGACGCTGTCGGATCGAGGAACATGCGTCGAATAATGCCAATATCGGATGGCTTCTTTGGTAGGTCGATATCTACGTCAGGCCGTCCATATTAGCCCAAGGCTTCTCTCAAAGCATTTCCTACCCTCCTTCATATGCCACCAAACTCACCGTCAATGTCCTCGGGCCGGTTCAGGTCGATGCGCAGAATGCGGCCATTCGACAAGGCCAGGATGATGACGTTGTTCGCAACCTGCGCAGCGGCAAAGTCGGCTGCTATCGAGAACTGCAGCTGCACCCGCTCAATCGTAAAGATTGGCAGGTCGCCGCTCTCCAGATCCGCAGCATCGGCGGCGACAAATCCGTCGTTGGGATCGAGCGACATGGTATCGGCTTCTCAAGCAGACATGCTCGCGCGGGGCTTGAACACGGCGGTGGAGGCCCCGAATCCTGCTTCCGGGTCAGGAGCAGAGGCGAGGCAGTTTCGGCTGCTTTCGCAAAAGGCGGTCGGGTAGATGGGCGGGAGACTGCGAGGCTGGGTGCCTGGTTGAAGCTCGAAGCTGGCGATGGCGGAGCAAATGGGCGGGTGGTTGAGATGGCCAGGCTGCGTCAGTGACGGATCTTTGGGCAGCTCCAACGTGCTGCTGTGGCGCTCATTCGCTGGCGGAGGCGGTGGAGCAAGGGAGCTGGATGCCGTATCGCGTTAGGGGGGAAGAGTACTTGCAGCCTCGCTGTGGTTCCGTGTGGCGGCCAAGCCACAGATCTATGGATGCCATGTCGTCCAGGTACGAGTATATTATGGTAGCTGCGTCCCTCAAACCTCTCTTCAGAACCGACGCTTTGAATATTTATGTATTTTCATTTTCATTTTTTACCTTTTATTATGCTTTTTGCTCTTCCCTCCGGTGACATTGAGGATCACAAGTACTGCTCTACAACTTCACACGAGCCCAAAGTGGCTTGTGGAATACTGATATACATGTCTCCTTCAACTCCCAGCTCCTTCGATCCCATTGCCAATAGCCTATATACAGTTGCAAAAAAAAAAAAAAATAAAATAAAAAAAATGGTAATATCTAAACAATGAATTATACAATAATATGGTCAAAGAATAGGATTCTATATCATTATCCAACTAACAAAAAATAAGGCACCAAGATTCCAAGATACCATAGTCGAATCTTTTATCGGTCGGCTGTGTGCAAAAAAGAAAAAAAGGGAAAGAAAGAACGGTAAATGAAAACAAGAACTTTCAAGAAAAAGCTTGCATGCTTGCTTGTAATCAAATTTCGTCGTCTTCGTTAAAGTTCGTTATTGTAAATGGTGGTGTATCGCTGTCATAGACCCATTCGATAGCAAGAAATGGTAGTGATCAGAGAGGCCTGCTTCAAGCTAAACGTTGTAACAGCCTATCCGATGGAATTCAAGCTAAATGGCTTATGAGCTCTTGTCGCAGCAATTTGCTGCTCCCAAAATAAGGATGCTGATGAATGTATAGTGGCCGATCAGAGTGGACAGTCTATGCCAAGATGGCGCATCGATTTGCTTGCTTTCTGGCTCTTGCTCTCCACAAAACATCTTCCACACTTCTCCCCTGCCACTTCTTATAAGGATTCAACATGTGGCACTTGGTGTAAAGTCTGCGTGACAAAATGCTCGGTTGTCTGGCGCGGTGTTGCGTTCGATGCAGAGTCCAGCTCGGGTGTTCCCTCCTCTCTTCGAGTTCGCAGAGACAAAGGTTCATCCGCTGGCCAAGCGGCGTTTGACCTAGGTGCCTGAAGAGGTTTTCGCGCTACGATGACGCGGAGCTTGGTAGTGAGAGACTTGGCAGCCTCGGGATTCTTTGTGATATTGGCCAACTCCCAAGCCACTTGTTCGCAGACGGCTTTGCACTCTTCCGGATCCCAATTCATGTACTCAGTCAGGAGGCGCAAAGCCATGGACTCGATGCCGTCTATAAGAGCCATTAACCAAATCTTATCAACCGATGGCTCGTCAAACATGACGGGAAGAGAATAGTCCACCACTCGGATATCCACAAAGCCCGCTTCCATGAAATCAGGTGCGTTCAGATGAGATATGGACACCTTTCGCCCCGCCATATCCGCGGCTATGTGGATGTCTCTGAATAACTTATGGATAGGCGATTCGGGCGGGAAGTGATTGTTGAAAAAATCAATGGTATCAAATCCATCCAAGTCGAGGACCTCTATCCACCCACCAGGCTTAAGCGAGTAGTAAGCGCAGTCGTAAATAAAACTCCAGTCACGAAAGGCGCCCGATAACCAGCGCATGTGGATCATGTCGTAGTGGTCCGGCGGTCGGTCCCAGTCTTCGGCGTCCTCGATTTCAAAAAACACGTTGACAGGAACGCTTTCGGTTTCGGCAATGGCTGATATGTCGGTTCCCACCACTTCGCATTCTGGATACATCTCTGCAATCCTAATTGCCCATTCACCAGTGCCAGTGCCAACATCAAGGATATGCGAGGGCAACTCGTCGAACGGAGCAAGACTCAGTTCTCCATCAAAGATGTGCAAGAAGACTTGGTGCAGCAATGTCAGCCGAAGCTGTTCGATCTCATCGTTTGGCATGTGGTACTCTCGGCAATATCGGCGACCATGCAGTTCACGATAATCGAGGTCCATGGTCCATAGAGACCGAGTTGACGCTCTTGGCATGATTGTTAGCAGCTGTCAAGTTTAAAAGATGATACGGAGAGCCAGGCATTTGGACCTAATTCCCACGCCACAGCCAGCATCGATTGGCCAGGAGTAAAAGTCTAATGATGAGACTTACAAGTCAGAAGTCAACGTCCGCGAATCTCCAGCCACGAAATGTCCGCCAGCTGACCTGTATGTGCTCATTGCGCCATGTCGGACTTGGCTGGCTGGATAAAGAGAAGCTACCTCGAAATTGTCATTGTCATCTTCAGGGTCATCCCTGAGGTCGGCGACAGTATCGCCGCCTGCGGCTTCCTCGTCCTCCTCGGTCCCGGCCATGCTGGATGATGCAGCTGGATATCTGTCGCTTTCTCTGTCGATGGATGGTCTTCCAGACTGTGACACACGGGGCTCATGAAGGCGTGTTTCTTGTTGCGCTCGTTGACGCGTTCCCTTTCGACCTTTTCGCTTCTTCGGCGCCATGTGCCTGGCGTATGTCACGGAGTTGTGGATGCTAAGTAGATGATGTCGTGTAGTGTGTTGGAACCCAGAGTTCTATGGTATATGAATGGCTGTGATTGTAGATTTGGAAGACATGGTACTCGGATTACAACGCAAGCAAAAAGGACAAGCGTGGAAATCCAAGATGGGTCAGCGAGAAAAGAGTGATTGCATGTCCCGTCGAGTTGAAAAGCAAAGTCTGGTGCGGCCAGTTGAAAATGAAGAAGCGAGAATAGAGACAAGGAGCGAAGATGCAAAAACAAGAAGAAGAAGCAAGAACAAAACAAAGTAAAATGCAGCGCAAAAGAACGAGCGACTTCTGCACGGACAATGGGGAGAGCGGGACTGGCTGATGGAAGCTGGAGGGAAGCTGGAGGGACTCGGAGCAGCTGAAATGAGTTCCACGCAACAAACTGGACGCTGACGCAGAAGAAGAACAAGGACGGGGGGGGGCAAAGAGAGCAGAGAACCAGACGGCCAACCAGCACCGGCAACAAAACGAAGCCCTTGGAAGCGCTGGCTTCGCACAAAAGCCCGAGGCACAGGGGGCAAAAGCAAAACGGCCAACCAGCAATACGAAAAGGTATGAAGCTGAGAGTCGGGAGAGAGAGAAACAATCAAGACTCCAACGATGGTGGTCGATCAATTTCCTGAGTGGGCCGGCAGACGGGCTCGCTGTGGAGGAATCCAGCACTGTGGGTTTACTGTGGGTTCAGCGGGTTGAGAGGGCCCGCAACCCGCCACAGAGGGGGCGTTCCAGGGCACTCGGTCGCTAGCAGGGCTGGCCGCCTGCTGTGCTGCACGAGGCAAATCCTGGCCCTGATGCCTACCCACGGCTGCGATCCGCGAGGCCAGGGCGTGTCACGGCTCCAAGCAGCAGTGGGTGCGCCGGCGGGCAGTTTGCGTGCATGAGGTGCTTAAGCGAGCAAAATAGGCGTTGAGGCCTTTGCATTTTCTTCATGGCCGAGCCGGAGCATTGTCCGGGGCGCAAGGGATGTCAGCGCCGCTGTATGGTACCTGGTACAGTAGATTGGGCATTTCTCATGGAGTAATCCATACGATTAAAGTACCTACCTACTGACACGTAGTCTGCAGAGGCAGATCGGCCGACTCGGTCTCGTGAGACGGACATTCGCTGAGCTGGGAGGAGCCGCTCGCTAAGACAGCGCAAAGGGTTTTGAGACTTTTCCGGCTGGCTGGTTACATGTCTGCTGTGCTAATTCCAGACAATGGAACAATGGAACGCTCTAAAAAAAGAAAAGGCAAGGGAGAGCAAAGGACATGCAGGACATCAATGAAGGCACAAACGGACCACTTTGAGTAAGTCTAGGACCACAAGCAGCACTCAATCTCAGGACCAGTACCATTACTCATTGTCTACACATGCTATAGTAACACTATTCAATATTATACCACGCTTGGCTGTAATATCCCCCATGACATGAATCGCACATTTCACATGTACCACGCATCAGCAGAAACTTGCTGTAATAGAAGCCTACCTTGATAGAGGCCAAGTACAGTGGCTGAGTATGGCACAGTGCAGAGTTTTCAAGCCCTGGCCGGCGAGATGCCAAATGCACCGCAAGTGCTATAACCTAAAATGGAAATCCCGCTTCCTGTGCGGAATTCTTGCTACCTGAAATTTCTCTACTGTATCTCTTCCAGTTTTTCATCCGCTGTCTGCGCTTGGTGAGTCAATGGTGTATCTTTCCCCGAGTGTGGACGAAGCTAGTTTAATCTATGAATATGCAAACCTATAATCTTAATTCATAAACAGCAGTAGCTCATTTATGTCGTAACTCATATGGTACCTACATGTAGGTAAAAGCAATGGTCCTCATGTCATATAAATAGGCTTCTTTCATTGACTTGATGGGTATATGTATATGAACATGACTCTGAGAAGAGAAAACCACAGGCTCAAAAAAGCACTCTGAAATAGGTAAATTGCAAGGATTTCTCTCTTTGGTTGGTTCGCTTCAACTGAATAGTACCTACAGATGGACTACAAGGATATTTCAATGTGGTTGGTTCGAATCATCCTCAACTGAATACAGATAGATTACGGACAAATTGCAAGGTTGTATTTACGTGGTTGGTTCAAATTGCGAGGTATCAATGGCAGTCACTTTGCAGTAGAAGGCATAATATGCAGTCAGCATCTCTGCCAGTTGTGTTGCAGCAGCATCATCACCTTGTTTGTCCAGTGGCCGTATCCCGCAGGTTGTTCCCCATTAGGTATCATAATGCCACGTGGAATCCTCTGATGCATACGAAATATCGTCTTCGACCCAGATGCTATTTTGCTTTCATCTTGCTATATGCTATGGACAATCCATAGCGTATCCTCCATCAAAACTGTCTGGCGGAACATGCCGTAGCCCCGGCTAGCTGTTGTTTAGCTGCGCCACCTTGGGGTCTTCCCGCGACCTAAATCAATCTTGTTCGGGAAAGGCAAAATTAGGGTTGACACCACCAGAGCTCTGGACTTTTGACAGTTTGACTAACCACCGTCTAGCGCTGCCAAAGTAAGAACGTATTGGTCCAACTCGCCATACCTCGATGTACGTGACACCTCTGCGGCCGCTCTCTTGTCCGACACACATGCAGGCAGCATCTTCATCTTCTGCAATACGCGCAACCCCTGCCCGTCGCCGACGCAAAGCTGCCACTGTACGGTCCGCAGAGACCCGCGCGACTGGTCTCCCCTGCAGCGACGGTCCAATGCATGCATACCTGTACCAACCTAATAGCGCAGCAATGCAGCATTGGACGCATCTGCAGAACCGGGGACAGGGCACCGGGGCTTACCAACATGCCATATACCTGCAGCCAACGAGCTGTGGCCCAGGAAAAAGCAACTGCAGGGGGCTTTGGAAACCACTGGGGCCGAGCGGGCGAATCAGCAGCTGGGACGCCTCGCTCGGTTGTTGGATACATGCGTGTAGGTGTGGACTGGAGTCTTGGATACAGTACGAACTGCGTCCATACGGCGGTTGAGCACACGACAGACAATACTGCTGTCGGTATGACTCCCCAGAGCCTGGGACCCAGTAAGGCCTTTGTTCTTCGCAGCGGCCTCGTCTTACGTGGCCGGCAGGGCTCCTGCTTGCTTGCACTAGGGATTGCTTGACCATGTCAAGCCGCTGGGCTGTCAGCATCACGACCCGACAGCTTGGACCATTCAATTGCATCAGGAAGCCATGTGTGGAGAGTCCGTGCAGCATGAGAGCGCCAACGACGAGCTTACATCTTGGTTTCAGGAGCAGCGCCTGCAAGCAGCGGCAGGGTCCGGGCAATCTGTTTCCTCATCTCTCTTTGATCGTTTCATCAGCGCTGACATGTATTCTGTCGCTGTTCGTATGACACTCACAGCGGAAACAATCTCAAAAAGGCGGCTTTTACTGCCCGGGTACATCCCAAAGCATGCTTACTCACCTATACAGGCAGGCAGCTCACGTTGCGTCCAGGTACGAAGCAGAGCTAGCCCAGGGGCACAGCGGCCGCCTCCTTGTTGCTCAACGACGATCATACCAATACGCCCGGTATTGTGCACTTTGGACGCAGTAGAAACCCAAGATCGGGTTCCCATTTCTCGAACCCCTTGTCCATTATAAGCAGTCCACGTAGAGGTAGAAGTATAGCGCGAGAAGGGCGTATCGAGATTACCCATCAGCCAAACTGCACGTAATACCTACTCTCCGGACGTTTTGCTTTTCACGGTTGGTGCAAATAAAAGCAATGCAAGGGGGGTGGTATTGCATTTGCGCCACCTCGCCTCGTCGCGACAGCAGCCAGAAGTGCCGCTAACAAAGCAGCAAATGCGCATCATACATGATACATGCGCACGCACGCATCAAGCTGACGGATATTAGTGCTAGTACAGGACAAGAAAACATGCTCATGATATCGACCGTATATACGGGATGAGGCATACTACCACCACTGACTAATGATGACCATGTTCTCTGCCGTGCTCTAATTCCGCCGGCCCGGAATTGAATTGCCCACTATACGGTCCCTTGCAAGGTTGCCATGTGAGAATCCGCGGCATTGACACGAGGCGAAAACGTGGGAGTGCCGCGCTATGTCATCCATTTTCCCGATGGATTTAGGGGCCGTCGCAAATGCCCGCAAGGCTCATTTCAGATGTCAAGTGCTTCATCACATGTGTAGGACAAGCCTCGCGCGTAGAGAGAACGAATGGATGAAGCCATCCCACGAGGCTGTCGATGCTGAATCAGCCATGCTGTATATGAGCATTGTTGTGGCATTGAAATTTTCCTCTCAACAATTACTGTCACGTCAAAGTGGGAACTCGTCCGGCGGCCGTACACAAAGCAACTAGTACTACTAATCAATGGTTCAAAAACATGGCCTGTTATGGAAGGCATTTACAATTCAAGTTTATGGATGACCGTCTGTTCTAGTACTACTGCCATCTCATGCGTTCCCGCGCACATCAGTAAACATACACAAAATTCGGATTCTCCTTATCCGTCAAGTCAACAAACGCCGTGGCATTCAGCTCGCCAGCAATAAGCTCCCCGCGATCTTCCAGCTCCGCTCGAAGCTTCTCCTTTTGCTTATTCTCCCATATAAAGGCGTAGCGGAACACAAAGAAGAGCGCCAGTTCGATGCAGTTGGCAACGAGGAGAGAGCCAATCCCAAGATGATATGACGGCGCCTGGTTGGCCTTGTAGAAGAAGGGACCGGCAATGTTGCCGATGCAGGCACCGAACCAGATCATGCCCGAGACAATCATCTTCTTCGACTGCCCACCGGTGTTTGAGGTGATGAGAGAGAGAGAAATGACGAATGAGGCTTGGTATGAGCCGGTCAAGTAGCTGTTTTTAGTTCCGCGTTAGTCAATGTCCAATGATGGATGGCTCTACGTCCGCTTGACATGAGAGAGGGGAAAGGACGCAAGGAAGAAAGCACATGAATGGCTTACAAGCAAATCAGTCTCCCCACATATGCATCGTTTGGAGCAAGCAAGAACCCCAGGGCTCCAGCAATTGTGGGCAGCATAAACAGCGCACAGACAAGCGTCCGGCAGTTATTTGGCATAAACCTATTCGCCAAGGCACCCAGCCCAATCCAAATCACCACCAGCACACCCTGCGGAATGCCCAACAGAGCCGTATGCAGCGTATCAAAATGCAGGCCCTGGATGACTAGAGTCGAAAAGTTGGAAATACCGCCATTCGGGATATTGGACACGAAGCCAAGCAGCGTGAAGAGCCAGGTCTTGTAGTCCAGATAGGCCTCCTTGATCTGTTTCCAGTTGATTCTGTTCTGCTCCACGCCCGTCTGGTTGCGTCTCATCCGCGCAATCATGATGAGCTTCTCGTCATGCGTAAAGCCCCAGATGGTTCGAGGCGAGTTGGGCAGGCAGATGAAGAGGCAGATTCCCCAAGCGGCGCAAAAGGCACCGACAATGATGAACTCGTAGCGCCATGACGGCAGCATTCCCTTGATTTGGCCGATGCCGTATCCTGCAATTCAAAAGTTCACAAACGTCAACAATGCCTCGTTCAAAGAGCATTTTCCTATTCTGGTAAGATAAGCTGGAGAGAGTTTCACTTACCAATAAGACCACCCCCAGCAACACCGACTCCATTAAACGCATACCACGCAGATATCCGCGACGGCTGCTCCGCCCGCGTGTAGTACATGGACGTGATGAGCATAAAGGCCGGGTCGGCAATTGCCTCAAAGGCCCCAGACAGAATCCGAAGGGCCAGCAGGGATTGCAGATTCTTCACCGCGGCCTGGCACATGAGCAGCGCGCCCCACATGAAGATGTTGAAGGCCAGGTAATAGGCGGGCGGGCTGCGCTGCATGAGGAGGTTGGACGGGATGGCCCAGATCAGCCAGCCAAAGTAAAAGCTGCTCGACAGCCATGAGTAGTCGTCGCCCACGAGGTTGAGGTCCTTTTTGATGCCGAAGATGGCGGCGTACGAGAGCGTGGTTTTGTCGACGTACTTGAGCAGTCCCAGGTCAGTCAGCCCGAAACGAGGTTTTACAGGTTGAAAAGGCTCACATAGAAGAAATAGCAGATGCCCAGCAACGGCAGAATTCGCATGTCGAGCTTGCGCAACAATCGCTTCTCCGCCGCCTGGTCAATCGCCTCGTCGTTGGGATACCGCTCCAGGGCCTCCAGATACATCTCGTGGACTGGACGGTCCGTGACCGCGGCCACAACCGTCTTGATGTCCTTCTCCACATGTTCGACATCGCCATCTCCCTCGCCCAGATCCTTCACAGAAGGGGGAGGCAGATAGGCCGCTTCATTGGATTCGGTGGCCATGATCTCTACCTGTTTGGCTTTGCTCGAGACCAGAGTATGTGCACGCAAAAAAAGATCAGCGCAGAAGTCAAGAAGACGCTGCTCGGCTCGTTTAGAGCAAAGCTCCGCCGTTTTATATCTCGGGTTACATCCTTCACCAATCAAGCCCCCTCACCTCATCGTGCATCCCCCAATCGTCCAATAAAGCCGTCGGCACACCGACAACCGAGCATCACTACCGGGAACGAGCATCCTCTGTGGGGGGTTAGAAAAGTCGGGGAAGCTGGAGCCGCCAAAGAGCAAGACGAGAGGCGCCATGTGTGGGGGAAGAGAAAAGCGGAATGGCGCCAACGCCGTCGAGTTTCTCAAGGAGCCAAAAACAAAAACGTGGGGTTTTCCCCAGACTCTAGTCCCCAAGCTGAAGAGCTGGGGAGACGACGAGTGAGTCTTGTGATTCGTTCACGGGGGCGGTTTTCCAGCGAGCGGTTCTTGTGGCGTTCAAAACAACGCTTCATATCCGGTTTACTTCCATACGTGTACGCTTGGCGTTGCCGGCCAAGAAGCTAGCTTAAGCGTTTACCCGCCTCTGAGCAGAGAGGAAATCCTTCATTCGTGGAAACCCGCGTCGCTTTTGTTCTGTATTTTCTCCGGTGGCGCTCAATGGTTTTTCTATAAAAGCCACCAGGGCGTTATCTCCCAGCTAGCTCACGCTTATACACGATATGAAGCGGCTCTTGGACGCCTCGTCGGACAGGTCCCGGTAAGAGGGCGTCCTCGACATTATCCACAAGCTCTACTGCGGGTCGGTTTCTGTATGCCGAATTGCCATGACTCGTGATTCGCCTTTTCTTTGAGGCGTCTTCTTTCTCAAGTGGTGTTAGTTGCATTCTCACGATATCGTTCGAAGCGTGTCATCAATTCGCGCCAACTGGCTGCGTCTTGATTCGGCCAAGTTAGATACGCAACCAACTTCAGCGAAAAAAACAGAGCAGATCCTTCAAAAAGGCCTGTTAATCTAGGTTGATAATCGGTCAAAAAAATCTAAATCTTATTTTTCGGGACATAATGCTGCAAAAACAAAGGTATAGTCGCTAATTTCTCCCTCCCATTTATCATCCAAGAGGCACATAGTGCCAACTTCTAGTGTAAAGTTTCGTTGATACAGTCTATGAATTGAAATCTATTCGTACCGCAAACGCTTGATAGCCGAATCGTCCCAATCATGTTTCACGTGTTGTCGAATGAGAAAGCCAAAGCAAAACACATCTTATATACGAGACCCCGACAAGGCGAAAATAATGCGCCATTGACCACGAATCCAGCAACGGCAAGCTATTCACACATTGCCCCATGCTCCCAGTGTCCAGTTTGTGTGATGTCCTCCGCTGCCACGAATAAAACCTCCTGCGCCCATGCTCTGCCGTTGCTGGGCCTTGACGTCGATTTCATTCGGACGCGTCGCACCACTAGCTCCCTGCTGCAGCCATAGCTCGCGGTCTACCGTAGCCATGGCGGGGATCTTGAGTTGGCAGACCAAACTTGCCCCGGCCCATGGTCCAAGCGAGTGAAGTGTGCGGAATTCTCCCTGTAGTTGCTGGATTTGTGGTCGATGGCGCGCTACCTTCGCCTCAATGGGATCCGATATATCAGATGCCGTAGCTATTGAACTTGGTCGTGATGAGTCTTGTTCTTCTCCGACATCAGACACCGTCGCCGTCGAGCTAACTGACTTTGCGACGCTTGCTCTTCGGTCAGCGAACTGGCTGTTTCGAGTCTCTTCCACGTGCTTGCCCGAGACATTGGCCCATCCTTTTTTATTAACCATGCTCATGACTTCGTCTACAACCCGCTCCTTGACGCCCAGGATATTGGAGCAGCCACCCGTGAAGATGATTCTAGGCATGCAAGTAGCCCTCACATCCATTGGAAGTTGTAGTAAATGCTGATATACGAGCAAATGCAACGGAAGTTCGTGGTCGTCAAATGTTGTTGGTGCTATTGACAGATCAAAGAACGTCTCGTCGCATATATCTGCAATCTTGTCAACAGAGACATCAAGCGTCCTCGGTGGAGTGGTCGATCTTAACGGGATGCTCGCCACGCCGCCTGGCGAGTGCTCCGGCTCAGACTCGTCCTGCTCCTCCACCGTATCTAATTGCTGCGATTGCCTCTGAACTTGAACTTTCTTGAACGCCAACGGCCGACACCACGCCAGACGACACATGATGTCTTCACATTCCGCAAAACTGATGGCTCGTACACCGCCTTCGTCTTCATCCTTGTCAGTCAAGAGTTTCCGGAGAAGCTCGTAGAGTTTGTTGTGAAGATATCTCCCTGCTCTCTCACTGCGCGTGCATTTGACCTCTCGGTACTCGTAGACGCTGGTGACTATCGTTTCGGACCATCCCATATCAATAATCAGCCCTGAGCGGACGCCTGCAGCTACCGCAGACATGGCGGCCGTGGACATGAGAGAGATCATTGGTGTCTGAAACCCCTTGAACAAGAGATCAAGCACAGTGGACAGAATTGGTATTGGCACCGCAGGGTCAATAACAAGGCCAGCTCTTCTTGGCCGGGAGTCAATCAGCAGACACCTAAGACCAGTGTCAATGCCAGCGTTCCTGAGGGCGAACATCATACAAGCTTACCTTCCAAAGGCATCTCTCAGCAGCCGGTCCAGCTTGTCATAAACAAGCCCAAGGTCGACTTGTCTCAAATCATATCGCCATATCTCGTACTGCTCGGCCCAGGATTCGACATCGCCAGCTCCAGGCTGCTGCCAGTTCCTGAAATCTCCCGCTCGGCGCTGGTCTTTTGGCTCGCTTGTGAGCACTGCCTTGGGCTGGTTGTCCCCCGCAAATCCAGCACGGATAAACCTTGACCCAATTTGAATGATTAGAAAGTCATCGTCGGCTCTGATAGTAGCTGGTGAACCGTATGTGTTTGAGATGATCCGCGGAGGCGTATTTGGCGTAGGGCCTGATCCTGAATGCTCTTGAATCGTTGGGGCTGAGCGAATGCTGGCCACGCTCCGATGAGCCAGCGTCGGCCCCGTCCCTGAGGACATGGCCTTGGTGCAGATGTTTCAGGATCCTTCAATGCTTCTCAGCGTTTGTTCTTGGCAAATTGAAGCTCCAGCAATGTTACAAGCGCTATGGCTGCTATATTCTCCTTTTCGGCCTATGAGCGAACTGAGGCGCCTCAACTGCAGCTCGTTCTCACTGAGAGCACTGCCTGGAGCCTGGATTGGCGGGTGCTGTTAGCGCCGGTCCACCGATATCGATAAGGCACCCCTGCCGACCCAAGTGTTTTGGTCCTGTCGTCATGTTAACGGGACAAACAAAACATCACAATCACCATCCACTGTCCTCAGCTTTTGACAAGCCGGGGGAGTGGAAAAAGGTTAGGATATCAATGGGGATCAAAGGGTGAGTATTGAATGTATTTTCTAACAATTATTGATACATTCACATGGAAATCTCACATTTGCAGGATATACAAAGAGCTAGGCCCTGGCAAGCGGATATCACTGTCCAAGCTCGCATCCGATAGTTTCGAGAATCACAACCGGCCATTCCGCCTCGCCATTGACATCGCCATCTGGCAGTTCCAAAACCAAGCTGCGCGTGGTGAGCATACAAGAAGTTACTCAGGCCCCATGCAAGCTTTCATCTAACTTTCAAAACAGGCGGCACGAACCCCGCGATTCGAACCCTCTTCTATCGACTCGTCCGACTCTTGGGAACACCCATCCAGCCAATCTTCGTGTTCGACGGCCCCAACAAACCCAAATTCAAACGCAATAGGCGCTCAGGACGAGGTGATGGCTTCTCAGCAGCCCATGCCAAGAGGCTCATTCGACTTTTTGGATTCATAGCGCACGATGCCCCAGGCGAGGCCGAAGCCGAATGCGCGTTCCTACAGAAGAATGGCGTCGTTGATGCGGTGCTCAGCGAAGATGTGGACACCATCATGTTTGGATGCACGCGAACGATGAAGAATTGGTCGGCTGAAGGCAAGGGCACACGGCCAACGCATATCTCCATGTACGATGTCGACGAATTGAACTTGGCCAGCCTTGGCCTCGATCGAGAGGGAATGGTGCTAGTGGCCATTATGAGTGGCGGCGACTATATCCCTGAGGGAGTGCCTGGCTGTGGACCGAAAGTAGCGTGCGAGGCTGCCAAGGCTGGCTTTGGGAAATCATTGTGTCAACTTCGAGCCTCGGATACAGAGGGCCTCCGCCGGTGGAAAGCGTCGTTGATACACGAGCTTGAAACAAACGAAAGCAAATACTTTCGAACTCGCCACAAGTGTCTTACTATTCCAGAAGATTTCCCAAATATGGAAGTGCTTCGATATTATACCCACCCGGTGGTTTCTCCAGAATCCATGCTGGACATCATCAGACACAGGCTGAGAGAAACTAGAGAGATCCAGTTGGAGGGCCTCAGGGAATTTGCGAGGGAAACTTTCAATTGGGATTTTCGAGTTGGCGCAATCAAATTCATTCGCGTGCTCAGCGAAGGTCTATTTGTGAATCGTCTGCATCAGGGCGGCGTTGATGGCGACTCTTTGGTCCAAAAAGTGTCGAGCCAGCGGAACCATTTTAGTACAGATGGAACATCTGAATTACGTCTGGCTTATATCCCTGAAGAGATTGTTCCCATCGACATATCGAAGGAAGTAGAAGAGCAAATCGCATATGCCCGGAGCGGGCTGGCTCTCAATAGCGATGATGAGTTTGCTGCAGCGCCGGGCAGCGTCGACGCGGCCGAAGATGGCCAGAGTAGCGGCGGAAAGGTGTTTGATATCACAAAACCGGAGCTTACATGGGTTTTGGAAGAGGTGGCCAGGAGATTTGCGCCAAAATCTGTTGAAGCCTGGGAAGACAAGAAATCCAAACGCAAATCGCCCTCTAAAAAGACGGCATCGGGGTCAAACACGAAGACGAAGAAGGCGGATATAATGCCTCACGGGGCCCTTGACAGTTTTGTTCGCGTCACCAAGGCGGTAGAGCCTCAGGAGAAAGCTACCAGCAGCAGTGCCGCCAATACCAAGGGAGATGCCGTTGTAAACAACGAAGTTTGCGAGTCCGAAGATTCGGACATGTCTCTTCCTCCTCTCCCTCAACCGAACCGATTCCGCCGACCACAAACACCGCCATCGCTACGGCAGTCCAGTAAGCAGCCCACGCCCAACAGCACATCCCCCAGCCTGGACGGTTGGACGATAACCAGCTCACCAGACCCAACTAGACGTCATGACGACGCAGGAGTTTTCGAAGCTATCGTCATTTCGTCCAGCCCTGCCGGCGACGCATCGCCACCTTCACGATTTACACCACCATCGCCAACCGCAGCCACCTCGACAAAGCGCAGTAAAGAGCTTCCTAGGTCGATACGGTCAATTCTGGCGGCTGGCGCTACCTCGCGGGTGACAACTGAACACAGCAAACTACCTGCCTCTTCAATATCCAAGACAAAACCAAAAACCTCTACTCAAGCCCAGGGAGCAGCGAAACTTCGACAGACGTCAATGGATATATTTACGCAAAAACAGCCTCAACCGAGAGTGGATCAAACTGCGTCGTCTAGGCGCACCGAGCATGGCCCATATAAGCCGACTTCAAGTCGAGAGAGTATAGACACAGCCACGAATATCAATGAAATCGAGATTCCATCATCCAGCATTCCCAACTCATCCCCTCAAGTTCGCTTTAATACCATTAATGAATTCTCTTCCCCTCCACTTCCAGCATCACGCCGCACCAGGAGCCCTAATCCCATACCAATCAAGAAACTAATCGTCCCCAGCGCTTCGAGGCCTGGCTTCTTTGACGAAGTTGAAGTAGACGCGGACGAATACGAGGAGACAGTCGCGCGAGAAGCACAATTACTCAAAACTCGTGGTGTAAGATCTGGCGTTACAAGATGGAGCGATGTGTCGTTTATTGACTTGACGGGAGGAACATGATTCCACGATAAACTAATGTTGCATGATATCAGAAGAGCGCTACATTGAAAGAGTACTATAACTGTTGGATTCATTAATTATATAATATGAGTAAATGTCGTCATATATAATAAGCGATAACGAATCCCCAAAGACTATTGATTTTATTCCATTAATCAGAAAATCCTATATTGCTGGCCGCCAATTAAACCTCCCGTGGTTTAATAAAAGAGATGACTCCAATTTCCCGCCCGCCAATGTCCAAAATGCCAACCAAAATAAATCGCTCCATGCGCCTTGCAATATAATCCAATGCGTCAAATTGTTATGTCAAGCTTCGCCTTCTTTTTCAATGAAGTCGAAAGATTTCTCCTTTCCTTTTCCTTCTTCCTTGAGATTCCAAGTCTCTTCCAGTCACTGTTTGCCGCAAGTACGGCGTAGTCTTCTGAAATGGTGACGTCTCGAATGTCACTTGCTTGCAAGAACGTCACCGATTGTGTATTTCCTCACTCAATGCAAAGTAGAGAGAGATTCCCGATGGAGCATCGTGCACGCGGCGCTGCCAATATCGCGGGCTGCAGCATGTCGTCGAGCTGTTGCGTCTGGGTGTTTACTTCGTCATGTAAACAAAGGCTCTTGACTCGTCTGTATAGATCCAAGATGACCAAGTCTGTTCAACCGGCCATACTAGGGAGCTCACTCAGCGGGACAATATTCCATGGCGGTGGCTCCCACGACGGAAACTGCTGCGATATACTCTGCATCGCCGTCTGGATCTGCCTAGCCATTCGCCCCTGGACATCTTCGTCATGGCCATTTTCCCCTTCCCAAGGCACAAATATGAGCTCTTCCAGCCCTATCATGCGCGCCGCAACTTCCCTCAGCACCTCCAAGGTGAACCTCGCCGCCGTCATAGAGCTATACGTGTTGCCTATCCAGAAAAGCGCATCGTTAATAGCCAAGCGACGCACGCTCGCCAGCTCTTGTTGATCGCAAAGCATCATGCACGTGCGGAACTGCGAATTTGCGGCCATGAAACCTTGACGAGGGCCAAAGTACAAGATGTCGATTTCAGGGTTGAACAGGATCTGGCCGGGGCCCCGACCGAAGCCAAAGCAAGGATGGTACGTCTGGAGGGCCTCGAGGCGAGATTCTGTGCAGACGTGCAGGTTGACGGGTACCGGTGCGGACGACATGCAACCAGCAGTCGTGAAGCTGTGTCGTGATGATGCGAGGGAGATGTGAGGAGACGATTCGGGGAGGGAAATGCTGTTGCTGCCGCACTGGATGGGCACGAGGCGTGGGCTAGGAAGACTGAGCTCCCATATTCTGAGCCGAAGCTCTGTGGGAAGTTTGGCGAAAGAATGCTAGATGGAGACGAGGTGTTAACCGAGATGTGGTCGAGGGAGAGGTGGAGAGTTCAAGGCAGGGAGCTGAACGTACAAACGAATCGAGGTGTTTTGAGGCTGCGAGTTTTGGGCATGACCGTTTCTCGACGGCTCGGCTCTTGGTGATGGGCGAGGATCGTGTCTTTCGGGGAGAGAGTGCGCCGCGGCAGCGCCGTGATGTTGGTTGTTGGAGAGCCATTGCTCTACTGGTGGCGTTTGAAGGACGTGATGCTGCAGGAAGCTGTTGCCGTTCTCCAGTAGAAGGGATGCGAGTGTCTGTATATAATAAGACAAAGAAAAGAAGGCAGCGTTATAGATGGATATATACTCCACAGCCCCGGGAATAGTAATATATCGAAATTGGCCTAGAGCTATGCAGAATAGAGGCAGCTCCCCTTGATTCGGGCACAGCAAAGACTCAACCCTGACACTTTGATCCCACGCACAGCTCCTAGCCTCTTAGGACTGTGCACTTGAAGAAGAGAAGAATGAACAGGACCTTTAGGAGCAAGGAGAAAAAAAATTAAGGTTCGTGGGGCGTCCAGGATGAAGCTTCCCTTGAGCTCTGTAGCGTCGTGCCTAGCTGGACTAAGCAAGTAGGTACTTGGGGGCATGCACGAAGCAGCCGATGATGGTCCTTTTTTTTCTTTTCACCTCTGTTAGGAAGTAAGTGGGACGAGCGGGTGTACAGAAGGTGTGAAGTGGTTTTAGCCAGAAAGGGGTGTTTGTAGATGAAGTAGAGGAGAGGAGGCTCTTTGGGTCTGGCGAGAAACGGTTGGCTTAGTGTGGTGAGGACAAGCCAGGTATTGCCGGATACAAGTACTAGACCTAGGTATGTATTGTATTGTTTTGATATACCGGCAGGTAATAGGATGATGGACTCTGTGATGCTGAATTGTACTAGATTCAGATGGGTTGAGGCGTTGTAATAAATATGCCCATAGCCTTTGCAGGAACAAGGAAAGAAGGAGAATGACGAGAGCAAGTTTGTTGATAAAGCCCCAAGCAGTGCTCGGTACCGCCGCAAGACTTGGATCGCTGCAAGGTTGTTTACGCTGGATGGGGGACTCCAGCTCCAGATACCCTTGTATCCACCTTCGTCATCCGCGGCTGCTGGGCTGGGGCCTCATTACGCACGTTACAGGCCCGCTTTGTAAGGAGCACAGTATATCAAGTAGCATTTCCTCTCTCTTTTTCCCTCTCTGTCTGTCAATCTCTTGGCGCCTCTCGGATCTCAAGTCTTCCGGCCAGGCGGACCAGGGGCTCTGCTGCCCGCGCCGGGCTGCATACCGAGGATGGACAGCTATTGCATCAGTCCGACCGGATGGGATTACGGGGAACATGGGGGCTGCGGTGGGTACGTGGGAGGCGGCGAGGAGCTCTGGTCAGATGCGATGCTGTACTGTACGGTATATTGCACATAATTTCAAGCCGGTGTTGGTTACGGTGTAGGTACCGGCATTGTACATGCTAGCTTGGTAGTTGTAGCAGACGGCAGTAGACAACAGCAGTAGACAACAGCAGTAGTGTCTATAGGCAATCTAGCAGATAGTGGTAATACTACAAGAAGGATACCCCCGTAAGGAGAATGGACGGGGGCGTGTGCTTTGCGCCATCGGGGCATGGGCGAGTGAAATTGGCAGCCCAGCCCTCGATCGCCGCGGCGGGCCCAGGGCGGTGGGATCGGATTTTGCGAGCGCCCATCGAGAAAAATGGTGGCAATCTTTGTCTTTCCCACTGCCACCCCTTCCAGCGCCAAAGCGTCTCTTCCGGGTCCCTAGTTCGAGGGGAGTGGAGAGGAGGGGGTCTTGGGACGGAACGGGCTGAAAGACGACCCTGGACGGCCAGAAAAAAAAAAGGGCGAGCAAGAGAGGGAAAAAAGCAGAAGAAGAAGAAGAGAAAGAATCCAAGACATGGCAGCAAAAAGAGGCAAAGCGTGCTGTGGCTGTATGCAGGCAGGGTTTGAATGCAGTGCCCGAATCTAGAAAGGCTTCCTTTGAGACCTGTCAAAGGAGAGGACGTTACTGGACGAAGATAGAGCTCGAAAGCTGTACTATAGGGCCGTCGGTTGCTTGTTATGGAGCTGCTCATGAGTTCAGTGAACGAATACTACTGCTCTAGTACAACAATAGAAATATGCCATGTGATTGCTCGTCTTGAGCGAGAGACATCAGAGGCACAGCATCTCAAAATGGGCATTACAGCTCATCCAGCTGTCACCACAGCCACTTACGTAGCAAAGGCGCCTAGACGATACCATGTATACCATCACTGCCTAGGACTCCATAGTGATATCAACTACTGTCTATATTCACTAGACTTTATACAGGGACCAGTGTCACCATGTCAATCTCCCAAAAAGGAAATAAGAAATTCAAAAAAAAAATAAAGAAAGAAACCCGCATTTTCGCCAATCAGAGCCCTCTCAGCTTCGTTTCCCTCCAGCGCTTCGGCCAATGTGCTACCCAGCCCCGACCAAGCCAATTTTGTTTCACCAGGTACGCAAGAAACGAAAGGATGAGAGCAAGAAAAAAAAAGAAAAGATGAGCGCCGGGGGGGGGGGGGGGGGGGGGGGGGGGGGGGGGGGGTGTTCTCTTCCAGGGTCCTAGTCCAGTGGATCTGACGGACGGCCCAAGAGTTGGTGACCCCTGCAAACGCCTACAGCATAATGAATGGGACCTGGCCGTCCGTCTAGCCTACGGGAGCACGAAGGGGGGGCGCAGGAGCGAAGTAACGTACTCGGCCGATCCTCCAGAGAGTATCTTGTATCTCGAGATGTACGGATCGAGGTTCTTGACGGGAGTCGATGTTTTGTGCTCGCCGAGTCTGGGATCAACGACCCGTCACGGGTATCCAAAACCCGGCAATTTCGAGTAGATGGCTGCAGTGATCCTCCGTAACGACTTACACTACTTGCAAAATGTATGCAGTAGCAGCAGCAAAAGGACCCGGGGCGAGCATTCCGCGTCAAGCAAGGCCCGTGTGTGACCTCGTGGGCAGAGCATTTGGCAACGCCAGAGCCAATACGGATCAAATTGCAAACAGCGGCCATGACTGTCTCATCAGGCTCGACGCACCTTGATGTCCTCGCCGGTGGCGATTTTCTGTCAAGATGTCGTGTGTGTCAAGTGCGTGCATGACATGGTCCACCAATCCTGTCTCAAACCACCTGTATATAGAGCAAACGCTGCTCGTATACATCACAGGTGAGACATCCGGCAGACGCTCAAGTCGTCCAGTGCTCGCAGCCATTGCGAACAGGGCTGAGGGTCTACACAGAACCCGCTGCTTGGAATGACCGGGGGAGAGAAAGCTTGCTCGTCTCTGTCAATGCATCTTTGCCTTCTTATTCGCCTGCCGCCTATCCTAGTCCCCCCTGAGCGCCGTTGAACCTATCCAGAGGCTCCCGAGTGAGTAGCGGATGATGATGCACCGCCCTGACTCGAGCTGGAGGTCAAACGTCTAGCTGTTCTTTCTCACATATATGTTGAGAAAAGCCCATATCAGCTGAGGAGCTTAGAGTTGAAAACGGGTTAGGGAACAGAAGCCGGTAGGCCAAGCGTCTACACCATGGCGGAGGATGCATACATGCCAACCATGTCAAACGACGAATCAAGCACCGCCGGCCGCCAATTGCTTAATCAGTAGAATGAGATAGTAACAGACAAAGAAGACCAGCCCCAGATCAATAGCATGTCGTTACTGCACGCCAAGAGGCTCGGAAACTTTCTACCGTCAGGGTCTTAGTCCAGCGAGGCAGCGTGACGGGCTGTGCTTGACGGGACGCAAAGACTTGCGCACGCTGTACTTGTAGATACGGACCTTATACGACTACTAGCAGCAGCAGCATGTATTCCCAGTCGTCGTATGGGGGCACAGCATCAGGGGACTCGCCCGGCAATACAACCTTGGCCTTGAGAGCTCCCTCAATCTGGTTAGCATGCAATGCTTGTCAAGTGTCAAATCAATCACGCATACAAGGCAGCATCAGCAAGCATCAAGACGTGTGATGGTGTAACCGATCGATCATTTTCGATGCCATCTGCCAGGCCAAGATGCCCAGTGTCACATATCCGACAGCACCCATCGAGCCATGGTCGGCCGCTACGATGCCTACAGGCAGCTCGCCAAAGTCCGATGGGCTCTGCTGCTTGGAACTACTACCTTGCCTAGTTCCAAAACCGCTTCAACAACGACAATCACCAACGGTGACTTCCTTTCCTAGTTGGGGAGGCGGCGGTAGGTCCCGAGAACTGAGACATCGCGACACTGAGCAGCTTGCGGTTTAGCGCCGTCAAAAGGGCAGTGAGCGAACTAGGAAGAGGAAAAAGTACATGTACGGTTTACTGAGTTACTCGTGCGATATACTTGTACTTGCATACGGGCGAGAGCCGCGCCGGCGCACTTTTGTGATGCGACAAGCGTTGAGACATTGACGTCTACCTTGGCAGCACCAGGAGAAACAAACATCGGCAAGTGACACAGCCAGCAGTAGCACGGCAGTAGCAGCCCGTGCTAAGAGCAATAGTCCTGCAATCCCTTGCTCCGAGATGCCAGTTTCAAACTCAAAATGGCGAGATGTGTGTTGAGCGGAATGATAAGTCGACAGGTGTAGCCGCTCGATGGGCTCCCCAAGACATTGACAAGAGCCAGCATCGTGGGCCTGCCAAAGCAGTTTAGATTTTCGGGGTCCATTTGCATAGTCGCCGAACATCCATTGCATTAGCACGTCTCTCCTTTGCTAGTCCCCAGCTGAACAAGGATCGTTGGCGGCTCCGCTTTTGACGATCCATCTCTTGATGGAATGGGAAATACTGCTGCTGTGCTACGTAATAACAGCAGCAGCAGACGTCAAAAAAGAGCTGGGAAAGGAGACGAACAAGAGAGTGTGGGAGAAATGACTGCGGAGCAAGGTTACCTTGGAGTTGCCGAGGATGCATTGCTGTGTGTTTCCACAGCATGGGATCAATCAGAATGGATCCAAGATAGAAGGCGCTGCAGCCTGAAGGATGCTTGTGGTTTTTAATCTGTCCTGATAAATCCCCAAAAGCTCATGCTCTGTAAGCTTGTAAGCAGAGGATGACGTCTGGACCGTCACATTGCAGCCGCCTTCATTTATTTTCAGCCTCAGCGCTGTAAACGAGGGGACCCATGGAGGAGAACGGTGGCAGTACGTAAATGCACGCACGAAGCATGCATCTATTACATACGCTACAGTTTACAGGCACACAAGATAGCTACTAGCCTGCCCTATGCGGACGTATAACACGCATCGTTTTCTCGTCTTTTTGAGGCCGTGACGGACATTGTTCCATTCGCTTGTTCGGATACATATTAGGCTTCTCCCGGGGGATGCCAGAGGGGCATTAGCAGCGCGGAAGTTGGATCCCTGTCTGTTCCCGGGTGAGCATCTCATCTTGGTGTGTCCCAATGGCGGAAGGTTTCCTCTTGCGTGTGAGAGAACGGGATGTATTCCGTACAAGTAGTATGTACTAGCATCAACTACAAAGTGCCAGGTGTCTTACAGATAGTGCTGCTCTATTCCGATTAAGGTTCGTCATGAGCGTAGTATTCACGACTTACATTAGTCGTATTGTAGGTATAGCATCGTTGTGAGCATGTCTTTGTACGGAATAATCCTCCACACTACGTACCTACCCTAGAGTCCAGAGATGCAGGCGCTTATACTACCTGAATACGTTAATCACCCAGTCTTCCATTCTTTCTTCTCGGTGCTATCCCATTCACCTACAGCCAGCGAGTCATTTCCAAATCCTTCTCTCCGAAGCCCACTACACCGACCCAGCACCTTGTCACCGTTCCCCTCTTGCTCTAAACTTCAGCCCCCAAGATGCTCTACAGGGCTGACAGTAGCCAGCGCTCTAAAATACGATAGACTCCATCCCACCGACGTTGCATAAACAACATGCAGCTCAGCTCATATTCCTCGTGACTCAAGCCCCTGCTCAAACCCGCACGGCTGTCTCCAACGTCATCACATCTCACATACAGAGAGCGCGCTCCATCAGTTTAGACAGCTCAAAGCTGAGGCTCGTCTGCTCGTATCTCAATAGAAGCTTCTTCCTTGAACCTTGAACGAAAATGACAAGGGCAAATCTCCTCTGTGCTGCCTCTTTTTTTACTGTATGTTGTTATATTTCTTTCAGCGAACGGCCCTCCTTGTACACGCCCCCTCCCCTGTCCAGCAAAATGACATTCCATCCGCAGCCTAAGCCAAGGAGAGACGATAATCTTGGTAGGCCCCACCCCCAAGCGTCTTGATGGCAGCTGAACAACTTGGTGGGGAGCGTGTTTGGAAATGCTACTGGCTGCTGCCATGGCACTTGATATGAGGAGCAGCCTTTTTGTATAAGTCCGAAATGCTGGTACAAGACGGGGGGATAAGGGAGCACAACCTTGGTAGGAGTGCCAGTGAGGGACTTGTTAATGGTAGGAGGAGAAGAAGAGGCCAAAGCCGCAACGGGACCACCGTTTGATTTGCTCTGCGGGTCGAGCCGCCCAGCTAGAGAAGAGAAGAGGAGAAGATGAGCACGGCTGTTGCTCGTGCGCTTTCCGACTTGGACGTTGGAGATGCAAATCCCATCCTCACCGTTTTCTCTCCACCGCGCTTGTTGCCTTGGCGCGGTGATGCTAGAGACGCCCAATGTTGCGTTATACGGCACCATGTGACGAATCTGTGCCTGTATTCTAATGTAATTCTCCGCGGTGTTATTGCCTCGCAATTAAGCCCCAATATACTCCGGCAGTTATCATGGTGGTACCCATGCCAAGAGCAGCGTCAAATTAATGTCAATTACATGCAGTGTCACCTCTTTGCACCGTAGAGCAATTGAAAATCAATATCAAACAATACGGTGGATTTGCCAAGAACCAGCCGTTATACCGCAGACGCTACTTGGCGCGCGACAATGAAGCCTCGTCATTACATGCACTCTATCTTGAGTCTTTATCTTCAAGACTTTCATCTATTGTGATTAAGTTTTAAGAAACAAAAAAAAAAAAAAAATCTATAATTATCCACGCACAAATTGATTTTTACCTGCAATCGTCCATACAATGTAACCCCAAACAAATCTTATGCACCTCTTAACCGCCGTGTGCCTGTTTCGTTTCCCAAAAAAACAACCGAGTTTCTATTTTCGGCACCCCCTCCTCGCCTCTCATTGGCCCGGCACTCTTCACCCAAGCGCCGAGTCCAAGAAACATCAACAGCCCTCTCCATCTAGAAATGTGACCCCAGATTATCATCTCTTCCCTTGGCTATTCAATCCAACTCGCATCTTCTTCTTATTGGTGAGAAGGCGCCAAGGGACGGCAGACGTCAATCAACGCGGTTAAAGGGTGCATCTCCATCTCCCAGCGTGGAGTTTGCCGTGCATGTCATTGGCCACCATGATGGATCTGACATGTTGGAAGCGCCGGGCGATGATGCCGCTGAAATCTACATCTACGCAGTGTTTCCCCCTCGAGTAAATCCATTTCATCATGTTTGTTTCGTGGTAAGCAAGTCTTGTCCAAACAAACCGTCTCTTTTCTTTCCTTCTTGTTTTCCCTTTCTCTCCTTGCCGTCTTTCATTTTCCCTTTTCAGCCAAACTGTTCTTCTGTTCATTCGCCCAAAGATACCCCAAAACGCCTCGCATTCAAAATGTCCAGCCTCAAAAACGAACTCTCCTCTGTGGACTACGAAGTCAAAGTCGAAGCGCAGGACGCCGAGCGCCAGTCGCAGCTGCAGTCCAAGCACCGCCTCCTCGGCATTGTCCACAACTCTCGAATCGCCCTGACGGTCCTGGCCCTGGCGGCCGGCATCACCATCCTGGGCGTCTCGGCCAACGGGCTGCTTGTCTACCACGAGACGTATCTGCCGGCCGAGTTCCACCTCTCGCTGTGGCCTGCGCAGTTTGATCTGCGTCCCACTGCCGCGCTGATTGCCGGCGGCGTGGTTGTGACCGTGGCCAATGTTGTGTCACTCTTCTTTAGCAAGGTCCAAGCTGTAAGTACATGTACTTGACAACATCATTCGAGTTCTTACTTGCATTTGCTGACATGATTTCGAATGCAGCTCCGCAGCCTGACTGGCCCCCACGCAATCGCCAGCATTGCTGCCCCGGCCATTGGCTTCGTTGCCTCTCTCGTCGCCATGTCCCTCTTCTACGCCGTCAACGCCTCTTCCACCGTCGACAGCCTCCAGAGCTGGACGTGCCGCTGGACCGCCGTGCCCACAACTGCTCAGCCGCACTTTGGCGCCCTGTGCAAACAGAGCCAGGCCGGTGTCATACTCTCGGTGCTGCTTGTTCCGCTGGAAGCTGCCATTCTTGGAGTCGCGGGATACCAGGCCATCCTGGAGCGAAAGGCCACAAGAGCGTGATTTGTATGGACTGCCTAGGATTGTGGTAAAAGAGAGAGAAATATATCGGGGTTGGAGACAGCTGGCCCTGTAAAAAGGGTGGCTGATGGAGACGGCGTCGTGCTCCGATGTATACACAAGGATTGAGCGACGCAATTTCAGTTGGATGTACTAATTATTTTTATTTCTGATGTGGCATTTGCAGCATCTTGCCAAATGTATCTGCTACTATCATGGCATGCACATACAAGGCAGTTGACATATATAGTTCACATATATAATTCTACCAAACCTTGAGGAATATGAATCACGATTCTACGGCCACATGCACTCTTGTAATGTTGACAGCCTTTTGATACACGTACCTTTGCCGAGGTTGCGAGCATCCGCCGTGTTTCTGTAGGCTAGCCGCAAGCCATATAGCCTCACTTGTGCGACGCTTTTCTCTCCGTCGAGATGGTGAAAAATGGTGGAGAGTAGGATACGGGCATGGATGTGAAACAAAAAGTGAAGTGGAAACTGCGTGCATGGTGGCACTCTCTCCTGCCAGATGCCTGCAGGTGAGACCTTTGTCAGTTTATGTCGACATTTTCTCACAAAGAGACGGCATGTTCATTCTGAGCTATTCAACGCACAGTGAATGCCTTTGTGCGAATTTACTTTGATGGATGCGCATTCACATGTGTATATATCTAGCAGCTCTATCATTTGAGAATAGTTGGCTATCTCACTCTAGCATCAACATTAGCATCAGCAGCATCTACGACGCGCAGCAAAGGAAAAGCGAAACATTTCTGACCTCATTATTACCGTGCATCATCTCACAATGGACCAACATCTATCGCCATCTCCGCCACATAGAACTCCAATCGTCAGAATCACGAAGCCCCAAGATACAGCAGCAGCACCTCCTTCGCCCACTTCAGAGCGAAAACTCAAGGCCAAACCCAAGATATCCAGCTTGGAGACTGTCATAGAAGGCGATGCCCGAGCTCATCTCAGCTTATCCCCAGACGATGCCGCCAGGCCTGTCGTTAGAGCAGTGCCGCGTGGTGAAAAGGAGCGCCAGGCCGAGAAACGAAGCCAATACTTTCACGATGCGCTTTACGAACGATCTGGGAGGAATTCAGCTGTGGAGGCAGTTCGGAGAGAAGCTTTAGTTTATGCTGAAGTGAAAACAAATGTCACGGCAAGAACATTTCCCAAACCACTTGAATTGATGCTGTTGAATAGTGTCGTAATTTTCTAACCGAGTTATGAAACTAGGTTGAAGACGAGCAACACTTCCTCATCACCTTTTCCCACCAGCTCGCCGCAAGATACAACCGCTATCCGTCTTCTACTGTCGTCTCTCTTCTCCACAGCCAATGTCTCTTCTTTGGCGGCTCATCGCACCCCGCCTACATTCTCACCATCACGGCTCTCCCCTCTGAAGTTCAGCCCGCCACCAATAAGCGCAACACTGCAGTGCTGCAGAAACACATGGAAACCATTCTTCATGTTCCACCTTTAAGAGGAATGGTGCGCTTTGTCCCTGCAACAGAAGAGTGCCTTGCTTGGGGAAGCAAAACGGTCGCGGGGAGGATTTCGGATGCTGTGGCCAAGGATAGAGAGGTTGCGAGTGAAGGAGAAGGGAGCAAATCACACGAGAGGCGGATATTAAAGGTATTCACAAGCTACTTCTCTATAGATGGATATCTATATTATCAACATTGTGCTAACGAGAAACAGTCCTTATCGTTGCGAAGGTCTCCAGCGAGTATCACGCCTCCGAGCATGCAGCCTCCAAATCCTTCAAGACACGGGCAGGAAGCGGGCGGAAGCGCAGCTGCTCGCATAGAGTCTGCTGATAAGCCCGAGGGAGAAGAAAATGTCAAGGTAATAAAAAAGAAGAAGAGCATTATCCACACGCTGTTTCGGACAAAGGCTGAAGACGAGGAGCCCTCAGCATCCTGAGAGCGATGATGCAAGTAGTGTATACATTAAAGAGAGAAAAGGCGGGAGTTGAATTGCATGAAATTATAAAGAGTAATAAGTAGCAGTTTCTACCAATAAAGATCTCGCATGAGTGCATGAGCATGATGCAAAGCTTGACGAACTGGCTTCATTCGTCGCTTACAGCCCACCTTGAGAGGCTCTTTATTGCATTGGCTGCCTGACAAGTAGTTCCTTGTGCTGCATCTCATTCATCTTTCTTACCAATAAGGATTCCGGTAATACGGCGTGTATGCTTGATGATTTATAGCATCATGTAAACATCAATTTGGCATTTGATGTCAATAGCCAGGTCGCGTGCCGACGCCAAACGCGCGTTTCTCTTAAGCAGTGGCGCTGACTAAACTTGGACTCGCGACCAAAGCCGACTCTGTACACCGCACAAGCCAATCCAAACCTGACTTTGACCATCCATCTCATCCATTGGCGAAGCTTGCTGAAGCTGCTACAGACCAATCCCTGTCTTGCTTGTAGAAACTTTTGCTTTCTTTCTTTCTCTCTTTCTTCTTCATCATATTCTTCTCTTCTTCGTGCCTCTCCCGGCCATGGCAGTCGCCTGCCCAATCTGCAACAAGCCCGTCAAGCCAACCGATATCAACGACCACATCGATTCCGGCTGCACAACCCTCATCTTCGATCCGAGCACTCCAATCGTCCCTCCGCAACCTCAGCCGTCGACGCAAAATGGCGCCGCCATCCCTGCCTCGCAGCCACAGAAGCGCAGCGCTTCCAGCTTCTTCACGCCCACGCCCAAGCGGCAGATCACCGATCCCGGCCCTAAAGCCCACACGCCCATCAGCAACATGACGTTCCCGCCGCTGGCCGGCAAGAAGAGGTCTCTTGACGAGGGGCCGCAGGAGGACCGGAAGATGGAAGACGCGGCACCGCTGAATGGCGATGCGAATGGACCGGCAAACGGGGCAGACGCCGATGGACGAGTGCTGAAAAAGACCAAGACGCACCGCGCAGCCCCCCTCGCCGAGAGGATGCGGCCAAAGACGCTGGACGACGTGTGTGGACAAGAGCTCGTCGGAACCAACGGCGTGCTGCGGTCGCTCATCGAATCGGACCGGGTGCCGTCCATGATACTCTGGGGCGCTTCGGGAACTGGCAAAACCACGATTGCAAGGTGCATTGCCCAGGTGGTGGGCAGCCGCTTCATCGAGCTCAACGCCACCAGCTCGGGCGTGCAGGAATGCAAGAAGCTCTTCCAGGAGGCCGCCAACGACCTGCAGCTCACGGGCCGCAAGACAATCATCTTTTGCGACGAAATCCACCGCTTCAACAAGGCCCAGCAGGACGTCTTTCTGCGGCCGGTCGAGGCGGGCACCATCACCCTCATCGGCGCCACGACGGAGAACCCGTCTTTCAAAGTCGCCAATGCGCTGCTCTCTCGATGCCGGACATTTACGCTGCGGTCCCTCGGCACGGAAGACATTGTCGATATCCTGAGGCGGGCTCGCAAGGTGGAGGAGTCGGTCTACCCGCCTTCGCCCCTCATTGACGACGAGATGATGAGCTACCTTGCCCGCTTCAGCGACGGCGATGCCCGCACAGCCCTCAACCTTCTCGAACTCGCCCTATCGCTCACCCTCCGCGAGGGCATGACGCAAGAAACAATGAAGCAGTCTCTCACCAAAACTCTCGTCTACGACCGCGCTGGCGACCAGCACTACGACACAATCTCCGCCTTTCACAAGTCTGTCCGAGGAAACGACCCAGACGCTGCCCTGTACTACCTCGCACGCATGATCCAGTCCGGCGAAGACCCCCTATTCATAGCCCGCCGCATGGTCGTCATCGCCTCAGAAGATGTCGGCCTCGCAGACAACACCCTCCTGCCCCTTGCCACGGCCACCTACACGGCCACGCAGCAAATTGGCCTCCCCGAAGCCCGCATCCCCCTGGCTCACTGCGCCGTGGCCCTCTGTCTGGCACCAAAGAGCACTCGCGCATACCGCGGTCTGAACAATGCCTTTGCCGCCCTGCGAGAGCCCGGCGTGGCGAGCCTACCGGTGCCGTTGCACCTGAGAAACGCGCCGACGAGGCTGATGCGAGATTTGGGCTTTGGAGCAGAGTACAAGTACCCGCCTAATTACAAAGATGGCAAGGTGAGGCAGCAGTATCTCCCGGATGAGCTAGTTGGGCGGACGTTTCTGGAGACGAGAGATTTGGGGACGGTGGTTGATCACGATTACGAGATGAAGGATGTGCCAACATGATTTTGCATGCATTGAAGATGCTCGAAGCAATAGGATTGGGAAAAAAAGGTACAGCGTCAAGCTTTGCATTGCGACTCTTGGACTTTTTTTTTCATTTTGGATTGTATTATTATGAGTTGATGACGACTACAATGGAGGGGGAACAACTGGATATGGAGCCAAGCCTTTGATATATCACAAAGGTTTTGGTCTCTCACACACAAGAGAATTTTTTTGTACATGATACCATTGATAACGGCATGAAAGCGGTTCTACATAGCATAAAAGAAGGGGGAAACTGGGTATATATATATGGCAATCACTGGATATAAATGAATTTCACAGCATTACTCAATGTTTTTTTTTTCTTCTCCTTTTTTTCAAGCAAAGCAATGATGATTTGGTATTTAGATACCTCGACTACATAATGCAAATATGGGGTATATGAAAATGTGAAAAAAATGCTACGTAAGGGTATGATGAGATGTGACATGATTTCGCTGCTTGATGCCCATTTCCTCCTCCAAGTCATATGCCATATGGTGAAAATGAAACCAAAAAAAAAAAAACTGAACGCCCATGCTAGAATATGCGAGATGGGAGATTTATACATGTGTTGATGATGATATATGCATCTCTTCCGGCGTCATGCCATCTGAAAACAAAGGAGCAGACTGAAAAAGAGAAGAGTTGCAGCCTTGATCAATTATCCTGCTGTGTCGTCGTCGTCGTCCCCGCTGCTTCAGACACCGACCCATATCCAATCCCCTTTCTCCTCCCCCTCACCAACGCGCCCAACGCCTTGCCCAGCGCCGGCATGTCCGTCAAAATGGACACATGCCCGCGATCCGTGCTCACGCGCCCGCCCTTTGCAATCGAGTAGCCCTCGGGCAACATGCTCTCCCTCGCCAGCACGACGCCGTCGCCCGGGCGGAAGACGAGCTCGTCGTAGGCGTCGGAGCAGGGGATGGCGTCGCGGCCGTTGACGTGCGCGGCGTAGACGGTGGGGATGGATTTGCCGTAGATGACGGCCAGGGGCGGGTAGGCGTTTGCGTCTTGGTGGGCCTGGTTGTGGACGAGCTCGGAGCGGAACTGCTTGACGGAGGCGAGGGTGCGGGTGAGGTATTCGTAGTTGCGGCGGAAGAGGGCTGGGTCGATGGAGGGCGAGGGGGGGGAAGGGGGGAGGTTGGTGTTTGTGTCGTGGGAGTGGGAATAGGGGGCTTGGGACGAGGGCGGGATGCTGAGCGTGTGGCGGTGGTTTTGGGGTTTGCGGCTGTTGTTGCCGAGCTGCGGTGCCATGGAGGCTCGGCCCTGGGGTATATTGCTGCTGCTGTTGCTGTTGCTGGCACTGGAAGCCTCTTTGCTGGCCGCGTCAGGCCCCGACATGGAGTTGCGCCTCTTGTCCGACTTGCTCGGGCGCAGCAGCGCATTCGGGAAAAAGGCGGCCAGGGGCGAGTGCGGCGGCGGCTGGTTGTACGGCGGCAGCGGCGGCGCCACACACGGGCTCAGATGGTACTTGACCCAGTTGTCGGGCTCGAAGAAGTCGACGGGATACTCGTCGCCCGTGTACTTGTCGACAAAGAGGAAGCCGTCGTCGGGCAGCAGCGCAAACGACGTGCGGATGGAGAAGTTGACCTGCGCCGTCAGCAGCTTGTCGTTGAAGAGCACCGCGTCGCCGTTGCGCATCGGGCCCAGGATGTTGACGCACCGCATGGGCGTGCCGCAGAAGAGCACGCCGGCGAAGAGGTCGGGCTGCCGGTTGACGGCGTGCCGCGTGATGAGCCCGCCGAGGCTGTGCGCGACGACGACGGCGCCGCGGGCCTCGACGGGCACGCCGGGCTGGTTCGACGGCAGGCCGCGCAGAAAGTCGAGCAGCCGCGCCGACGATCGCGACGGGCTGAGGCGCCAGTCGTAGCCGTAGTCCCACACGCGGAGGCGCCCCGCGCGCGCGTTGTCGCACGAGCGCAGCTTCTTGAAGAACTTGCGCGAGATGTCAATGGGCCCGATGTGCTGCAGCATGCCCGACGGGAAGATGCGCTCCTCCATCGTCTCCTCGTCCGCGTCGTCCAGCCCGACCTCGAGGTTCGCCTTGCGCAGGTTGAGCCCCAGCTTGACCGGCGCCCACAGCTGCTGGTGCGGCGGCTCGGCAGACCGCAGGATCGAGCCGCGGTAGCCGCCCATGACGACGATGTCGCCCGTCAGCTCCTCCAGCACGCGGTCCAGGCGCTCGGAGTCGTCAATGGGGGCTTCCTTGGGCATCTCCTTGGAAGCAGCAGCAGCAGCAGAGTCCAGGTTCTGCTTGGAGTGGTTGGCGGATTCGTTGGAGAAGATGCCGTTGAGGGAGATTGTGGACTTGCGGGAGATGGCCTGCAGCCCGGCCAGGCCCGGGATGCTGGGGATCTTGAAGTTGGGCACGTCGGGCAGGCTGTGCTTGATGGCCATGAAGCGGACGTTGACCATGTCGCGGACGTCGGTGAAGCGGTCGTCGTCGCCCAGAGACGAGGCGCGGGACAGGCTGTGGTACAGCATGCTGTCGTCAGACGTTGTCCTGCGCAGCAGCGGCGGTCTTGAAGCTGCAGAGGAAGAGCCAGCAGGGTTGGCATCCGGACTTGATGGAGAATCAGGGGCGTCTCGAGGAGGAGAATCCGACGAGGCGTGGCCGCGCCGCCGGGAAGCGTCAGGCCGGCTCGGCCGCAACGACTTGGGCAACGACTTTGGCAGCGACTTTGGCAATGACGGGAGCAGATGCGAGGGGAATGCCTGCTGCAGCTTCTTCAAGGCCTCCTGGCCCGCTGACCGTGATCGTTGGCGGGTGGGCTCAAAGGCCGCATGGAGAATCCCGCGGGCCTCGCTAAACGGCTTTCCATCCTTGGTCGACTGCTGAGACTTCCACGGCGAAGGCGGACTGTGTCGTCGCGGCGAGGCCAGCGGCACAGGCCCCAGCATAGGAACAGGCTTTCCATTGAGTTGCGTTTCCGGCAGCGGAGGCGTCGATTGAGGCAGAGCTGATGCTCCTGCTGGTGCTTCCGGCGTCGTGTCCCCATCTCCGTCGTCGTCGCCGTATGTCTGAGGCTCATCAAAGTAGCTGTCGACTTGTGGCCTCCGCAGCGCAGCAGCCTTTTCGGTGGCGGGAGTGCGCAACGAGGTCAAATGGCTGGCGGCGGCGCTCATGGCCGGCTGCAGAAAGGCCTGGGCGTCATCCTGGTCCCGACACATGGAGTCGTCTGAAAGATTTTCTTCTTCGCCAGAGTCTCCGGCGTTGATGCCGGGGGGCGGCATCCCCGGCGCAGTCTTTGTGGCGTTCATTGTTTTGCGAGGCTGTCGTGATCCATAGAACTATTAGACTTGAATAATTCGGATCAAGAATGTATTTGCGTGTTGAAGTGAAAAGAAAGAAAGCTGAGAAGCCTAGGAGAAAGCTGGGTATAAATGCAAAAGCAGCAGACGCAACAATGGCCTTTTTTGCACTGGTTTGTCTTCTTCCTGAACGTTTATATGACGTTGAATGACAATGGACCAATAAGGGGTGCAGATCCGGTTCAATGATGCTGTTTTGTTTTGTTTGTCCTTTTAGTGAACCAGTAGCTCGGATAAAGGCAGAGACGTCAGAAAGTAGGCCGGAACTACTGTGCTGCAAGGTATTATGCAATAAGGAGTGAAAAATGGGGATACAAGGCTCAAAGTTCCGCGTATTTTTTTAATCTCGCCAAGTGTTCAAGAATAGGAAAAGAGTAAAAGAGTAGAAAAGGCCAAGAAAAAAAAAAGGATCCCAAAAGACTAGATATGTAATTATACAAGGCTTGGACTGTGGAAGCCGAGCCACCCGGGCTGAGCTGTGGCCAACGTAACTTGAACAAGCTCCGTGGATCAAAAATGGGCAAAAAAAATAGAGTCGGTCGCATCCCCTTTCCGTGATTGGCCCGCTGGAGATTTGCCTGGCTGGAGCTGATTACTGGCACCTTTGGCTGGCTCGTCAGATCTGGATACCTCAGATCTTGGTTGGGATGAAGAGCAAAGGCCGGAATGGCCCATCAGGATGCACCACCGCTAGGCCCAAAGCTGGCGCAAATCGTCGCTGGCCAGCCGGGCTGTGCTCGCCCTATTCGCTGCTTGGACAACTCCATGATTTCATTGCAATCATCGATTTCTGCGCCAGGATCCCTTGCACGCTGCACGATGCGGCCGGACGAACAGAAGAGCAGAGGCCGACTAACGAACGGGTCTCTTCCCCAGCCTCCCGTCTTTTCCTTTATCTGCTTGTCGCAACGGTGATGCTGCATGTGACGATGCATGTACACAGATGGTTACTGTTGACGACCCGAAAGCCCCGTCATCGCCGTCTTCCTTCCACTCGCCTTTTCCCATGTGATTCAATTGGCATCTGACCGGCGCCTAACGCCTCGACTTGACTCGATCCAGCCCCGGTTTTCCAATTCTACCATCAGTTACTTTTACGGTATATACCGCAAGTTCCGAATGTCTGCATGGGGTCAGTGCCAGCCGTCTAAATAAAGCTCAGATGATTCCAGTAAAAAAAAAAAACAAGGGCAAGACGATTGAGCGAGGGGGGGAAAAGTCCTCTTTTGCCCCGTATATTCCATTCCGCCGCTTCTGATTAACCCATCGTCGTCGGCATCATTGCTCGGTGCGCTCGCTTACGTGTGTTTTTACTCCTTTTGCCCATGTCTCACAAAAATTAAGCAACATCCTAATTATAACCACGCCGGAGCATCTTTTTGAATACGACGCTAGATTTGCTGCTTACGCTGCAGTACCTTTTTGTCCCCCTCCATTTCCTCGTCCCGTCCTTTTACACTTTCCACGCACGGGATACCCAAAGTTCAGGAACCCCGCGGATTCTAAAAGCCATTGTGGCCAATGTTCGACTTTTAGACAGGGCCCCGCTACAGTAGGGCCATGTATGGAAGAGGAGTCGGTGCCTCGGACATTCGCATTGGAGCTTGAGCCCGCGGACATTTCGCATCGAAACTTGTTGCCGCATTGACGATGGTTGACAATGGGGGGGCTTACATTTGCAGGCACAGCACGGTTGTTTCTCCTTTCTGTTGACGATACGGTAATGGCGCTAATTCTACACGAAGTCTATCGGATCACGGCAGATGCAGTAGACAGCGCACTGCAGCAGCCTTCAACAAACAGAATGTATCATTTGTTCCCCTTCTTCTTTCGAATACCATACAAGGGCATCTTTACCAAAATGCAATTGAACAAATCTGGAATCAGAAATCCCTCCACCACAAGGCAATGCTGCAATGGCCCTTGGCCTTCACTCTCAGACTACGGTTACCTATAGCAGAGTCACGTTCACGTCCACACCCAACCCATTGTAGATGTAGCTAATAAATCATATTGATAAATTTTTGATCGATTCCTAGTCTACACGTACATGCTCAATAAGACGGAAGTCTAATGCTGCATAGCAAGCGTTGGCTGTTCACGTTCGAGGCAGGCCCTGCAGTGTGGCCTATTTAGGACATGTTCAGCCGCCAAATACAACACCGCCAAACATCTCAGCCCTATCATTCTTGCCATTGTCAACTACATGCAACTGGATTCTCCATCCTCTTACCAGCTGCGGCGTTGTCCTGCATCTCCTTTAACATATCACAAACAGGCTGCAAACATGCTCAACTCCATCAGGACGGGGCTAAGCAGAAACCCCTCGCTCTATAGACTTACCGACATCACACCCAGCAAATCCCACGACAATGAATATTCACAGATGCCCTCATCGCCATCAACAGCAACAGTATGCCAAGACCATCTCAGATCCCCATAATAACGTGGCTTCCCTCGGCAAAAAACGCCACCCAATCGGGCCACTTTCGCTGCCATCGTTCTGCATCTACGCCTAGCTAGTGGCTGAAACCTTGTCACCACCTCCATACCGACTTTCAACTCCCAGTGACGACCTTGTCTTCCTCCAATCTCTCTCTCAACCTCTACAGCTGCAGAACAGCTATTCACAGTTCACCGTCGACAAATCACCAAATGCTGAAAGCCCCCTGAACCAACAACTCGTCCAAGCTCCCCCTCCTCCCACAATGACGACGCTCCAGCCCCGCCCGCCTTACTCAGACGCCGAGCTGCAGCAGCTCTACCCGCCTCGCCTTCACCTCCAGCAGGTCCAGATCCTCCTCCGCCACGGCGAGCGAACCCCCATCAACGCCCGCTTCACAAACACCGGCCTGCCCGCCTACTGGCCCTACTGCAACGCCGTCCGCCACCTGCGCTCCGCCGTCCTGGGCCCCTCCGGCCCGGGCACCGAGTCCGGCTCGGGTCCGGGCCCAGGCCCAGGCTCGGCCAGCAACACCTTCACCGAGCTCCAGTGGCGGCGGCGCCTCGAGACGTTTGGCGCCGACGACGCAGCCATCCCGGCCACGGGCCCCAGCGATTCTCACAAGATGGAGACGGACGGCATCTGCGACTTTGGCATGCTCACCGACCGCGGCCGCGAGACGACGTACGCCCTCGGCTCCCGCCTCCGCAAGCTCTACGTCGACCACCTCGGCTTCCTCCCGGCCAGCGTCCACGATGCCGATTTCCTCTACCTGCGCGCCACGCCCATCCCGCGCGCCCTCGAGTCCATGCAGCAGGCCTTTCTCGGCCTCTACCCTCCCCACACCCGCGCCGCAGACTTCCCGCCTCTGACAATAATCTCCCGCTCGCCCGCCGACGAGACGCTCTTCCCCAACGACAGCAACTGTCGCCGCTTCGCCGCCCTGTCGCGGGCCTTTGCCAAGCGCGCCGCCGAGCGCTGGAACGACTCCCCCGAGATGGCCTACCTGACCAAGAAGCTCGGCAAGTACATGCCCGAGGAGAGCCCCCGCGTGGCCGTCGATGCAAGGCCCCGCCTCAGCGGCCTCATGGACACGGTCAACTCGACGCTCGCCCACGGCCCGGCAACGCGGCTGCCCAAGGACTTTTACGACGCCAAGGCGCGCGCCATCATGGAGAAGATTGGCGTCGAGGAGTGGTATGCCGGATACAAAGAGAGCGAGGAGTACCGCACGCTGGGCATTGGCGCTCTGCTGGGCGACGTCACCGCGCGCATGGTCAGCAGTGCCGAGCGCAACATCTCGCCCCCGGACGAGGCCTTTGTACAGGCGCGCGGCCAGGGCAAGTTTGAACAACAAGCACACAAGATGAGCCGCAGCGTACCTGATACCGAACAAGGCGGCTTCCGCTTCGGCCTCAGCGGGTGTCACGACACCACCCTCGCCGGCGTCCTCGCCAGCCTGGGAGCCTTTGAAACCGACAACTGGCCGCCCTTTACAAGCCACATCGCCATCGAGCTCTTCCGCGACGCCGAAAACACCACCCCATCACCTCCTCCATCCTCATCATCATGGCTGCCCTCATTCCTCCGCCCCTCCTCCTCCTCCTCCTCCTCCATCGGCCGCACCCCAACCCCAAACCTCACCGACAAGCAACTCACCTCCCTGCAAGGCTACTTCGTCCGCCTCCGCTACAACGACTCGCCCGTCACCATCCCCGGCTGCAAGCTCCCCGGCAGCCACCTCCCCGGCGACGAGTCCTTCTGCACCCTCGCCGCCTTCAAGGCCATTGTCGACAAGTTCACCCCGCGCGACTGGAAGCAGCAGTGCCGCATGAATATCAAGGCGCCGGCTTTTCCGCAGAAGCCTGAGCCTGCTGGGTTTTAAGTTGGTAGTTGCCGATGGATTTAAACAACGTTCTAGTAGTTTTGTAGCTTGTAGCTTTTTGGACGTTGAATTACAAAGAATAGTAAGCTAATAGTAGCCTCACTCTGAGAGATGTTTGAAAACAAAGTAGATTCGTTTCTTTGGCTCTATTAGGTAGATGGTTGATTTGCAAGACGGCGAATGGCGTTTTACTATGATATACAGCATCTGGTTATACAAATGGGTTGCGTGTAAAAAACATGGTAGATGAAATGTTACAACAAAAAGACACATCGTGTTTATACTCACACCCAGCCATTACCAAATCACACTCTAAAATCCACACGTGAAACACGATCAAAGCAAAGTCATATGATAATCATCTTATTCAATTGTAGTATTAGGCAAACCGCCAATTCCACCTTTCATTTAAACAAAGGAAAAACTCCCATAACGACATAACATGCAGATATGTATCCCCCTCTTCCACCTATAACTAACCAGGATTCCCCATTACATCTCCCGGTTTTTCACCTTCATCTTTCTTTCTTTCAAATGTAGTTTTGGGGGATCTTGTATTTTTTTGTTTTCTTAAAGCATTTTCGTCATTTCCTAATTTCCATTCCACGCTTTCTCTTCCTTATTAGATAAGGCCATTGTTCATTAAAAACAGCCGCTTGGATAAATAGACATATACACACATATATATATGTATAGCTCCTTGTCAAGCCAAGTAGCTTAAAAATCTTGCAGTTTCCTTTCTTCTCAGCGCTTTCGTGGGGGGTTAAAATCTCAAGGGGAATTGAAATGGAAGGTTTAAAAAAAAAAGAGGTTTTGAACATGGTACACCGAAGGAAGTAATTATGAAATATTGTTATAAAACAAGGATGCAAAAAAAGAAAAAAAAGGAAAACGTGGGAATGAGGAATCCATAAAACAAAGAATCAAGGACAAGGCACAAGACTCCCAAAGCCAAATTACAACAAGTTAGGTAAATCCATCCCCATAATCCCACTCTGTTCATATGCTATTCGTCAATTGGCCTACAGTCTAGTTGGCCACTTCCTCTTCCACCCAGCCATTCAGGCCTCCCTGGATAGCCAGGCCAAAGCCAGAGGCTCCCATGCCACCGTAGCTGGCTTGGTACTGGTGGCCACGGTGAGGCCTCTCGCCGTGGCTGCCGTTGCTCTCGGAAGGGCTGATGCCTCCGTTCTCGAATCCAGGCGCAAGGACTGGGAGACTGACGGCGCGGCTGTGCTGGCCACGGCCGTTGCCAGGAGCAAGCAGGCCGCCAATGGTGGTGGCATTGGACATGCCACCGTTCATTGAGTATCCATTGGAAATGCTAGCAGACTGTCCGTGTCCGCCAATAGGACCCTGCTGAGGGACGTCTAGTGACAGATCGCTGGACTGGGCAGTGTTGAACAAGATGTTCTGCTGGACCGACATCTGCTGCTGCTGCTGCTGTTGCTGGTGAGCCTGCTGCTGCATGTGGCTCAGGTACATGGTCAGCGGGTTGCTCGAAGCGTTGAACATGGCTGCCGACGGCTGTGGTGTGTTTCCATTGGATGGCGAGTTGCTGTTCTGCGAGCCGTTGGGAGGTGGCGACGAGACGCCATCGCCACGTGGGGATGAGCTCTGCTGAGCCTGGCGAGGGGCGTTGCCGCATCGGTCCTTGCCAAAGTTGACCTTGAACTTCTTGTACTCGTCCTTGCCGCGGATGGCCTCGATGGCCTTGATGGCGTTGGCGATGTTGGTGAAGTTTACAAAGGCGCAGCTCTTCTCGCGGAGAGCGTTGACCAGCTCAATCTCACCATACTCGGTAAAGTCCTGGCGCAGTCGCTCCTCCGTCCAAGTCTCGTCCAGGTTACCAATGTAGACGTTACGTGAAGCACCGCCGCTAACGGCGAGAGCAATCGCAGGTGGCAAGGCACCGGAATGCTTGCCCCAGCCAATCTTGAGTCTTCGGTTGTGGATCATCAATCCCTGCAGGTTGCTGAGAGCGTAGAACGACGCGGCCGCTGTGGGGTCAATAAAGGTCACAAAGCAGATGTGCTTGTCGGGGATGTAGCGGATGTGATGCAGCAGACCGCCTCGGACGACGTTGCAAATCTCCTCAATTGTGGTTTCCGGGTGGATGTTGCCCAGGTAAATGGTCCGGTTGCCCAAGTTGTTCATACCACCAGCGCTCGTGGCAACGGCGGCCGCAGCCACGGATTGCTGAGCGAGGGCATTCGAGATGAGGTCGCGGTCGGCACCGGTGAGCATGTGCGCATAGCCAGGGGCGATTCCCAGATACTGGGCGGCGTTTTGCTGCTGGGTTTTTGAGACGTAGGCGCATCTATCCTTGCCGTAGTACACGCGACGGGGGGCCTGCCACTTGGCCTCCTGAGGCAACTGCGTCACAGCCTTGATCGCGTTGGCAATGGATAGGTAGTGAACAAAGGCGATGCTCTTCTCGCGAACAATCTTGATGGTGTCAATGGCGCCAAACTTGGCAAGGTCCTCGCGCAGCTCCTCGTCGGAAACCTCTTCGGGCAGGTTGCCCAAGTAGACGTTTCGGGACGCGCCAGACTGCTGTACAGCCAGCGCGACGGACGTGGGAACCTGAGAGGGCTTGCCCCAGCCAACCTTGATGTCCTGACCCTTGATACACAGCTTCTTCAAGATGGCATCAGAGTGGAAGTGGGTGGCGGAGCTGGCGTCCAGGAAGGAGATGAAGGCGCAGTTCTTGTCGGGCAGCAGGCGGACGGACTCGATCTGACCGCTTCTGACATGGCCCAGGATCTCCTCGGCGGTCGTGTCCGGAGGAATGTTGCCGAGATAGACGGTTCGGCTGGTGCCAGTCACGACGCCAGCGCCCATGGAAACGGGAGACGTGGGCTGGATCGGGCTCTGCATGCCATACGCTCCCGTAGGCGACTGGGGAGGGAAGAACGAGGGCGCTCCGTAAGTCGAAGGAGAGACGAGGGCCTGGTAAGTCTGGGGCGACATGTTGCCCTGCACAGGGCTCTGCATGCCGCCGTTGTGCTGCTGACCGTTGGACTGCTGGTGCTGAGTCTGTTGGAAGGCAGAGAGACCCTGGAATTGAGGGCTGCCAAAGGCGGCGGGGCTTCCAGGCTGGAAGGGGCTACCGAGGAGCAGCTGCGACGGAAGCAGAGGCGTGAACTGCATGTCAAAGGCCGTGCCTGGGGTCATGTCATGGCCATTGCCCTGGTTCTGGCTCATGTTCTGGGTGTTGAGCGAGGGAATGTTGGCGCGGCGAGGGTGACGGTCAGCAAAGCCCGAGACGTTGGAGGTGAAGGCTCCATGCGAAAAGCCGGTATCGCTGTTGGAAGGCTTGGAAGCATGGCCGAAGCGCGCACCGTTGGCATTACCATTCGGCGCTCCTTGGCCAGCAGATCCGTTGAGATCCTGCATCCCGAGAAGGTGAGGGGGGACAAGGGAGTCCCGCCCAACGTGACCAAGAACAGCCGTTTTGAGAGATTTCAGCGTGCCCGGAGAAGGCACGGAAGCAGGAGACGAATGAAAAGAGATTCGAGCAAACCGATTAGTCACGGAACGGTCGAATGCTGAGTTGCTGGAGAAAACCGGTCTTGTCCAAAAGAAAATGCAACGAGTCTCTTCAACGAACTAGGTCGCGAGGTCCACCACAGATCAAATCGCTGTACTATAAAAAGGGGGGACCGACGAATGGACAGGGATATGTATGCAAAAGCGTCTGTTTGTTTTTATCGAAGCAGATTATGAACTGATGGTCGAGAATGTCCAATATTCCAAGAATTGCAGATATTAAAAAGGCAATAATATGCAAGCTCCTAGCAACATGAACGCGGGCCGTGAAGCTGACAAGCGATGAGCCGTTGGGCGTAACGAGAAAAAACCGATGACTGGATAAAGACAGGTACGGGTATAATCGAAGAGTGTCGGTGAGCGAGGCAAGGCAAATGGCTGCAAGGACGAATAGAGAAGGCCGCAGGGGAGGCGAAGTCCTCGATATGCGAAGAAGCGGATTAGTCGAGCAAGAATATTAGTAAGAAATATGAGCAGAATGAACGTGGCCAAACGGTCGAGGCTTGCGGTTCGAGGTCGGCGAGAGACGGACAGTCAGTCGCAGAGCTGGACGGCGAGCTTTGGCGAACAGGTCAGGACCCAATTGGCTTCCCAACACTGCGATTGAGGCTGCTGGCTTCAAAGACGCTCCAGTCGATCCAGCGAGGGAAAACGACACGGGTCGAGGTTGCGAAACAGTCTAGGGCCTGGCCGCAGTTGTCTTGTAGGAGGAAAGCTCAGTTCGGGGACCGGGGGATAGAAAAAAGAAGAATAGGAAGAGGAGTAGCAAGAGGAGAAGGAGAAGAGAGAGAAAGGATGGAGCAAATGAAGTGAAGAGAAACGAGCAATAAGGGATGAACAGAAATAACGGGCCAAAAGGCGAGGCGTGCTCCAAGGACCAGCGGGTAATTTTCTGGCAGAGCGCAACGCGAGCAAGGGGCCGCAAGGGGACAAGATGTACTAGAAGAAACCCTGAAAGGTCTAGGAGAAAAGAGGGCCGGGCAGAAGCTCGTACGCGGACGACGGTAGGAGGCGGACGAGGACAAGAGCGAGTGGAGGGCCCAGGAGAGGAAGCGAAAGAGAGGAAGAGGACGACGAGAGACGGCCAGGGGGTTGGATTGGATTTGGCCTAGGTGGTGACCAGTTGCCCTGTGCCTGTGCCGGCCATGTACCTGGTACGCGGGGGTACTTTTGGCCTACAGCTGGGAGCTGGGAGCACTGCAGCAATGCGGTGCTGGAGTGTCTATGGAGCAGTGAGAAGAAGGAAAAGAAGCAAGAATTGGTGGCTTCTATGAGTTTGGATATTATGTGAAGTACTTGTAGATACATGTCCATTATCTCAAGAAGCATCAATATTATAACAGAATTGATTGCTGATGCAACAAATACAACTGCTACTAAAAGGCAGCAGGTACCCTCCCTCGTACCCGCTACCTGGCGCATTGCTTCCTCTCCCGGGGCCAGACCTTTATTCTTGAGATGGACAGTTGCCCAAACGGGACGGGGGATGGAATTGGCTGCGGTGGCAGTTTAATGACCCGGCGCAGGGGTTTGCAGCTGCACCACCGCCTAGAGGCGCTAACCAGCCACTGAGGAGAGCCACTGGCGCGCGGTTTAGGGGTTGCAGTGGCGTGCAGTGTCCATCTGACAGGGGGGAGGCAGGAGGAGGCTTGTCGAACCTTGAGCTTTTTTTTGGGGGGCAGACAACACGCTCCTCATGTATCTGTCCATAGTGAAACAGCTGCAGCGGTACTTATCCTGCCCTTTTTTGTTCCCAGCGAAGCGTTTCCTTTTGCCTTTTAGCGCGGTGGAGCGATGCGGGAATGTGGCCCTTTTTTTTTTCTCTTCTACTGTACGTCTTTGTCCTTTTTTTTCTTGGTGCTCTCTTTTCTTTTTTTTGCTCGTCGAATGTTGAAGACGTTTGGGGCCGTTTTCTGCTCGCCTAATACGAAGCAAGCAAGCTGTGAGTCCCTTGCATGGTGCGTGTAGTTGTATTATTACACGCAAGAATACGGACAGCACAGACAATTACCAGCAGACAATACTGCTCAACCCTGAGCATGTATCTATCCGGTACCTACAGTAGCAGTAGCAGTACGTAGCAGTACAGCTTAGTAGCAGCGCATCTTCCCAAGGCCGATTTGCCAGTTTGAAAAAAAAAAAGAAAAAAGAAAAAAGGTTCACGATCGCTGCGTGGGATTGGCTGGCCGCGCTGGGATCAGACGGATGCGGCCTCCATACTGGGTTAGGAGCAATTGAACTCACACGTCAACTCAGGCAGTATATACTCGTACATGTACCAAACAGACACACGCACGGAGAAGGGGATCCATAACTTTGCTGTCTGTCAGACGGGGTCGAGGAACCATTGCAGGACTCGCCTCCTGGCTCTCCGTCCACGTCAAAAGCTGGGAACAGGCACGGTACAGCACACGGCATGAAATGGGATCAAAATTGCAGGAAGCAAGCTCATGTGCTGCCCTGCATGGCATTGGCGTGTCCAAGCAAGCTGTGCAGTGCATACTCTAAAGAGAGTTCCATGCGTGGCTGCGGCGCTTCACATGTCAACGGCGTGGGTTGAAACAAGCATCAAGGATATCTGGCGCCATCAAACTCTCCAGGAGCCACTCTGGGATCGAGGTGCGAGATGCCAATCAACTGGCCGGCCGGTGAAGCCATCGGGAAAATCAAACACATACACAAAGCCAGGTGGTACAAGTAGATGGCAGATGTACACGCAACTCTCTTCTCCAGCAAAAGGAGGAGATTGGGTCGCCCAGCCGCAATTCTCACCGCCACGCCTTCAGCAGCAGCGGTACCTGTACTTGTGCTGGACTAGCAGGAATCCTAGGTGCAGTGGCTTGCGCGGTTCGCTGGGCTTCTCCATCCAGACGGCGTCCTAGCGATTCTACCGCATACAATTTCGCCGCCTCATGCAGGACAACCCCATTGTCATCTTATTCACTGCGCCTAGCCCCGCGTGCCTGGCCTGGAGAGGCTTGCCGCGTGGGAACCATCTCGTGGCGGTGGTGCTGCAGCATCGCTATTCTCGCTACAGTACTGCTACAAGGTGCGATGCTGACTTTGGCCCTTGTACAAGTAGATTCGGTGGGCAGTGAATACCTAATCCATCATCTGCTGCGTGATGTTGCATCTTGGCCGGGGCTGCCCTGGCGAGCTCGGAATGCGCCGCCGTCCCAACCCCAGTGGCGGCACGTCTTTGGGCACAGGGTCCAGTCAAGCTGCACGCAATGCCCTTCATTCGTTAATTGGGCTGCAACCACGGCTTGCCTTCATTTCACGTCCCCTCGCAGCTTGCAGCTCACAGCTCGTATTTTCATTTGACAATTTGCAATGAGACAGGACCCCACGATGCATGCAAACGGGGCACAGGTTGTGAGCAAGCAAAGTGGCTTGCTTCCACTTGCACGAGAGACGGCCGGGCTGGATGCAATAATAGCAACGGCCATAGCTCGATTGCGCTGTGAGATTGAAAGCAAATACTTGTACTGGTACTAGCACCAAGACCCTCATTCTCCAGCAAGGCCTAATACAACTCGAGTGGTGCCGCATCGTGGAGTCTGCTGTGGGCATTGCCATGAGCAGGCCTCTGAACCGCGCGTGAAACGAAGCACCCCCAGAAGTTGCAACACAACGAGACAAGCTCAATAGCATGACGGCTAGATCGGAAGGGGGGTCGTGGCTGTGTGATGCTGCTGCTTGCTCCTAGACCTAGTACTACATGCTACAGTAATATTACCTGCATCTGGACCTTCTTGATACTTGCCAAATCATCGTCGTGGCCTCGGGGAAATCGAATTCTTGGTACGACAATGGGCGGTTCTCGGCCACCATCTTAGCAGGTGGTAAATTCCTGGTTCAATTCTTGGAGCTTTTTTTTGCTTTCAATCTTCTCTCAGCACAGGGCTTTAGCCGTTTCCAGGCAGGCCTCTAGCATCTCCGCATTATCGCAGTGGCCGTCTGCTGGTACCTTGCATAGCCGCCCGACGCCAATGCGGGAGGATAATACACGTAGCAAGGTAGCATTTATGCTCAAGATGCGTGACAAGGAGACTGCAGCAAAGATGAAAAAACGCCCTGCAATAGTAAATGCCGTGCGGGGATGAAGCCGCTTGCAGTAGATAAACCAACTCCTGCATTGATCGATATTGATAAAAGCGTTGAGATCAGTAACACAACCGCATCACCGATCAGTAATGCCACGTAGGGCTCCGCTCACTCTTCGAAAGCCAAAGATGTTGGACCCCAAAGACATCTTTTGCACTGTATGCCTAAAGAATGGAAACTTGGCGCCATTAATTTCCACAATTGCATGTCTCTTTCCGGTGACCGAGTAATGGGTGTGGCTTGCTCGCTAGAAGTTCGAAGCGTACAAGAAAAAATGGAAAAAAAAAAAACATGAGCTACTAGCAAACGAGAACTAAACAAGCGTCATTAAACTATCCTTTTAGTTGGAGGTTCTGGGCCAAACAAGAAAAAAAAAAGGAGACAATTCAACTGACATTGGTCAATGCGTGCTTTTCAATGTTTAGCGGCGACTGGAGGCATACGAGCAATGGGTGGTAGTTGGAAGAGATTAACATCATGTCATTGACTTATTCTCCGGTTGATCTATGGGATTTAGTAAAGTCGGATTCTATTTAAAGAAAATGGCATGTTTGCTATTCAGATTGTTGATTAAGAAATGAAAATGGCATAGCGAATCTAAATCACAGAAAATTAGCTTCAAGTCTCGGTTCACTGTATCAAAGCCTCCCATATCAACTTGCTTCTCCTCCTAAACACATACCATATATTTATACATACACATGCATAGTATTTCGATATGTTCTACAATTCATCTTATCAACATCTTTATTGTCCTCAGCAAGCAAAACACAAAAAGCCACAACTTCACTCAGCCATAAACATCTCCTCAGCCCAATCCATCAACACAATCACAACTTCTTCCATCCCACCTTACATTACCATCACTGCCCATCTCCCCCATCCCCTTCTTCACCATCGAGCTCAAACTATCAAAAACCGCCGGCGCAGCCCTCCCCATCCGCGCCCTCGACATTCAACCCCCCCACTCTCAAGATCCGAATCAGCTCCCTCGTCGTCCACCCACCCGGTTCTTGCGTCTTCGTCCCCGGGTGCAAACGCCGGGTCCTGGCACGCCAATGTCCAGAGACAAGTACACGGGCTCTTACGTCCAGCGTCCTCATGATGCCTCAGAACATGGAGCTATAGGTGAAGTGAGACGGATATCCAGTCGTGTCAAGATGAGCGGTCCCCATTCTTCATACACACATCGAAAACAGTCTTTACAACACCCACCATCAAAGAAAAGTACCCGTACGGGCCTCCCATAAATCTCCAGCGCTCTCGGCGCAGGCAGCGAAAGATGATGGCCACCCAGCGTCACAGTCTTCAGCTTCGAGCTCAACATCGAAGCAGTGCCCCTTCCTCCAAGTTCCTTCACTAGCATCATCTGCTCCCTCGCAACGTCATTGCCAAAGGGTGCAATTGGAATATCGCTTTAGTCGACAATCCTGGCCCAGTTTCTGCCACGGGTTGCTGGCTCGAGGGTTGAACCCGCGATGAGCCGTCTGCCGGGAAGACGCATGGCGGATAGCTCTGGGAGCCAAAGCGGGCGCCTGCCTACAATGATTGTTCAGTTATTGCATGTTTATTTTCCTTTGAAGCTCGACTGGCTCCCAAAGTGGCAATATCAAACCTCTCAGCCGGGTTTGTCAAACACTTGACATGGTCAAAAAGATTTATCAGTCATTCATTACTGACGAGACGCAGCAAACAAAACTCCCATCAGTGGCCCAGCTCAACCAGCTCCTCTTTTGTCCATTCCCTCCCGTTATGCGTACATGTATCGTGCCCACACCCCGCCGACGACATGCTACCCCAGAAAAACCAGCTCAGTAGCACAGCCGACTTCATGCCTCTCCAACTTTATCCTGGGTCTCTTCTTGTTAGTTAGTGCTAGAGTGAAGTAGGGAAATTTCAAATCACGGGTAGGATAGTAAAAGGAATGGATTCCAGTTTCCCAAACCCGAAATACCACAGCGTAGGTACCAAACATCAACATCGTCATTACAAATCCTCACTTCTGTGCTTGCAGATCTTTATAGAGGCACCTCATGCTACTTAGTTTAATGGGGCAATGCTACGCATCACCAGAGAGTAAACCGCGGGGTGTGGTTGCGAATCATCCAACTGCCGAGGCCTAATTACCAATTCTAATCGATTCCTATATGTCTCGTACTTATTATCGTCTTACCAATGAGCACTACCTATAGATATTGAACATAGTAGAGCCAAAAGAAAGCTTTACTTCAAATATCCACTTCACAAATGACACGCATTCGACAGCAGAGCAACAGCAAGATCAGATAAAAAGTAAAAAGGAAAAAAAAAAAAAGAAGAAAAATGGCATAACAAAAGGTCCGGTCAATTAACTGCACTCCTAATCGCCAAACTTTCCCATCGAAACATGCCTGTCTGCATTTTATAAGTTCCCTGGCCCAAAATATAGAGAGAAACAAGAATAGACAGCAGCGTAGATTCGTCTCTGGTCTCGAGGCCATTGAGAAAAATGACGGAGAAATACGGGCAAGGGCTGCCAGTGACACAGCAGACGGCATCCAGGGAGCTCTAGCCACCATCCCAATTCATACCCATCGTGGAAGGGAATCTATGCCTTGATATCGCTAGGCGCAAGGGGAAAATCCATAGGCATATTTCTTCCTTGGCCAAAAAGCCAGAGAAAAGAAAAACAACGGAAATGATTCCCCTCTTCTATTTGCCAGTGATACCAGCCATCATGGGTAGACAGGGCCCAGTTCCAAGTCTATTCGCTCCGTCCAAACACACATCCTCATCTCCAATTGACCTCGTCCCATGTATCCAGAACCCATCCCTTCTGGTCAACTGACCACCGAGCGAAACAATGGCAATATCCTATGAAGCAATTCCCCGAGGCTGTGGTTTATAGAACAAGGCACTTGTGAGATTTTTTCTTGGGTGCCGGGGGCTCCAAAGCAGCAACGATGGCCTAGAAGGGAAATGTCAGCGGTGGTTTCTTTTTTAAAGAAGAAAAGAGAGAAAGATTTTCCAACAAAACCTACCTCGTCAAACACATCCTTGAGCTTGTACTGCGTCAACGCACTGCACTCGACGTATTTAACCGCGCCGAGGTCCTTGGCCATACGCTCACCATCCTCTCGGCGGACTGGGGCCATCTTCTGCTTGGCAAGCTTCTCTCTGACGCTGGGGTCATCTCTCAAATCGACCTGGGTTCCGACAATGAGGCAGGGAACGCCGGGGCAGTGGTGGTGCACCTCGGGGAACCACTTCTCGCGAACGTTTTCGAATGACGCAGGGGAGGTGACGCTGAAGCAGACGAGGAAAACGTCGGTTTGGGGGTATGAGAGAGGACGCAGACGGTCATAATCCTCCTGACCAGCGGTATCGAACAGTCCCAGGGTATAGGGCTCATCGCCGATCCTGTTCAGCGCAAGTCAGTCACTGAGTCCGATAGATGAAAGGGGGTCATTGATTCCACAAGCAGATTTCGCCAAGAGCCGGGCTGTTAGGCCGTCATTCCACTCAGCAGGACATTGGGTTTGATTCATCGTCTTTTTCTCCCGTGCTCGCTCAATGCGCGACACCTGAAAATCAAACATATCCAATCGCCGCAAGTCGAAATGCCCGCCATTCTCTCCTTCTCTCGCCAATTCAGAGTGGGGGATGGGATGGCTAGAAGGACCACTCACATGACGGTGACGGCATAGTTGTCGAAAACGGTCGGCACGTATTCCGAGGGGAATTTGTTGGTGGTGTAGCTGATGAGAAGACATGTCTTGCCGACGGCACCGTCGCCGACGACAACGCACCTGCGAGCGAATTGCCATGTTAGCGAGCAAGAAAATGCAGATTCAGCCGAGGACGGGGGGTTGCAGAAAGAGGGAAAGGGTCGTTGCAGCTTCATTGACCGCCCCCCTCCCTGTCAGCGTGTTTGGGGGACGATGACATGTTAGGGATCAACAAAGCAGCGACCCTGAGATGCCGACATCGCAGCGTTGCTTCAAGGAGAGGGACCAGAAATCAAGAAGAAGTCGAGGCTTCGGCGGCGATAGAAGAGCGGTAGAGCTGATGCAAAGGGGGGGGATGGAATGCAGGATGGCAGAGGGGCTTGCAGATTCGTACTTGATGGTTGCGACCACCATGGTGGTGCTGCGAATGCGGTTCCTTGACGAAGAGGGAGGTCTGACGACGGAGGATACGATGGAGGCGAAGATGCCTTATCGCAGCGCGGGCCGCGGGGGAGGGAGAGCAGATGCGAGGGCGAGGTTTGGCTGCTGCGAATTGAGGCTCTGGAGTTTTGGAGATTGGTTTGGCGGGAAGCAAGAGAGCCGTAGTGACAGTAGCAGCAGTAGCAGCAGTAGTGGCGGCGGTAAGGCAAGGTAATAGGTTGGCGCGAGCCAGTAAGTGGGTGCGTCTGGGGCGGGTATAGGCAAGCAGGTCAATGGATGGAGCCGACAGGCAGAGCGAGGCGTATCGACAGCGAGCAGAGCGTAGAGGGTGAAGTGAAGTCGGAGAGGAGAAGGGAAAAAAAAAGTTGAGTTGGGCGAGGCTGGGTCCTGGGATCTGGCTTCTGGGCTAAGGTTAAAAGAGAGAGAGAGGCAGAGACGAAGCCTTTCTGCGCGGTGCTGGAGCCACCAGACCTCAGAATTCAGTTTTGTGCAACTAGCAGCAGAAGCTGTGCAGTGTACAAGCACCAGACCAGATGCTGTAGCGTCCTGTTGGCAGGCGGGTAGCACCAGAAGGTGATTTGAATTAGCCGGGTGGTGCAGGCCTGGAGGGATTTGATGGGCCTTGCAACGCTATTCTGCTGCGAGCTGGCCGTAGGACTGGGCTGGACTGGGGGGAGAAAACTGGGGGGGCAAGCGACGAGGAGTGCTGGAAGCCCTTATAGCGGACCTTGCCTTGTTTGGTCTGGGAGCTGCGAGCAGCCACCGTCACCGAGTACAGACAGCAGACTGGAGTTGGAGGGCTTAGTATCTGCTAGCGAGGTTCAGGTATAGCAGTTTGGCGTTGGCAGGCAGCAGTACACAGTATCATTGATATCATTGAGACTACGAGTAATGGTGGCAGGAAACAGCAGTTGGTGGCCCGGCCAAAATCAAACAAGACAAATCAGGAGAAGGGCGGTGATGGGCGCCAGAGAGAGATACGGCAGTACTTTGCACAGAGACTCGCAAAAAGAGACGGGGTTGGTGATGGCGCTCGGTGAAGCAGGCAGGGTGATTGGTGGGGGGATCCCGCCTGACTTGCTGCCTCTTTTATCGCAGCGGCTCCAGCGGCGGACCGCAAATCAGTGCTGGAGGCCATCGCAGCAGATGAAAGGAGTTGAGTCCTGGCCCAAGGGAGAGGTGGTGGTCCATGTAATACGGCCTCGTGTACCTATCCTCTGCAAGAACGGCGGCATGTACTCTGCCGTCGGCTTCCTGAATGTGCGAGCATCCTATCTCGACCACTCTCTGGACGCGTGCAGCACAGGTAACAATATGCGGGCAGGCTGGTGGCTGAAGGGGGTCTTTTTCGATGGGCCATTCTGTACGTAGCAGGCTAGCAGCAGCAGCAGCAGGAATTGGGGGGGCTTGCCTCAATGCGCGACAACGGCGGACCAGGCCAGGGAGGCAGGAAAAGAGGCTGGGCCGTGGTTCGTTGACGATGGTCTAGTTTCCTGTTGCGGACATCTTGGCTGATGGGAGATGAAGGCGATTCAGGAGAGAGGCAGGATGCAACATGCCACTCGCTGTTGGTGGTGCCTCCAATGTATTGCAGCGCTGGGTAGGCATGTAGATGTGTTCATGTTCTGTTCTCATACAAGCCATACAAGTACCACTTGAAGTTGGTATTGTTCATGCTCTCCATTGAAATGGTGGGCAGCACCGGATGCCATGCGAAATCCGCCTGCGGAGGTACTGGCTACAAGCAATTCTCCATCCCACAGCCCATGGGCCACCCAGAGCCCCTAGCTCCTGGCGGGTATCAGATACAAAGGCATCTGCACGAAACAAACACGAACAAGGCGATACAGCACCCTTTGATTTGCATCACAAAAGGCTTCAGATGACGTATATCACCCAACGCAATATCTATTTACGAATCAATAGTATGACTCCCACCTCTCCAAGCCCCCTATGCAGGTACCATCACATTTCACTCTGCATTTGATGACGTGGGTTCCAAGGCACGCAGCCCTCTAGCATCCTTCTGCTGCAGTCTGAACGCCACTCGACGCATTGCATTTGCAGCCCCCAAAGAGCCCCAAAGAATATCAAAGAAAAAGGGAACAAGAACAAGAAAAGACATGCCAAAAGGCTGATTGCCAGGATCGCGCATCCGGGGCGTCTTCCGCGTGGCTCTTTGCCCCTTGCAAGCCCATCTGCCAAACCGGCTACTGCCAAACCAAAGTTTCAGCTCATGCAAGCCGGATCACGACTACTGTAAGAAACAGCAAAGAAAGGAGACAACTAGAGAGGGGGAAAAATCAAATCGAAATAAAGAAGAGAAACATCAATGTCATTATTCATTATTACAGACAGGAAAAGGACAAAAAAGAACAATACACAAAAAAGGGTCAAGGTGTGCTATTTTTAATGCTGCCAGCACCAGGCCCTCCCTACCCAAGACCCTGCCCATGTATTCACGATGACTTCTCTTTTTGCCCAGACCTATTCCTAGCATCTCCAAAGTGAGCACGTGAGCAGCCTCCTTAAACGAGACATGCTTACTAGTACTCCGGTCTCCCTTTCTAGCGAGCTCGCTTCCACCATCAGGTGAAAACGCCGTTGTGGCTTTTCTTTTGCATCTTCTCCAGTCCCTGCGTCCTCGATCTGCCCGCTTGAAACGGAGCAAACCAACCCATCGAGCTCCGTGACTTGGCGCGCTGTAAGTAGAAATAAGTAGTACTACTTGAAATTAAAATGACGGCCTCACTAGCGGTTCCTCTCCCCGATTGCTGTCCACAAGCTTGTTTCGCGAAGCTTCTTCCCCCGGTACGGCTCATCTATTCCTGCGTCGGCAATCAGAGGTAATCTCCTAGAGCGCGATACGAAACGCACCATGCGGCAATCATCCGACTGTTTCCTACGCTACTGCTACTACTACTACATATCACTACTATTACCAACGGTATTACTACCTACCAGCGAATAGGCCCATCGCTTCAATACTACTCGTCACCTCGTACGGAGCGGCACACTGTAAAATGAAGGAGAAGCGCAGCACTGCAAATATGCACCTGATCATGTGCGAAGGCGCCCACGGGATTGCCTGTCGTGCTACGCTGCAGTTTGCGCTTGCAGCTCACCGAAACCGGTGAGAGCATCTTTTGAACAATGGGAGGACAGAAGGATTGCATGATGGTGTAACGACATAAGCACTGCGGCGGAAGATCAATGCATATTCCCGTGATTACACAACTGCCAGGATGGGCATTGTGTCGATGCGGTGTGTCCCGTAAGCATTCCGTGGATTGTACGAAAATGTTGCTACAGTAGAGCTGATGGTGAAATGGCTTCAAGGTTGATATCAATCTTATACCACCTAATGGATTTACCTAGGTAGGTTTCCATGGCCAAAAAATCTCTTGAAACAGTACGACGTAGTTGAGTGGCCCATCATTGTACCAACCACAGTTTGTTATTGCTAAACTAGAATTGATGGGCCAACTTCAAATTATCTTTTGACATGTACAGTAATCCACACGTTGAATGATGATCTTCTTTGAATAGCTAGCCCAAGTCTCGATATGGTGTTGACTGAATCACTTCAATGCTTGATTCAAGGGTAGGCAGGATTGCTTTGGTTTGGAGCGACGAGGCGCTTGTTACCCAATTCGTCTTCACCGTTGGCCAAAGCTGCGTGTCTATTAAACCAAAATGTCTCCATGCAACTCGCCTGGTTATGAATGCCCTTCAAAACCATCTTGACTTCTCATTAATCCACTGTAGTCCTGTCTTGGAGCGTAGAAAGTTAACCGTAGTGTAAAGCTGAAAAAGAAGATTGGATAACGTGGCTCGGGTCAGCTCACCCCCACCATAGCATAGAGCCTCAAAGAGCTACGCACTGACGTCAACCTCTCAACTATCAACCGACAATTCCTAAAAAATGGAACAGCAACACATTGATTCCCTGCTGGAGCGCTACTTGTCCCTCATAGACGAGTATTCGCGCCTGCGGGAGGAGCTGACAAAGCTCCAGACCGGCGTCTATCAAAACATTGCCCGAGCCAACTTCGCCGGCGAGCGGGGCATGAGATATGGCCAAGACCACTACGATGAGAGGATGCGCGCTCTGAGAGTGCTGGATGTCGAGCTCGCAGAGGACAATGTACCCAGTTTTACGATGAAGAGCGTGGATCCCCCTGTTGATGGCGCTGCGGGCGATGATGACAAGAGCCGAGAGGAAGCTGATAAAGGCAACGACAGCTTGAAGGAAGAAGAGACAGAAAAGGAAGAAGCGGCAGACATCAATGCCCAGGAAAACCCAGCAGACGGCACCGAAGAGCAGCAAAATGACAAAGAGAAGAAGGATGAAATCAAGGCAAAGAAACCGATTCACAACCCTCTCCACTGGTTTGGCCTCTTGGCCCCCCAGCCCCTTCGAGCTGCTCAAACACTATCCATCCAGGCCGTGCAAGAGGCCATCCCGAGACTCGTCTCTGTCAACGCCGAGATGGAGCACGTTGAGATTGAAATTCGCAGGGCCAAGAAGAAGAGGGCAAAGGCAATGGCTGCGGTGGCTGCGGAGAGGGAGGTTGCAAGGCAGGGGGCTGTCGAGGCGAGGTGATGAAGAGGATGGATTTTGGAAGAGAAAAATACCTTGACATGACATTTTATTTGGGAAAGGTATTGTGTGTGTTATTAGCGGTATAGAGGAAAAGGTATTAAATATTCTTTGAAACTTGGTTCATTACTTTTTGCAAGTTTGGTATTACGCTATGTGGTTTTATATACTTTGCGACAAGTTGCCCAGAACCTCCAACACATCTTCAATATCCTCTCTCAAAGCGCCCTCTTTGGGAATTCCCTTTTCCAACTGCGCAGCAATACCCACCAGCGCACTAACAGAATGCGCAAATCTCCTTCTCATACCAAGACTCGCTTTAATCAGCAGCGCGCAGCACAACTGTAACGCCGCGACCTGGAGCTCCAATACCACTAGAGGAGGCGAAGCATCTTGCGGCGGGAGAAACACATCCCACGCTGCGACCGCCGTAACGAGATTCATCCACTCCTCATTGGTGTTGTTGCTTTCCTCGGCGACTTGGAGAAGCACACGAATGATTTCGATACCCCGAGACGTCTCACTTTCGCTGATGTTGGCAGCAGAGGAGGCATTGGTTTGGCGGAGGATTTCACACAGGTCCTGGCTAAGCGTCTTCCAGCCTTCATGCTGAAGAAGAAGATTTCGGCCCTTTTCGAATGAGACTAGCGCTTCCAGGGCAACCAAAGTGGGAGATCGAAAATCAAGCTTCTCCGCCAAACTGCCACGATACAGATCCATAAACATGTCCGTCAACCCAGTAGCCTCCTTTCTCAACATGTCGTTTTCGTCTTCACGTAGCCATAGGGCGAGGGCCCTCACAGCGGAAAGAACAAAGGGATCTTGGTCTGCGAGATTCTCCAAAGAGTCCCACGTGAGGGTAAGCCGTGATCCCATTGAAGTCTCCGCCTTCCCAGATCGAGCGTCTGGATGCAGTCCCATGGCTCCAGCATAGGCGGCATCCCATCTGTCGCGCAGGTATTCAATGGTTACGGACATGGTTTCCGATATGCCCTTGCGAAGTTGGAGGAGATTGTCTGGCGACATGATGAGACTCTCCAGCGACTCATCTTCCAATGAGCGAACCAAATGCCCGATGACGATGCATATTATGTCAAATGCAGATGCGAGTCGACGGGACAGATTTGAATATCCCGGTTTGTTGAGCTGCTCCAGCAACAAGGGTGCCGAAGAGCGAATATCGATTAGGAGAAGGTTGACGAATAAATAGGAAAATGGGTTTTCGTCGCTTTTTTCAACCCTGAATAGTGATTCTGAAGCTGCAGTGGGGTAAACGCGAAGAAGAGAAGCGGCAGCGTTTGTGTAGGCTGACCGGGCTGCAGAGTTTGGTCGACTGGTTACAAGATTTCGAATATAGCTGACGACTGCACTGAGCCACTTTGGATTTGTTGGGATGACCTGGAACAAAGAAACATTTAGTAAGATGATTCATGCCATGCCTTTTGTAGGTAGCTGTGCTCACCTCTGAGCTCGCTTGCCGCAGTAGCTGCCCCAGAAACTCGAGAAGCGTCACTGCGTCAGTGCCTCGGAATGAAGCTACAAGAGATTGCACATTGGCATCTATATGATCAGCTAGATAGGATGTGTCGTCGACAACAACCATGGCATTGAGCCAAGCGTGTAGTAGAATGTCCATTGCGATTGCGTGTGATGGCGCAATCTCTGTGATGGAGCTCAAATCGTCTATTCTCACAAGTGCCATGGCGCCTTCTTGACAGCTCACAAGAGTATAGAGCAGCTGTAACAACATATTTACTGTTTCTTCAGATCTATTCAAACGCCTTAGCAAATATGGAAACAACAGATGCGCGAAAAATGGAATATCAGAGAACCTGGCTTACCCATTCAACACAGCACTAACAAGCCTAGGTATCCTATCCGTAAACTTTGGCTGAGACGTAGCCCCTTCGGGCAAGAGAGCAGCAAACGTGTGCAAAACAGACACGGCCAAACCAAGCATTTCTTTCGAATCCTTTTTCGACGGGTTTGACCCCGTGCGCAGAAGCCTATCGAGAAACTTGGCGGGGAGGCTATCCCACAGCCTTTGGACAACGCCATGATCCTGCTGGAGCTCGGGAGAGTTGTCCAGGACGGACTTTAGAAGCGCCAATCCAACAAATCGCTGGGTGTCATCTTGCGCCTGGACAAGAGACTGGATTTTAAGAATGTTTGCTTCGTCTTGCTGAGAAGTGGCGGCTGCAGCAGCTGATTCGGGTTTATCTTGTTGTGAGTCCATCTTTTAAGATTTTTTGCGGATGGATAGGCCTTAGGCAGTGGAATATAGGTTCTGCATTGTGATTTCCAAGAGAAAATATGGACAGAGTTTAACGTTGGAAGATGACTGTGCCCTGAAATGCGATTTGTACAAGGAAACAATATCATGTGAGATGAGTTTGCAGTATCAAAGTCATTGACTCTATGCCTCCAAAGTGGCTGTAAACCAAAACGCCAGAGCCCCGCCAGCCAATCACCATCCACTCCAGAAACCCGCCCTTGCGCTGCTTAGTCTCAGCTGTCTCGAGCCTCTATACAAAACGACAGCGTCTGCCCATTGGATTCTTGTTCGCCCCCGGCCGAGGAGATGGAATAGACCGCGGCGCATCATGTCTGGAGCCGGCCCGCGAGAGCAGCACCAGCCCTCGTCGTCGTCATCGCACACGCCCGTCATCGTCACTCCAGCCTCGTCCGAAGACCGCGACGAGCTCGACTTCCTCGGCGACGACGACGACGACGACGATCGCGACATCCTCGACACCGACCCCGTCCACGGCGACCTCGGCGCGCCGCTGTCCTTCAAGCGCAGGCAGAAGCCCGCGCTGCTGTCGAACCCGCTGCGAGTCTTTTCGACGCTCGCTGGCTCGTCTTCGTCGCCGCCACAGTCGCATCACCAGCGCCCAAACAATCATAAGCATAACCATGGCCACCAGCACTCGGCCTCGCTTGCCTCGCTGACGGGCTCGCTGCGAGACCAAGTCTTTGGCAGCAACAGCCCCAACCCCAGCAAGGACGGGCTCCCCAACGACTGGTACGCCGAGGGCCCCGGGCGGCGCGTCGCCTACGAGGACCTGACGGCCATCGACTGGATCTTCGAGTACACAAAGGAGCGCCAGCGCCTGCGCGTGCTGTCGTCGAGCTCGGGCGGCGGCATCGTCAGCTACATCCGGCACCTGCTGGACGCCAGCCAGGTCTGGATCGTGCTGCTGCTGACGGGCCTGGCGGTGGGCGTCATTGCGGCCCTCATCGACATCACGACCGACTGGCTGGGCGACATCAAGCTCGGCTTCTGCGCGAGCGGGCCCGAGGGAGGCCACTTTTACCTCAACAAGAACTTTTGCTGCTACGGCTACGACCAGGGCTCCAAGTGCGCGGGATGGCGCTTCTGGAGCGAGGCGCTTGGCATCCACTCGGCGGCCGGCAAGTGGTTCATTGAGTACTTTTTCTTCTTGGCCTTTGGGGTCCTCTTTGCGTACTGTGCGGCACTGCTGGTGCAGGAATATGCCATCTATGCCAAGCACAGCGGTATCCCCGAGATCAAGACCGTCCTGGGGGGGTTTGTCATTCGCAAGTTCCTGGGCCCGTGGACGTTGGTGACAAAGTCTTTTGGTCTGGTAAGCTTTGTCTATAGTCTTTTGTTCGTGAATGTTGGGCTTACTATGGGCAGGTTCTTGCTGTGTCGTCGGGAATGTGGCTGGGAAAAGAAGGCCCCTTGGTGCATGTAGCATGTTGCTGCGCAAACGTGTTTATCAAGCTCTTTTCCAACATCAACGACAATGAAGGTAAATTTCGAATTTGCCGAAGACCCCAATCTTATTTTGGATTTTTAGCTAAATTCCGTTATAGCACGAAAACGAGAAGTGCTCTCAGCTGCGGCAGCTTCCGGCATCTCGGTTGCGTTTGGATCTCCTATTGGAGGAGTGCTGTTCAGTCTCGAGGTGAGAGATTCATTAATTCAAAACGATTGGGGGCGTCTTGAGTTTCTAATTCCTAGAAAAATAGCAAATTTCATACTTCTTCCCTGATAAGACCATGTGGCAGAGCTTCGTCTGCGCCATGTCCGCTGCCGTCATCCTCCAGGCTTTCGACCCCTTTAGGTCCGGCAAGCTGGTCATGTACCAGACAAAGTATAGCCACGACTGGCAGGGCTTTGAGATGTTGCCGTACGCCATACTGGGCATCATCGGCGTAAGTCGACTCGCTTCAACATCATTCAATCTGTGAGTAGCTAACAATTAGACTGCATAGGGTGTCTATGGCGGCCTCTTCATCAAAGCCAACATGGCCGTCGCTCGATGGAAAAAGTCCAAATCCTGGCTCCCCGGGCCCATCACTCAGGTCCTGGCAGTGGCCCTCCTCACTGCCCTTGTAAACTATCCGAACCACTACATGAAGTTTCAAGCGTCCGACCTTGTGTCCAATTTATTCACCGAATGCTCCCAGAACCTGGACGACCAGATTGGCCTGTGCAAAACCGGCGCAGCGTCAGCCGGCACCATTGTCCTCCTCATCTTCGCCGCCCTCGTCGGCTTCCTTCTTTCCACAATCACTTTTGGCCTCCAGATCCCCGCCGGCATCATCCTGCCGTCCATGGCAATCGGCGCCTTGGTTGGTCGTGCCATGGGCATCTTGATGGAGATTTGGGTCGACAACGCTCGCGGCTTCTTCCTCTTCCGAACCTGCGCTCCTGACACGCCATGCGTCACGCCCGCTACATATGCCATTGTCGGAGCGGCGGCGGCTCTCACAGGCGTCACTCGCATGACCGTCTCCATCGTCGTCATCATGTTCGAGCTCACCGGCGCGCTCACCTACGTCTTGCCCATCATGATTGCCGTCATGATCTCCAAATGGGTCGGCGATGCCTTCTCCCGCCGCGGCATCTACGAGTCCTGGATTCACTTCAACGAATACCCCTTCCTCGATAACAGCGCCGAAGTGGCCATTCCCGACGTCCCCGTCGCCGACATCGTGACCCGCGTCGAGGACCTCATCGTCCTCACTGCCACGGGACACACAATCGCCTCCCTCAACAGCATCCTCGAGATGCACCCCCACCGCGGCTTCCCCGTCATCTCCGACCCCCGAGACGCCATCCTCCTAGGCTACATCTCCCGCGCAGAGCTAAGCTACAATCTCAAAACAGCCTCCAAGTCTCCGCGCAACCTGCCCCCCGAGACCGAGGCCTACTTCTCGCACCAGCCCCTCGCAGACCCTCGAACGACGCTCGATCTCCGGCCGTGGATGGACCAAACCCCGCTGACACTGCCTTCCCACACGCGCTTGCATCTCGTCGTGTCCTACTTCCAGAAACTAGGCTTGCGGTACATGCTCTTCACCGACCGCGGCGTCCTGCAGGGCCTGCTCACGAAAAAGGACATTTGGTATGTCCTCAACGGCGCAGACGAGACGCGGCGCTCGACAACAGCCGACTATTCTGCGCCCATGAGAGCCGGAGCCAGGATAAGAGAGCAGGAGAGCGGAATCATGGATGAAGGGAGGGATGAGGAGCAGAGGGGCCTTTTGCGGCCGGGGGATGATGCGGATGATACGGATAGGGGGTCAATATTATAGAGTTGGGATATGGAGTTTGTAGGACGGTTTTTTTTTCTTGCGACATTTAGGAGTTCTATACTTTGCAAAAATCGTAGAGGATTCTTAGCTATTTGACATTCCACTTTTGGACAATAGTAATGCTGAATAAAAGCTGAATTTTTGGCTATATTGCATAATACAAAATAAGTGCTCAAACTATCAAGACAGGAGACAAAGAGAAACCAATCAATGCATCTCATAACTCATACACAAAGGCCCGTCCCTAAAGATAAAATCCAATTGTCCATCCATTCCCGGTAGTGATAGATAAAGAAATACCCATAGATAGATAAGCCGTCTATTTTTTTTTTTTTTGCCCCTTAATATTCAAAGTCATCATCCACTGACGGACCCTTATTCTTCGTCACGCTCTCCTGTTTCCTGTACATCTCCGCAACTTGCCTGCTACTCGTTGCTTCATTAGGTTTTTTATCGTCTCGAATCTTGATGAATCGGGGAAATCGCAGACTGATGCCCTTCTCGCCTGCTGGATCCACGCCTTCTTTCCATCCAGCCTTGTACCGAGGGCTGAGCGTCAAATCCGCCGTCTTGACCTCCCACACGTAGCGTGGTTCGAACCACACATCAGGTTGATGCTGCCCGCCTGCAGAGTGTGAGTAGAAAGGCTTGGGGCGGGCAATTGTGATTTCGGAGAGCTGGGCATGGAGGTCTTCGAGGACTTGCTCCGAGAAGCCAGTGCCAATGTTGCAGACCGTCTCATACACATCGGTAGAAGGGTTGTAGCAAGCAAGCAAGAAAGCACCATAGACTGATGTCCTTTTGCCCTTGCCATAGTAAGCTCCCAGGACGACCAGGTCAAGAGAGTCACCCACGCCAGAGAGATAGTCCTTTTTAACCTGTAATCCGGTATTAGTTGGGAGTTGAGCATAGCATTTGTAGAGGGCGATATTTACCTTGAGCCAATTTCGACTTCGCTTGCTGGGCTCGTACCCGCTTTCTGTCCCATCCAGCATCTTCACCATCAGACCCTCGCACGATGCCTTAACACTCTCATCCAAGAATGTCTGAATCTCATCCAGCTCTTGGCCGTTCATGTGAGTTGCCAATTGAAACTCGCCTTCCGTTGGAACAAATGCTGTGCTGAGGAGTTCGCGACGCTCACGAAGCGACTTCTCCACCACTGCTTCTCCGTTCAGATATAGCAGGTCAAAGGCAAAAACACAAACCTTGACCTTGATGTCTTCGGCCTTTACATCCTTCCTCTTGCGAGTCATGAGTTGCTGGAAAGGCAATACTTTCTTCTCGGCCACATCCCATGCCACAGTCTCGCAGTCGACGACGAAGCTCTTTGTGTCTTCCTTGATCCATGCGCTGAGCTTCTCAAGAACGTCGGGATACTTTTTGGACAAATCTTCCGAGTTTCGAGAGAAAATGCAGGCAACACCTGACTCAATTTTTTTGGTCGATCCTTGGGTAGATGCGTCCAAATCCTGAGCGGCATCTTTGGCCACATAATGAATCTGAGCACGTTCACCGTCGTATTTGTATTCGCACGTGAATTTTTGGCCCTCGAACCGGTCCAAGACTTCTGTAATAGCTTTTGTTGGTTTGGCCAACATGGGCTTCAGGGGCACGCCAGGCCGGAGTTTGCAGTGATCTCTCAGATTGGCGATGCCGTGCTCCATCATGGCTGGAATAATGACATCGTAGCTCGGTAATTCGCTGTCTTGCATCAGTTTCACGTCCGTAGGAACCACAAAAGATCATGTCCATACCTGTAAACTGTCTTGAGAATAGACTCGCCGTTTTCCAAATCTGAAGTGGTGGGGATTTTTCCCTTCACCTCGGCTTCATGTGCTACAACTGCTTGAGCCAACGAAACCAAAACAGTCCGGTCTGCCAAGCCAAGTCGAAGCTTGCCTTCCAAGAATCGGATAATATATTTTGCTTCGCTTGGGCCGCCCTTGTCCTTGTTGATATCCACCTTCTCCTTCAAATGAGAATCTGAAGAAGATAGAAGCTTCTTGATGCCGTCAACTTTGCGACCTTGGGCGCCGTTACCAGTGACCGTCGCAATACTCATCAAGCCTTGATGAACGCCTCTTACTGTCAGCGCTTTCGGCTTGAACATGGTTGGCTGGGTCGATCTGCTCTTCACAGCCACGAGACCGAGGTCACCAATCTCTTTCTGGTCAGCCTTGATGACCTGGAGGCTTCTTCCGGTAGTTTCGCCGATAGCTTTCATGATTAGGGATTCACCGATACCGAGCTCAATGCCGGCGTAGTCAGGAGCCAGCTTGTTGATCATGAGCAGGACGGTAGGCAAGAGATCATCAGGGGTGAGCCGCATGACTTGGCGCAGAAACTTTGAACAATACTCCATGATGATTAAACGTTTCGTCGTCAGCTCAATGAGCGAAAAGGTCTTGCAAAGAGCTGCATATGGTACAGGGGTGCCAGGCTGCCAATCAGGATATGCATCTTTTTCTTTCGTTTGGAGCATTGTTTGCTGAGCTTTGCGTGCTTTGGCCGTAACAGCTGGTTTTGGTTCCGCATCGCTATCAGCCTCTGACGCTGATTCTGAAGATTGCTCCTCCTCCTTTGCAGCTTTCTCGGCAACATCCTCGATCTCCTCTTTTATCTTGGCTGCCTTTGGCGACTGCGACCTCGACTTTGGGCTAGACTTGGGACTCCGTGACCTCTTTCTCTTAGCAGGGGGACTGCTGGGAGCTTCTTCTTTCTTTGGGGACGACTGAGGAGCTTCATCCTCGTCATCCTCAATCTTGACTCTTGTTCGCCTTGCTCTTTTTGAAACTGGAGCCTCGTCTTCCTCTTCAGCTAGCTTGGGCTTTGCTTCCGTCCTCTTTTTGGGTGACCGCGGGCGTTTTTTGGAATCTTTTCATCACGAGTCAACTATCAAGCTCTAGCCGAAAGCAGGAGAATGGCAGAGCGTCTTACCCTTCTCTGGATCCGAGTTTTCCTTTGTGCTTGCATCGCCCTCGTCTTCAGCCTTGTCTGCTTCCTTGGTCCCCGCCTTGGTCGCAAACGCCAGCGTCGTTTGTCTTGCTGGTGCAGCTGCCTTGACCCCAAAGAATTTGCTAGATACCAATGACAATTAGCAATTCAGCTCAAATCCAAGCATACCACGACCTCGTGCCACATGCTGCGTCGATCGAGTCCACCCACACACCCTATCGTCTGCTGCGACGGCGTCACATACCCCAGAGTTGCCTGTTTCGGAGCCATGTTGGAGGATGCACCGGCAGATGCAGATGCAGATGGCCAGCAACGAATCAATTGAGTTGATGCAAATCTCAGAGCCAAGGCGTCAACAGCGCAATATTTATAGCGAGGCCGAGCTGGTGAATTAGTGGTTCTGGTGCCTAGGCACCGACAGCTGCTTCTGTACAGCCCAGCTGCTAGCATGACGCGTTGAGCAGGCAGAGACGCGTTAATGATCGGGCGCATCGCCTATGGGCCCCATCACGCGCGTGACCCGCCTGGCTCCAGGGTAGCTTGTGTCCTGTCAAAGAGTTCAAGGAAGAATCCGGACTGTCGGAGTAACTGCGGCCCAATCGCTTATCGCTGAAACGCCACATCTTTTTTTTTCGTGAGCCCCACGCCAATTAATCCCGCCCTATCCCCGTTGCAGCCTAGCGCGATCCAACAATCAAACCTCCATGCTCAACATTGCCAAATTTCGCAAAGCTAAACAGCTCCAAGAGCCCTTTTGCCATCTTCATCCATCACCCTCGTCCACAGAACTCCCGCGAGGCGCATCCAGTCGTCGCCATGTTCTCCAGAGCAGCTCTCCGAGTCCCCAGGGCTGCGTCTCTGCGCGCCAGGGCCCCTGCCTCCTTTGCCCTCGCCAGCCGGGCCGTCACCACCGATGCCGCTTCAGCTTCTCTCTCCCAGTCGGTGCCCAAGGTATGTCTGATGCGCCTTTTCTCTGCGACGCGGCATGGAGTTTCGAGGAATGGGGCGGACGAATTGGGTTGATTTGACTGCCAATGGCTGGCGAAAAACACCGTTGAACGGAGACTAACAGCTGTCCCGCACAGTCCGATGATGAGCCCTTCCAGGTCACTCTCAGCGACGAGAGCTTCGAGACCTACGAGCTGGACCCTCCCCCTTACACCATCGAGGTGACCAAGAAGGAGCTGAAGCAGATGTACTACGACATGGTTTCCATCAGGTACGGAGCGACGAGAGCCTCAAGAGCCGCTTTGTCACGGGAAATACTAATAATCGCTCAGACAAATGGAGATGGCTGCCGACCGTTTGTACAAGGAGAAGAAGATTCGCGGTTTCTGCCATCTGTCTACTGGTCAGGAGGCTGTTGCTGTCGGTATTGAGCACGCCGTCACCAAGGAGGACGACATCATCACCTCCTACCGATGCCACGGTTTCGCCCTGATGCGTGGCGGTACTGTGCGATCCATCATTGGTGAGCTGCTTGGCCGCCGTGAGGGTATTGCCTACGGAAAGGGTGGTTCCATGCACATGTTCGCCAAGAACTTCTACGGCGGTAACGGTATTGTCGGCGCTCAGGTTCCCGTCGGTGCCGGTCTGGCCTTTGCCCACCAGTACGAGGGCCGAAAGAACGCCAGCATCATCCTATATGGTGATGGTGCCAGCAACCAGGGCCAGGTCTTTGAGGCTTTCAACATGGCCAAGCTGTGGAATCTCCCTGCTCTGTTCGGCTGTGAGAGTAAGTTGAACGATGTATTCAAATCTATCTGAACCGAACTAACACACACCACAGACAACAAGTATGGTATGGGTACCTCTGCTGCCCGTTCCTCTGCTTTGACCGACTACTACAAGCGTGGACAGTACATCCCTGGTCTCAAGGTCAACGGCATGGACGTTCTCGCCGTCAAGGCTGCCGTCAAGTACGGCAAGGACTGGACCGTTGCCGACAAGGGCCCCATGGTCCTCGAATACGTCACCTACCGATATGGTGGTCACTCCATGTCTGACCCCGGTACCACCTACCGTACCCGTGAGGAGATTCAGCGCATGCGCTCCACCAACGACCCCATTGCCGGACTCAAGCAGAAGATCCTGGACTGGGAGGTCAGCACTGAGGAGGAGCTCAAGGGCCTTGACAAGGCTGCCCGAAACCACATTGCCGAGGAGGTTGCCGCCGCTGAGGCCATGCCCGTCCCCGAGACCAAGGCCGATATTCTGTTCGAGGACATCTACGTCCGCGGCACCGAGCCCCAGTACATCCGAGGACGTACCACCGACGAGAACTACTACTTCTCCCAGTAAATGGGGGGAAATAAAATAAAATGATCTTCTACCGCTGATGCACCCCCGCCACATAGCCCCTAATGATTCCTCAAAATTATCGCCTTTTTTTGTACTACATACTTTTAGATAGAGAGGGCGGGAAAGATCCAGATGGACATTCTTAATTGTATGTTTGTTTGATGACCTAAAAATGATAGAGTGTCTTTGTGTATGAAAGCTTTGCGATTTTTCTCTTCTAATTGGATGTAAGGGGGACATAGAATTGGCTGGGGGTGCCTTAAGAGCTTTCCTAATTGGGAAGTAAAAAATTATAGGGTGAGCTCCGAGATCGCACAGCGACGAGGTGGGGGACTGAGTTTTTACAAAATGTTTAGCTAGGAGTTGAGAAATAAATTTGCAGTTTGATGGGTTTGATTGATAGATATATAAAGAGTGTTTCTTTCAATAATTACAATGAAACGAGAATCAAATATCTATACTTGATTTTCCTATAATTCATTCTAAAAGTCACATGTGATAGCTTTCACTTGCAGGCAAGATGCAAATACAATACAACTTCATAATTCTCTAACTCCGATAAGAAGAGTAAAGCTTTGCGAGATTAGTATCCCCAGACAGCAGCGCTTCAGGATCACCGTATTCCAAAAGCTTTCCATTTCCAAAAAGAGCAGCCTTGTCATAACGACGAATATGCTCCAGGCGATGCATGACGGCAAGCACCGTGCACTCTTTAAAGTCCGTGTCAATAATCTCTTGCATGATTGCTTCTGCTTCGTGGTCGACACTATCATGATCCATTAGTAAAGGACGGTGGAATAACAGACGCCACAGAATCTCTTACTTGCTCATTGCCTCGTCTAGGACGAGAATCTTGCTTCGCTTCACCATGGCTCGAGCAAAACACAACAATTGCTTCTGCCCAGCCGACCAAGATGACAAGTCAATCTCTTCGTCTATCCCCCCTTGCTCCTCGACAATACTCCATAGGCGTACACGACGAAGTGCCTGTATGATGTCTTCATCAGAAGCATGGTTCAGAGGATCGACATTGAAGCGTATCGAGCCTGGTAAAATAAAAGCATCTTGCGACACGACGTTTATGCGTGAGCGTACTTCTGCATTAGAGAGAGTCGATGTGTCTACGCCGTCTATCGAGATGCTGCCTTCAACAATCTCAAGCATCTTCAAAAGGGAGAGAATTAGAGAAGTCTTGCCGCTGCCTGTTCGGCCACAGATGGCAACGTGATCCCCAGCTTTGATTGATAGTGTTATACCATTTAGCACCGGCTTAGGGTTTGTTGTAAGACTATAAAAACATGAATTAGCCAAGCTTGTCTTATATAGGGGAAGAAAAGTTGAAGGGGGCGTATACCCATAAGATGCAGTCCAGCCGGCAAATTCAATAGCGCCAGCCTGTGGCCATGTCGCTGGCACGTAATCTGCCTTTTCGTTCTGCTCTTCCTTCTCCGTTTCCTCCGTGAAGCGTTTAATGCGTGATACTGCGCCAATGCTGGGTTCCAAGACTGTCCAGTGCTTCACGAGCCGCACCAGCACTCCGTTGAATCCGATAACCGTTACCAGGCTGACACCGATGCTGCCAGTGCTAAATCTCTCTCGCCAAACAATGACTGTAGCGACAAGCAAGGCAACCAAGACAGTGGTCAACATCTCAAGCACGAAACCAAGCCAGTGCTTGATGCAGCTCTGTAGATAAACCGGTTTCTGCGATGCGTCAATGAGGCGATAGTTGCGCTCTTGGTGGTACGACTGCCATCCAAAGGCACGAATCGTCGTCGCCCCTGCAATCGATTCGCTAAAATGGGTAAACAATGGCGCATGAGCTTCTATGGCGAGCAGTCGGACTTGTCGCGACGTATGAAGATAGAAGCTCTGAAGAAAATAGACAATGATGGCGAAGAAGGGGATTGTTACCCCTAGGTATCGGGTGAATATAGAGATAATGACGACTTTGGCTATGCATTGAACCAGGGCTACGAATCATTAGCTGAATCTATTTCAATGACAAGGAAAAATAATGAACTTACTAGAGCTATAGTTAACCATGTTACTGGGTAGCTCCATATCAACAAGTTCCAGGTCTCTGCTAAATCTACAAGCAGGGGATCAGCAAAAGTAACAAGGGAACATGTCACATACTTACCTATTGAGCAGTTCGCCAAGGTTACTGGTCGATCGAGAATAGAATGGTGCCCTGGCTGATGGTTACTCATGGTCTTGCAGGTAGCTCATCTCATCTCATTTTACTCACCTGAGAGTCGTTTGTAGTAGATTTGAATGCAGCTGAGCGGCCGAGCGCGAGATGATGGTAATGAAAGCAGCCCTACGGTAAACCTTGTGAGCAATGTAGATATCGTAATGAAAAATGAGATGTAGTTACCAGGCGCATATACCGCCGCTCAATGTACCAACCACGGCAAAGAGGACATATATGCCCAGATACATCCATACATCCTTGTTGGGCTCCGCATTATTGGCATCAGACCACCATTTCATCCATATCGCTAGAACTGTGATTAATAGTGAGAACAATGTGATTTCATAATGCATCACTTACTTGAAAATTCAATGCACAAAATCCAACCCGTGACAGTAATGCTATATAGAATGACAGCACCCCAGCCAGAGCTAGCAAGGTAGTAAGCGTAAACAGACAGCTCGCCTTTTTTGCGCCGAATATCGGTATGCTTGCCATCTGTTTCTTCCGAAATATCAAGAGCAATGTCTGCTGCAATCTCGAAAGCCTCTTCCGTTGTCGGCACAGTTGCAGGTTTAGCGACAGATTCATCAGTGTCTTCATTGTCAGAGATCAGCTGCAATCCCAGCTTATTGATGTAGCCATTGTTTTGTAGCAAGGACGCAGGCGTATCTTTCGCTGTGATTTTACCGTCCTCAAGGACAATGATGACATCTGCAATTGCCATGATCTTATCTAATTATTCTGTAAGCAAAGCTGCAGAGGGTGATGGAAGAGGACGGTTTACATACGGTGGTGCGTGGTTAACACGACAGTGGCTTGCTGCTTGCGAAGAATACCCCCCTTACCAAGCAAACGGGTAGATATAGTATCGATTGTATGCGCATCCATGCCGCTAAATATATCGTCGAGTAGGATAATCTGGTTTCTTGGATAGATAGCTCGAGCGAGAGCCTACATCGATCATACGTTAGTATACGCTGCGGAGACTTTTGGTAATCGACTGATGATACTGACTATGCGTTGCTTTTGTCCGCCGCTGAGATTGAGACCTCTACTACTGATTTTCGTTTGATCTCCTCTCTGTAGCTGCTTTAAATCTGCACCAAGGCCGCAGGCAGAGACAACTTCATCATACCATTTCTTTTCATAAGATGAAGAGCCGAGTATATTCCGACGAATACTTTTGTTTTCGAGCCACGGTTGCTGGGAACAGTACGCAATATGCTTACAGTGCGGCTGCGTTGATCTCTGTCGATTCTCTGGGGATGACAAGTCGATCATTTCGCCCAAAATGCTACTCAAGAAAGATGACTTGCCGCTTCCCACGGGGCCAGTTATTGCAGTTATGGCTTCTCGACCTATGTCAACTTGAATATCCTTGAGTACTACTGGTCCGTTCTCACTCCATTTGAACCCCCGGCTATGCAATGAAATTGTGTCGTCGTGAGGAGCGTCCAATGACTCAGCAGGCCCATTTGGTGCCAGGAGATGAATTTCGGATCCATGGTGATAATCTGTATGACCGGGCTCGTAGTAGTTGTCATCTTTGAGGCTCAGATCTGTATAGTTGCAGTATTCTTGGATGCGGTCAAAGCTGCCTACAACTCCCAGAATAGGAGGCATAATCTGGATGAATGCTATGACTGGGTCCGTCAATAAGCCAATAAGAGCAATAGAAGTAAAGGCCTGGGCTGTGAAAAATGATTCATGGAGCCAGAAGACGGATATAAGAACATATACGGTGAATGTGGCGGCTGGAGCAAGATTCGTTGGTGCGAGAGCTAGAGACTTTTATCAGAACCAAGATCTAGAGTATGAAAGCAGACTTTGGGATGCATACAAAGCAATAAAGTGGCAATTAGAAGCTCTCTAAAGGTTTTTGATGTCTTTATTTCTCTTGTTCGAAAGCTGGTCAAGAGAGTCGACACCACCTGCGGTAATGCAAGCATCTTGATGGCCTTGATATCTCCAAGTAGGGCTGTGGTAGCGCGAAGCCTGTCTTGGACTTTTTCGATCCATGCAACTTGTGCCCTCTGAGTAGCTACTGATATTTGCGAGATTATGACGATGAAGACTATACTTGAGCTTCAGCATAAAAAGACGGACTGTGTAATGCAAACGGCCGCGCATAAAACTCACCTAGTACAAGAGCGATGGGAGCAAGGCAGGCTAAAGAGAGTTGTCTCTCCAGCAGCCAGCATGCAATTAATATGTCGATAAAACAGGCCCATGTTTCATGAAACATTTCCATCACGGATGCTATACGTTCGATATCAGTGCCCATGAGGGCGACGGCGGTTATATCTCCTCCCTCAGTGGCACGAATGTCCAGAGACCGTTGATATACGAGGGCAATCAAGCTTCCTCTCAGCTTGGCAACAAATCTAGAAGCTTCGTAGTAGTATAGAGACCGCGATATCTGTATCAGAGAACAGTCAGTCAGCACATCTGCTTGGCGTATCAAGATGCCCACATACCGCAATTCCCAGATATACAAGGGTCCATGCACCTATCAATCCCTTTCCGTGGTAGCTGTTGGGATTATCGCTTCCAACGTATTCTATCGTAGTTTTGATGAGAAAGGGCTGGGAAAAGGTAAATGCCGTCATGCATAATCTTGGGATCATGGCAGATGGTAAGCTTGAGAGATGGCTGCGAAAGCAAGCTTTGAGTAAGCTGTGTTTGGCCTTTGGATCATCTGTGAACAATGACATTAGTACTCTATATCGATCAGGGCAAATACACTCTCCTGTTGATGCTCACATTTCGACCAGGTTGTAATCAATTGGCGACGCAGTACCCTGCTTTGAAGTCTAGTATCAAGATTTGGCAAATCACTCTGTGAAATAATCTTGGCGTGGCCGGCTCTCAACAAAGACGTCAGCCATGAAAAGCTGATTCTTGCCCAGAGTCCGCTAAACTCCTCTGGCGAGCCTTGAAAGAGAGGCTTCTTTTCTTCAATAGATTCCAAAATGAGAGCGAAAAGAGTCAATGAGAGGTTCACAGTCATCAGGACCGGAACAGGGCTCCCAGCCGCTTGTAGCCACAGAGTCCTAGTGCGTGCAATGTTTAAGAGGCTTTGGAGGAACAAATATAGATCAAGCACTGTTGACGGACGAAGCGAGCGTTCATGAGTTGCCCTGGACAGCAAAAATGCTGTGACCGTCGCTACGGAGCTCAAGATGTCTGCAGGGAGCGACAGCTTGGTTCGTAGCTCAGCATGCTGAGATCTGAATACAAGATATATAACTTGTATGATGAGGATAGCGGCATATGCGATCTATGGGAAAAGACTTGTAAGCTCACAGCCATGCAACAGTAATAGCCAAGATTGAGACCAACCGATTTCCACCGCCGCAAGGCCCGGGATCTCACGGTATACGCAGCGCGCTTCGTGAACAATCCCCATATTTGAGCCGGCGTTAGGATGAGGAACACAATTGCCGGCAGGCCAACAAAGAAGATGTCTTCGAACAGCAGAGTAAAGTCGAATGTTCTACATCGAGGATCGACCTGAGGCCCAAAGGACCGGTCGCTATTACGGCAGCTCATGTCTCTAAAAGATGGCAATAAACTGGACGGGATAGACGGGATAACATGACTGGAGGTAGAAGAATTAAATTTAGTAAATTCAATACGCTTATCAAAGGATTCGAATAAGGCGACGCGCAATATGCGAAGCCTACAAGGCTACAAAGGTGACATCAGATGGCTACCAGCCTCTTAGAGAGTTTGCGGGGGGGGGTTGGTCAGACGGCAGAGGCCGCCAATCTCGATTGTTTAGGGCTCCCTTGACTTCCACTAATTGGATTACAACCAACAACAACATGATTACAGCGGTGCTAGCAACCTTACAAGCCCGGTAACAGCGTTCTACAGCAAATCCGTTACAACACTAGCGATTACAGCCCGCAACATGATTACAACGCCTACAACACAATTTCTACCACGCAATAGCTTCTTTTCCTTGCTTCCTTCTGTTGCCTTACTTGTATTACTTTTCCTTCTATTACTTTCACCAATATTATAAGCGTATACAGTAGCTATATATTTACCTAAGTACATATATAAACTGGCTGTCTTTTAAAACGCCTATGGTATACTTAAACACAGAGCCATCTGTCACACTTCCATGTGTAGTGAATTTACTAGCCACCTATAGATACAAACTAAAAGAATACATCATCAGTTATAACCCAACACCTTTTGTTTCTTATGCCCCGATAGACATCGACTTCTTGATCTCGGCAATGGCCTTGCCGGGGTTCAGGCCCTTGGGGCAAGCACGCGTGCAGTTGAGGATGGTGTGGCAACGGTACAGGCTCATCGAGTTCTCCAGCTTAGCCTTGCGCGCAGCCGTGTGCTCGTCTCGAGAGTCAATCAGCCATCGGTATGACTGCAGCAGGATGGCGGGGCCGAGGTATTCTTCGGAATTCCACCAGTAAGAGGGGCAGGAAGTTGAGCAGCAGGCGCAAAGGATGCACTCGTAGAGACCATCCAGCTTCTTTCGGTCAGCCTTGCTCTGGCGGTACTCCTTGCCCTATTTGAAGTTGTCAGCTCAACTCTCAATCACATGTCAAAATTTGTGGGGTAATGTCGGCTTACATCTTCGGCGGGGGTGTCGCGCTGGAGGTAAGGCTGAATGGACTTGTACTGCTTGTAGAAGTGAGTCAAGTCGGGGACCAGATCCTTGACAACATAGGTGTGAGGCAGAGGGTAGATCTTGACATCCGAGGCCGATTCGGTAGGGATTCGGCACAGGCATGCCAGAGTGTTTTGGCCGTTGATGTTCATGGCGCAGCTTCCACAAATGCCCTCTCGGCAACTCCTTCGGAAGGTAAGGGAAGGATCCTGCTCGTTCTTGATCTTGATCAGAGCATCCAGGATCATGGGGCCGGTCTTGTTGAGATCGATGGTGTAGGTCTGCAGCTTCGGCTTCTCGGTCGGGGTATCAGGGTTCCATCGGTAGATCTGGAACGACTTGGTCCGGGGCTGCTCGGCCTCGCTCACTGACGCCATGGAGCGCGAGAAGACGGCGCTGGGTCGGAAAGCTGCCCTGGAGGAGCTGAGGATTCGCGAAGAGGAGCGGAGAGCGGCCATGGTGACGGTAATCGAGGGCGACGGCGTGTGTCGTAGATGTGAATTGGCGCTGAAGTTGCTGATTTGCCAGGGAATCAATCGCTTCCTGTAAAGCTCAATTCCAGCCAAGCTACGCGGCAGAGATGGCCTCGAGAGTTAAGAGCGAAAAGCCTCTTTTCTGCAACTTCAGGTCTCGTCGTCATGAAAGTGCTAAGATCTCGGAAGTGGCTCTTCCTCGGCTATAAGTTCACGGAAAGCTACCTATTTCACGACCAATCACAGCGGCGTCATTGACAATTCGGCTAAGCAGGCGAAAGCCGGAACACAATCGTTGTGGCGTTACGCTGTGGCGTAAAATTGGGGTGGCTGATGAAAGCAGCTGGAACTAAATCAAGGGACTTTTTATCAAGCCTCTTGATTTCTCTAGAAGGCTCCTAGAATAGCTGGGACCTGTAGTTAATTAGTATAGTTTTCAGTTAAATAGCTAATATTTTTTTTATATACTTAATATGGGTTTTTAAATGGGTATTTTCATAGTTAAAGTTGAATGTGGTCTTGGAATTCTGTAGTGCACAGCTACCTACTGAGCGCGGTGCACGGACCAATATCTGTGCAAATAGGAATCTTCTTCCATGGTTCAAATAGGTTTAATATTGCAACTTATACATTCCAATAGTCGGCTGTTATAGATCGCATACATACCTACCTACCTACATAGGCAGCTACCCAGTAAACACCAATGTCTCAATCATGCTTACCCCTTATAAAGTCGGCGCGTCCCTAGCAATATCCATGTAGACATCTTGCTTCTCTGTGTTCAAAGATGTAAGGGCAAGTGCGATTTGTCCTCTTATACGATCAAATTAGCTGGGACTTGGTTTCATCTACACAACTATTTCATCGGCCATAATTCCCTCCAACGGCGTCTATTCTTATCATAGCCTCTCTAATATCATTCATCTTCCTAGCAATTCTGCCTCACAATGGTTACCAAACGCACGATTCTGGCTGCAGCTCTTGCAGGAGGAGTATCTGCTCTTGTAGCGTCCAACACGACTGACAAAATCTGCGGAATAATCTGCATTCAAGGGGTCAATAAGTGTCACCAACCATTTGGAGGGTACAAGACTTTCCCTTTTCTCTCATATAATTTCCGTAATCCATGATGCCTCATGCGAGAATCGGCGGTGTACTGACACAAGAACGCAACCAGCTGCTACAATCCCTGTATTGAACCGGCTCCTGTACCACCTCCTTGCGTGCTTCCCATCATCACGACCTATTATCCGACTCCAGTACCAACACTTGGACCAGGAGAGATTTCGAACTGCAGCACAATTACTGTGTGTGTGGATGGCATAAATAGCTGCGGTATCCCATTTGGCGCGTATGACTTCTCCATCTATGATATGATGCCAGCCAGGTAGCGTTTATACTGACGCGATTGACTCGACATAGTTGTATTCCCGATTGCAAGCCTTGGGACATCTTCACGCCTCCGTGTCCAGCCGAGCCCACTGATATTGTCCCGTGGATCCCTGAGACTCCGGGGGTCCTCACATGGGATCCTGCTATCCCGACGAGCTCGATAGAAGCACCGGAACCGACTTCGGTACCAGAGCCGGTCGCGGTACCAGAATCAACTGCTGTACCAGAATCAACTGCTGTACCAGAATCAACTACTGTACCAGCACCAACTACTGTACCAGCACCAACTGTTGTACCAGAGCCGGTTGCTATACCAAAGCCAGTTGCGGTACCACAAGAAAGTGCGGTACCAGATGAGACCGAGATACTAGAAAACGTTGTGCCATGGAGTATAGAAGGATCTCAATGGTGGTAGTTGAAGCAACTTTAGAGATTGATGGGCCTGCCCCTGCCGTGCTGCAAATTCTCACAAAAATCACAACCTAGAACCCATACACATTTCCAATCATGTGCTCTAGTAATATGAGCTCCTATGTGCTCCGCCCGCTGCAGAAGCCGATCCCTCTACCAAGGTTTCGTCGTCAGAGCTTGCTTCGCCACCAACGCTTTCGGTTTGGTCCGGAGGAGCCCGCATAGCCTCCAACACCTCTCGATCTAAAACAGGAGGGTGGTAGGGTTTGATTGTATGAATCTCGCGGCCCGACGGCATTTTAGTTATTAGAGCACCAATCGGCGGAATAGGCCGGGTGTTCATCTGTGACGCCAGTCAATTAGTAGACAAATAAAAAACGCATAAAGTCGATGCAGAGTTCTTACCGTATCATTAATCTTGTTCCACCTCGCGTCCAGCATCTCGAGAACTCTAGTTTCTTCCGACTTGCCGGCATCAGCTCCCCAAGCAGCCTCTTTATTAACCCGGCGATCCTCTCTCTTCTCACTGATCCCTTTGATTGCACGGCTAAAACCCAATCCTTTCTTGTCATCCTTGACCTCTACACCGAGCTCGTGTAAACCGGCACGCGCCCAAGCAATTCCTTCCGCTGCCTCTCCCCCCAGCTCAGCGTCAATGCCAAAGAACCGACAGGCTTTTGCCCGACTGGTTCGCCGCAAGTCCTCCAAGTATCGTAGGAATCCAGGGCTGATGCTGCCGGTTGATGCTGACTTGACTGACTGGCACAATGCCGCGGCCTTGGCGGCGTGCTCCGATGCGGCTAGGCAGAGACGGGCATAGAGATGAGCTCTGACTTTTGGGATATCCGGGGCCTTGAACATCCACTCTTTGTCGTTTTTGTTCCTATCCTGAGCCACGGCTGCAGGATATGGATCATCTTTCAACACGGCCAGCAACGTTGCCTCTGCGTGACACAGCGAGGCTAGAGCGCGGAGCGTCGCAGGTGAGATGTCGACGCAAGGGGGGCTGCCGGCAACTTGATCGCTTCTTGCGGCAATGTAGTCATATATGGAAGCTGATTCCAGCAGGTATTTGGTTGCCGTCGTCATGGCAGTTGTCCGTTCCTGTGTGCCCTGGAACTCTGTAGTTGTGGAATACAGAGGCTGAAGCGTCGCCCTTGCCATTGAGACGTGGGCGAAGCCCAGAGTAGACAAGGTAAAATAAATTTCATGCTCAATCGAGATGATTTTTACTCGAGGGCGTTCGCGCCCCGGCACAATGTCGCCAGAAAGCGTCGGCCTCCATGAGATGGACGGCGTCGTCTCCAATATGGTGCTGACGGTCTCGCCGCCCACCGGCTGGTTGCTTAGCCCGGCATCAATGGCAAGGAGATATGGCAGATACTGCTCCAAGCTGGAGATGACGGTGCGGAGATTCGACGTCTGCGATGAGGGAGGCAGCCGTTTGTGCTTCTTGAGCGCGTCTCTGACAACCCCGCGATATGTGCTTGCGCTGAGGGGCAATGAAGGGTGAGAGTCGCAGGCAAAGGCCGACGAGAAGGAAAAGGCAGAAGTCGTCGGTAGTACAAATGGAAATGGCATCTTTGCAAGCTGGTGATTGGTTTACAGCTTGAGAATTTGGCTGTACAGCGCAAATGGCGGAGCGAGATTCTCTGGTTGAAGCCGGGGCCTTGGCATTTACATGGCCGACAAGTCATCTCGCGATACAGTGCCGTTGATGCCTTTCTCGGACTGTATCTCAAGACCCGTAGAGGCTCGCAGAGTGGAGCTGTTTTCACAGCAGCCGAACAATATGGCCCCGTAGCCTGCCGTGTCCTTCACATGTTTTCCCCTTGGCTTCAGCCTTGTCTTGCTCTACAGCGAAATAAAATTGAAGGGAATTACTATCCAGCACCCAGCCGCGGCCTAACAACCAAAGGCAGAGGCCAATAATATTCAACGGTACTTTGCCTTGACTTTTAGCCGCCGCCAAGCTGCCTATAGCTGCTGATAAACCCAAGGCCCATTTTATCTTCTGTATTTTGGGTTTACGCTCCAAATCCCTCAACTGGCTTAAACACTTTCTACTCCTAGCCACGCATTGTGAATGACAAATTTCAATCTACACAAATCACATATTTCGCAGGCTCCCCGCGGCCGTGTGACGAGTTCACTAATAATCGCAAATTCGTTTCGCACTTTCTGGCTTTCTTTACAAACCCCATCTTGCCTGATCAAGGTAGCTGGCCTTGCTGAAGTTTGCTGATAGCAGTCAATCTGGGCGCTCACTTGGCCAAAAAGCATGCTCATCATCGGATTAACTGGGTCCATCGCGACCGGCAAGTCCACGGTATCATCGCTGCTCTCATCAGCGCCTCACTCACTGCCTGTTGTCGACGCAGATGTGCTGGCCCGAGAAGTTGTCGAGCCCGGCACCAGGGGCTATCGTGCCATTGTCAAGCACTTTGGCCCCATGGCACCCGATCTGCTTTTCCCAGCATCAGACACCATGCCGGAGAATGGACCTGACGGCAAGGGCCGGCCACTGAACCGGGCTGTCCTGGGACGACTTGTTTTTGGCGACGAGCCCCAGATGCAGAAGAACAGGGCGGTGCTCTCAAGCATTGTGCACCCGGCTGTGCGACTGGGCATGGTCAAGATGGTAACGGCCTGCTACTTGAAGGGACACTGGGCGGTGGTGCTCGATGTCCCGCTGCTGTTTGAAAGCAAGCTGGACAAGTTTTGCGGAGTGACAATGGTGGTTGCCGTTACAGAGCCAGAGACCCAGCTCAGGAGACTCATGGACAGAAACCCGGATCTGAGTAGAGAAGACGCAGAGAACAGGGTCAAGAGCCAGATGGACGTTCGGCTAAAGGCAGAGAGGTGCTTATCCGCAGGACCAGGCAAAGGAGTGGCACTCTGGAACGACGGATCAAAGGAAGAACTGAAGACGCAGCTGGATGAGGAGTTGCGCAAGCTCAAGGCAGCAAATCCGGAGTGGTGGTCGTGGCTGATGCTGGGATGCCCGCCGTTGGCAGTGGCGCTGGCATCATGGAGGTTTTGGCAGAACATACAAGCTGAGAAGAGATGGAGAGAGGCGCAGGAAAAGGAGCGTAGCGATTGATGTCTGATTCAAACGTTAAATTCTGATTCAAGCACATAATTTAAGCGGTTTTTTTTTTTTTAATCAACAAAAGCTATAGTATATGAGTCCTCCTCTTTGAACCGTAAAAGTGTTATGTTATATACATCATGTTTGAATAAAACCGTCATTTAATCTCCAGACATTGGCGTCTTGCCTTGCACATTTGAGCATCCGGCGAAATGAATTTCCATCCCAGAAAAAGACTAGCGCATCCGCCCCACTTCCGGCTCATGAATAAAATCGTGGAAAGCTGCGAAAACTTTTTGGTTTTCTTCTTTCTTCCTTCTACATCATCAGTTGGGTTATTCCTACACCGTCAAGTGTTTTAATAATTCAAATGGCGGCTCCGCATAGCGGCTTGCTGAGGGTTAACCTGATTCTCTGTGGGTTTCCTTCCGTTCCCGGCCTCCTAAATAAAATACCATGTGATACACTTTTCCTATCAGCCGCGAGTCGACGCCTCTAGAGGGCTGTGACTGTGGGTGTCTCTCAACATATTTTTACTCTATCGATATTTTGATGTAACGGGTGATTTGGATTTGAAGGCTGTGGAAGAATTTCACGTAGAAGGCGAATATTGTGCGTTCTCGGCGGTGAAATGCTGAAAGATGCCACAAAGCCGTACTTGGTAGTCTGAAAAGATTGTCAAATTGATTTTGGCAGTAGGAAACAGACGACATAAGGGCTAAATTCTGCTCGTTATGTACCGCTTCAGTCTTGTTTGGTCCAAAGCTGCACGCATTGGCCATCCATTGCTTGCCGCTTTCCGTCTGTAAAAGAATGCGACGTCTTCCATGCGCAATCTATCAATTCCGACCAGAACTTTATTTTCTCCAAGCTTCTGTGCATCCGAATGTGTAGCGTTACATAAGCGTGTTTTTCCAAGTGTAAAGTGTAAAAGAGCCGCGCACGGACCATCCTACGCTTGTCCCCGAAATTTTTTTAGCCAGAGTCGGAGACGCCTTAGCAGGATCCTCCGGCTTTGCGACAGGTTTGCGAGACTTCATCTTGTCATCGACGCTCGCAGCACTCGTTTCCGAAGCACTTTTCGGCCCAGCACCAGTCGCCCAGCATGTCTTCTCTATGGAATGCATTCACCGGAGGCAACAAGCCTGCCCAGCAGCAGCCGCAGCAACACCAGCCCTTCACTCCCGATGCTGCCCCTCCCACCACCAACCTCTACGACCCAACCCAAGGCGCGGGCGTTGAGTCCTTCTTGCAGAGCTCGGCCTTTGCGGATCCTTCACAACTACACCCCCTCGCCGGATTGAACAGAGACACGCTGGAATACCTCTCCCTCGAAGACTCAACACTGTCCGACCTGCCGGGTGGCCAATCCGTCCTCCCCTCTCGAGGATTCACCGACGACCTTTGCTACGGCACCGGCATCACCTACCTGACGGCACTGTCGATAGGAGGTGCATGGGGATTCCAAGAAGGCCTGCGAAGGTCTGCCGGCCAGCCCCCCAAGCTGCGACTCAATGCCGTCCTCAATGCCATGACAAGGCGGGGTCCATTCCTGGGCAACAACGCCGGTGTTGTCGCCATCACATACAACTGCATCAACTCGCTGATTGGGTTCCTACGCGGTGAGCACGATGCTTTCAACACAATCGCTGCTGGTGGACTCAGCGGTATGGTTTTCAAGAGCACCAGGGGTGTTCGACCAATGATGATTTCCGGCGGTCTAGTGGCCTCCCTGGCCGGTGTCTGGGCGGTAAGTCGACCTGCATGACGGCTGCATAAGCCGTAAGACGAGACGTTTGGCCAATAGCTGATATGATATTTTTTTTTTGCACAGATTGCACGACAGTCATTCTTCCCCGTCCCTGAGCGACATGCCGAGCACGCCGCATTGTAATAATATCACCGAAACAGACATTGTAACGAATAGCACACAAGAGAAGAATTACTCTTCAAACGACATACGACCACTATTTAATCTACATCATAAAAGATGGCGGCTCAAAGGAGGAAAACAACAAAAAGTCTTCTAATAGCTGGGAATGGCAATTGGTAGGAGGGGGCATGGAGACCTGAAAAGGAACTAGGACAGAGGGGAAAGAAATCAAGGGGATGCCTCCTCCAGCCTGGGTGCCAGACGTGTCGAGAGGAGTTTGGACTGAAAAAAAAAAAGGAAAACACCTATATGGTGATGATAGATGATCTCTCCTCCCCAACGTGAACTGTACATTATATCGGGTAACCGGTCAGCGAAGCATTTAGACCATATAGGGCTGGGGGCGTCTGGTCATCAATTTCAAAGTTTGTATTCAAGGAAAAAAAACAAGAGAAAAAATTGAATTTAACATTGATCGGGTGGAAGTGAATTTCGATGCAGTTTGCACAAGAGATTAATTTGGGACGAAAAGCTGTGATTGTTGTTTGGTGGAGCTTCGCTGTGAATTGAGCAGATGGAATACAAGATTTCATGGGATGAATTGAGATTGGAGGCATGGCCGAAGAGATGCAAAAGCCTTGGGTGCCTATCCATAGAGACTTCCGCATAGTGGCTGCTGGGTATGTAGGCAGCTGAGCAAACGGGCTGGAGCGGTTCGAGGCTGTCAACTACGAGGCATTCTTGTCAGAAGTGCGAGTCAATTGGCAAGCAGCCAAAATGTAGCTACGCAAATAAAGAACAATGGAAACAAAAAGTACCTACCCAGGTATGAAAACTCTCGTCGACCACTTTTCACCCTCAACAACTCTGCTTAATCCTTCCTCTTGATCAAGTTCACCTAATAAACACAAGCAACACTCCCCTTTCTTTGTTCATCACGGGCCTTGCGACTTGAATTCAAGCTCATGCCACCTTTCTGGGGCCATCAAAATGTGTCTTCCCTGCTTTCCGTGGACGTGGACCGAGTACGAAGACCCGATGGATTCCATGCCGGAGCAGCATGTGTGGGTGCATGATGGGCAGGCGTGGTCTCTGCAGAGATGTGTGAGTGCAGAGTCTTTTATTTGCATCAAATTTCATTTTGTTTTTTTTTCCCTCACCATGGATCTCGTCACTCTTCGTCCTCTTTCTTGTTCTGTTATGATCTCTGCTACTTGTTGCTCCGATAACTCTTCTCCCCCCCTTTTCTTCCTCCTGCGGGAGCTACTCTTCTCTAAAAGGCGAAACAGCTTGAAACCAGAGTAGCGCAGCCGTTGCCATGAGTTGCCCTGCCATATTGGCCGCAGCAATGGCACAGGATATCCTGGCAGCTGTCTTCAGATGCTCAAAGTGAATGGACCAGTCTGCCAGTTATCAATCAGCTCGCACCCCCGGCCCCTTCACTCTCAGCCCAGTCTCAAAGCAAACGCCTTTTCCCTCTTGCTTCCTCACCCTTTCCATCTTCGTTTTTCTCTTATCACTGCAATCCGATTGTTGGGATTGCTTCATCTCGCCGCTCGCCCTCAAAAAATGCCCGAAGCCGTGGCAAAGTCTCCCAAGACTCCTCGACGGCTCAAGACTGGAGGCGAGCCCCTTCGTCAGGTGCAATTCCTGAGCCCAGGCAGCAACGCCGAGACCAAGCCCGCGATTTCTTCTTCTTCCACCTCCTCGGCTCCTTTTTCTTCCTCCACCACCGCTTCCAACGGCGAGAGCATCCACGTCAACACCGCAACTCCCGCGCCCGACAACCAGCCCTCGAGCTTCCCGCAACTCGGCGCCGCGCCAAACAGCTCGCTCGCCTCTGACCAGTGGCACACGTCCGTTGACCCGACCCAGAGCGTCAAGTTGCCCGGCCAGCCGTTTGCAGGAGGCTTTGCAGGAGGCTTTGCAGCGCCCGGCTTTGCACCTGGCTTCACCTGCGCGCCACCGCAGACTCACCTCGTCGGCCCCTTTTCTGCTCTGCCCCAGGCTTCTGCTGCCCCCTTCACCACCTACGTCGGATTCCCTCCTCAGCATCAGCCTCAGCATCAACCTCTGCCTCTTCAGCATCACTTCATCACCGCCGCAAGCATGGCCGACTACCAAAACGCAGCGCCAATGCCCTCTAGCGTCAACTTCCAGCCTCCGGTGCCCGACACCACGTTTGGGCCCATTCCCCACGTCTACGTGCCTCGTTTTGACGGCGGCTTCGTGCCCGCTGCTGTTCAAGTCGGTCTCCCCTCGGTACAGTTTGTTTCCGCCCCTGCTGCCTGCTCCACCACCGTCGTGATGCCAAAGACGTTTTATTATTATAACAACGGCTTCACCTACTATGCAAGTCGACCCGCAGCGCAAATTCCTCCTCTCGATGTGGCCCGTTTTTGATTACTCTGTTTTGGTCCAATCTCCAAAGAAGCTGCCTGCATCTCGAGTCTCCTTACGGACTGGACTTGGACTTTCATCCCACGTCCCGATCTGCCGTTGATTCAATAACTAGAGCAACTTATCAATATATCAAGTCATTGCTAACATTGCTCTCTTTTCTAGCAGCCAAGCGTTGCCGGCATCCCAGTCGCGCACTCCAGCTACGTTGTTGCTCAGCAGCCTGCCGTCGTCCCCCAGCCCTTCGTCGGCCAACAGCCAGTCATGATCGGCGGACAGCCAGCTGCTGCTGCCATCCCCGTTCACCAAATGCCTACTGCTGTTCCCGCCATGGGCCTGTCTGGCGTCGGCGGTATGCCCGTCTTTACAGGTAACGGTGGCCAAATCCCCGATGTGTCTGGTCTGGGCCGTACTCCTGGCGAAGAGACGGTGCGGCAGCACCAGTTTGCGCACGCAAACAAGCTGTTCGAGCCGCAGGAGTTTAAGCCGTCGGACGATGACCCATCCCGTTTCTACTATGTTCGCGAAGTTGACGGTAATTGGACTCAGCGCAACCGATTTACTATTGACCACCTGGGCGACTGTCGATGGTATGTCACCGACGAGGGCTGGTTCTACGCCGTGCGGATGCCCAATTAAAGTACATTCGGTACTTTGAGGACTTTTAGGAAAACGAATAAGAAAGACGTAAGTCCAAGTTTGCTGCCACCATTGTTCACAAAATGAGACCAGAGCAGCTCACTGGTGCTGAAACTAGGCATATTGTACATCCGTTTGCTCACCATTCCTGCGTCTACATGCCGCAATTCGATGCAGGTAAGTTGTGTCCAAGAATGTGCAATATTGACAAGAGCAATACATGTAATAACATGTAATAAGAATGCCAGGCGCGTTGTTTCTTTAGAAACAAGTTTATATATTTGGTCGTCAGGTACAACTCGATAATTTTGGTACTCATCTAACAGAGGGGAGAAGCTAATAATGCTTGCAGTAGCTATTGAGTTTGCTCCGAGGTCCACGGCAGAAGAGAACCCTATGAGAGAAAATGTTGCTGGAAACCCGGGCAGTTTTGGACCATAATAAGTTTCTGGCGTGTCAGCCATTTGAAAAGAGAACTTTAATCTTTCGTGAAGCTCTACTTGTTGTGCTTGCTTGCGCCGCCCCATACACTCTCTCACTCTACTCAGCTCTCACCTTGAACTACTTAATTATGGGCAGGCGATGTCTATCCGAGTAGCATTAATCTCAATATTCCCAATCAACAAGGCTAGACCATGCGTTTATATAAAGATTTCTGTGGGTTATCCGCCAATGCTCCGAAGCTGCATTAGCTGCGTCTTAGATTCAGATCAAGGGGTGAATCGATTTCCGATCAAGTGTCTTGTCACCTAGCAGATCTACTTCCAAGACATGGACCAAGAGATTGGATGCTGCGTCAAATCTACCCACGGCTGCTGTTTTTCTGCAGCCCGACATCTCGCCAGCCCACACTTGCTCGCTTCGACTCTCCACGTTTGGGCTCCGAAATTGCGGCATCATTGCGGCATACTTGCCCACTCAACAATGGACCCTTACGCCGCCGCCCCGATTGTGACTAGGCCTCTTTATCCACGATCCTAGCTTGCAATGGCGTTGCAGATGTCAGCCCACACACCCAAGACGCTCCGAGAGCTGTCCATTGCAGCCGTTACCCCAACTTTTTCTCCCCTTGTCAGTGTTCGAGAAAGAATGAGAAGAAACTCCGAATCCCGAGATTTGGAGCTTTGCAGCGATGAGTAATGGAGCGAGGAGGGGAATAATTGGGCGAGCAAGATTCCGGCAGCTCTGGAACCCCTCATCTGGATTTGGAGGGGGGGTCAGTTTTGCCTTGGGTTAACGATTCCGATATACTTATATGTATATTAATCAGCCCCGATTGAAGGGCTCAATCTTGCTCATTGAGCCAAGTTTACAGCTTCTGTCTGCGCTAAAGAGAAGGCCGTGAGTAGAGTACACGATTGCCTGGATGCCAGAAAAGAATAAGCTAGAAGGACGTCATTATAAATCCACTGTCGAAACGGGATAAGACGAGATCAACGCAATAATCGACCCTTTTACAACACACCCCAATCTTTTTTTTTTGTTGGAGATTGTTCTTTTTTTCTTTCCTGTTCCTTCAATACAGTAAGAAGAAATCCGTTTTTTGGAACCTTTTTTTTTCTCCGTCTTTCGTCTGTTGTACCAGGAAAACAAACATACACCCATTTCCACCGTTCTCCAAAATAGTAATCATGTCAAAAGTCTTCACGCCAGGCGCCCCGTCCCTGGAACACGACGACTCCATGATCTCGCGCAAGTTCGGCCGAGAGGTCATCAACTACTACGGCGGCGGCCTGCTCAACCGCTTCTCCTTTTTGCGCAACGACATTGGCTTCATCCGCCGCGCGGCCACGGCGCCCACGACGCAGTTCATTGCGCTGCGCGACCTCAACCCGCTGATTGCCGACCCGACGCGGCTGGCCTTTTTCGGGCACGACGACGTGCGGCCGCTGATTGGGGCCGATCCCTTTGGGCGCACCGACCAGGAGAAGCAGGACACCTTTGACTCGACGAGGCCGAGCCCGCTGCTGCTGTTCCTGGGGCTGCTGCCGAACACGGCCAAGGGCGTGGATCTGGAGACGACCAAGCATGGCGTGGTGAATGGGCAGCCGTACTTTGCGCTGGATGTCACGCCCAAGGGCCAGTATGCGGCCGAGGCCGAGACGTTTTTGAAGCAGGCGACGGACAAGGGGTATTCGGTGCAGGAGAATGTGCGGACGATGACGCTCCATCCGGAAGCAGGTGTGTTGTTTGCCTTGTTTCTTCTCAAATGAGAGACTCACCTCCATCATGCTCTTGTCTCATACAAGCATCACATCACCCACTCCCTCATATATAAATCTCACTAACACCACAACCACAGCCGCCACCCTCGCCCAGGCCCGCTCCCTCATCGACTGGAACGCCCGCAACCTGCACTGCGCCGGCTGCGGCAACCTCAACCTCTCCGTCGAGGCCGGCTACAAGCGCGTGTGCCCAACCCACGACCTCGCCGGCGGCTCCACGCCCGTCCAGCGCCCGGACTGCCCAACGCGCCACGGCATCTCCAACGTCTGCTTCCCGCGCACCGACCCGACCATGATCGCCGCCGTCGTCTCTGCCGACGCCAAGCGCGTGCTGCTCGGCCGCTCCGCCCGCTGGCCGCCCAAGTGGCACAGCACGCTCGCCGGCTTCCTCGAGCCCGGCGAGTCCATTGAGGATTCGGTGCGCCGCGAGGTCTGGGAGGAGGCCGGCGTGCGGGTCGGCCGCGTCACGATCCATTCGAGCCAGCCGTGGCCGTACCCGTCCAGCTTGATGATTGGCGCCATTGCCCAGGCGCTGCCCGACGGCGAGGACATTACCCTGCTGGACAAGGAGCTGGAGAGCGCAAAGTGGTTCACCTTTGACGAGGTGCGTGATGCGCTCCTGAATGGCACCAGCGCGCTGGGCGATCCTACGCCGGAGGGGTATACGGGGGAGCTGTGCGTGCCGCCGAAGCAGGCGATTGCGCATCAGCTGCTGCAGGCGGTGGTGGATGGCTATTTTGACCCTCTGCCCAAGATTTAGGTTATGTATAGTAGCGTCTGTTTGTAACACTTTGTATGTAGCGAGCGTTGAAGGCAATAAAGTTGGAAAGAAAGAAAGAAATGGTAGAGCTCACGACGTGTATAATCAAGTCAATGTGTTTCCCATCAAGCGGTAGTAATCTGTATACGGAAGCTTGCACAGGCAGGCATCATTCGTCACAAGTTTGTTATTGTCTCTCTCTCTCTAGCATGTCATTTCTGGAAACACAGTCCCTTCCAACACCGGCGCCGGCATCGCCTCCACAAGCCCGCGCTCATATCTCACAGCCCAGACCGCATCCGCATTGACAACCTCGAGAGCATCTCTCACCTCGTCATTTCTTTCCATGACATCGGCAAGCAGGTCCAGAATCTCATCAAACATCTCATCCTCGACTCTCACGTACGATATGATGGCTGTGAGGAGCTTCACCACTGCTTCCCATATCCTCACCGGAGAAGCATGCTGCCCGAGCCCTCCGCTGGGCTCTGTCGACTTTACAGAAATTGGCTGCACGTCAAGACCATTGCTTGATCGTATGGGAATCACAATTTGCTTCCCTGGCGTAGATTGCGGGAGACTCTTTGAAGAAGACATGTTTGAGCGGCCTCTATCTCTCGAGGCCTGCTGCTTGGTTTTGCGGCACCAGTCGCGGAGCCCGTCTCCCCACTCCGTCTTCCACCGGGTACTAAGGAAGTCTCCTGCCGCTTGGCACAGCCCAGACAAGGTTTCACATGCCTCAGTGACAATGAATGTCTCGGGGTCGTGTAGCCTAGCGATGACCACGGGCCAGATTGCATTGACAAGGGGAAGAAACGAGTCCTCGTCAGCAGCAAGGACGGATGCAGCCGTGGTGAGAAGTTCCAGTAGCGACCTTCGGAGCGTCGGTGTCGGAGACGTCAAGTAGTGTTGCGTGAGCGATGCCACTCGCTGCAGAAGCTGGTATGTAGGAGAATTTGGCGGCTTCTCTTCGTCCCTGGGAGGCTCAGCCTGCGCTTGGTCGTCTTCATTATTTCCTTGTGCCAGATCGCTCGTCCACGGAACTCCGGGGTGTCCACCTCTGGCCTCCATGTTTTCCATTTCCATTCTATCCCGCTCCTCTCTCTCTTTGCGTTTATCGAGAATCTGTAAGAGAGTTTCCAAGTCTTCCATCTTCTGTGCTTCTTTTCTGTGGTTAATGGATGATTGCTCAACGTCGGTTAAAAGTCGTCCGTCTGCCTGGGCTGCCTGGTCAACAATCTCTTTCAAGACTGAGAAAAGGCTTTCCACAAAAGACGCATATCCGTGATAATTCTCCAGGGCAGCAAACATTGACTCAACAACATCATCCAAGAACGGCACTAGACGGGGCCCCGCCAACCGCACCATCATTTTCATTACCTGCGTTGATGCGGGAGAAATGTCCAACGTATTCAGGCGTAGTGAGACGGAGTTGACCATGTAATCAACGTTGTCAATAATCAGCTCAGACACGCTGGAATACTGGCATGAGAGCGCTATACTATTCAGTGCAGCAATGGCATGCTGTTGTAGATTGCCTTCATCCGATCCCAGAAGCGTGGCGACGGGGAAGAGCACGTCGATGAGCTCTGGTCTGAATTTTTCACCAGATCTGTGTGCAGCGTACGCCATTATTTCGAGAGCAATGGCTTCCAAACGCCAATCGGCTTCTCCCGTCTCGGTGTGTGAGTCCAATACTTGGACGGAAAAGTCGTATAACTCTTCATATACCTCATTTATTTCATCTGGTTGATCGGTAAAGGCTGATAGATCAAGCAGCGCATCTGTGTGCTCAGAATGAGCATGTGCTGCCTTGACCAATTCAAAACAGAGCCAATACGCAGTCATTTGATTGAGAGCTGTTGATTCTCGAACACAGTCCAGCATATCGGCAGCAATCTTTGCATGCTGCGACATGGAGCCAACAGTTCGTAAAAGACCCATTACTTCGCTCTTTAACCTCTTTTGACCTTCATAGCCCAGTAGAATCGGTTGAAACTGCGACTGCCTCGATGTAGGCGAATCGGAAGACCCATCTTCCAACAGTAGCACATGATTGCTAACGCTAGAGTGGTGGCTTTTAGACGTGGTGACGATGGACATTATGCTTTCTCTCAAAGTGATGGCGATTGAATCATCGAGCGTAGAGGATTCAATCCTTAAGCTTCGGAGTAACTCAATCCCCTTTGACAAGTTATAGACCGCTTGCTCCTTTACTTTTTCGTCGCTTGCCTGCATAAGACGGGGGAGGCTCGACATCCAGCCGTAGACAGCCGACTTGATGGTTTCTCCCAGCTCCGGGTATATATTTACCAAATATCTCAGGTTCGTCTCCGTCATCAAGTCTTGATCGGACCCTTGGTCAAGAATCACCGATGTCTCGATGAGAATGGATGTGCAGTTTGATAGCGTAGTGTGGCATTCGTCCAGCAAAGTAATGCACAACTTCCCCAAGGCTTCACGGACTTCGGATGCCTCGTGAGTTCGTAGCTTCATCACCACTGACAAGGCAACTTGAACTTGGGCCACAGTAGCCTTGAGCCACGCAGGGCTAAGCACCTTGGATTTATCAGCGTCACTCTGGCTTTCCGTCTCCGTGGCGAGAATGGATCGGGTTCGCATATCAGATAGCACTTTTGTTAAAACCACTTGTGTAGCTCCAAGGCATTTTGCCATGACCAGCTTTTTATATCGAGTTGGCTTTGATAGGACCTTGGCAAGCGACGAGATTGTTCCTGGTAGAAAGCTGGCTAGCGCAGCGTGCTCCTTGATGGCTCCATAGAGGGCCTCCAACGTTCGCAGCGCCTCGCGCTGGATTTCTGGAGTCGCACCTTCTGATACGCCATCTAAGATGACTGTAATTCCATGACCCAGCACTGGTATCGACTCGGGCTCAGAGAGCCCTGCTGCGGCCACAAGGGATGACCCTGCGGTAGTAAGCAGTGCGGTTTCGGCACGGAACGCCTCGAGCACCGTTTCTTCGGGCACATCTCTCTTTGCAGATCCCGGAACGCCATCGATGATGAATATGAGGAAACTGAACAGCTGCTGCACGAGCTTGGCGGATATCTTGGATTTCCAGCCGTGGACAATGAGAATAGTCAAGCATCTGACGCAGTCTTCCACCAGACTCATGGGGTATCGTTCCAAATGGCGAAAAATGTGAGACAGCGGAAAGGAGACGTATTCTGCTAGTTTTTCATCAAGGGCCAGGGGATCCGTCCTGATCTGCTCATTTAAGATGTCGAGGATCTGCTTGACAAGCTCCTGCAGCTCTCGATGGCTTTTCGGGTCTTCAGGCTCCCGGATTGCCAGCTGGCTTGCTTTAACACAGCATGGCTTCAGCTACATTGTATTAGGCCTAGATATCGTCGATAATATGCAGAGCAACTCACCTTCTGAAACAGCACGTTTCGTTCTTTTGCGGCTGGAGTTGTCTCCATGGTCCACTAAACAGCAAAGCTTTTCGAGCAGCTACCTGCACATGGTCTCTTGTCGCCCTGTTTGTGCAGCTACAGATACTGAAAATAAGAAAAGGTGTTTTGAAGCTCTGTATACTCAGCGATTTCAATCTTCGCTAGAGCCTTCAGCTGGTTTTGCCAGAGCGTGGCCGGGAGCAGACCAAGAACAGGCTATGAAGTGAGGCTTGCCAACAGTACAGTGTATAAATCGTTCGTATACAGTATTTGCCACTCTAAGCTGCCTAAGCCCTACGCAAGGCGGACGCTAACGAGGTGGGATTAGCAGAGGCTGGGCGAAGCATCGTACATGCTCTACTTGCTGCAGCTGCTAATTGCTCATTTCGATACTGTGCCCAGGCCTCTGGTCCATCTTTGAGCTCTTGCAAATGCTATCGCAGCTCTGACACCTAAAATCTAAAATCCCCGCCAAAAGCTCCCCCACTATGGCAAGCTCTACGTAATTGTTGCCCCTCATCACGTTGAAAGTTAAATGCAGAGCTGCCTTGCATATATAGAGTAGACACTGGAATAGACCAAATCCTCTAATTTGCCCATTTCCCAATTCGAGTCTCCCATCTGCCATACTAGGACATCCAAACAACATGGCGTCTGAAGGCCCTTTTCCCCTTTTAGCTCATCCTTTCCGGTCCCCGGCTCGAGGCGCCGTCGCCTACGAGATGGGAAATACATCAGCCAAGAATGCGCTCGTCTTTATTGGAGGCCTGAAAGACGGCCCTCATTCGACGCCGTATATTCGGACTGTTGCCAGACGCCTGGAAAAGACTCCGGAGCTGGGCTACTCTGTGTTTGAAGCACGAATCAGAAGCTCGTTTGATGGTTTCGGGACCTCAACCCTGGCGCACGATGTTCAAGATATATCTGCACTTGTCAAGTATCTTCGCTCCATTGGTCGGGACAAGATCATTCTATTCGGCCACTCAACCGGATGCCAGGTATTGTTTTCCATCATCATCGATCCGGAAATAGAAACTGACAATTAGTAGGATTGTATGGAGTATACAAAATACGCAAAATATGCCAACGAACCCGTAGATGGCTTCGTTCTGCAAGCGCCTGTCTCAGACAGGGAGTCTCTGGATACCTTCATTCCAAATTGGCACTCCAAGCTCGACTATGCTGATAAAATGATTGCCGAGGGCAAAGGTGGCGACTGCTTGCCTGCTGAGCAGTCGATTGCCATGCTGAACGCGCCGATATCCGCCAACAGGTTCCACGACCTGTTTGCCAAAGGGTATGTTGGCCACCTGTCAGACCGGCAGAGTAATCCAGGCTAATTAACCTTGACAGCGGCGCCGATGATTACTTTTCTTCCGATCTTGATCCCGAAACAGTAGCAGGCTTTTGGGGCCGGTTCAACAAACCTGTGCTTGTACTACACTCGGAAAAGGACGAGTTTGTGCCGGCAACGGTTGATCAAGCTGCGTTGAACAAGAAGTATCAGGCCGCGAGCTCGTTTGTGAGCCCATTGTCTGGCCTCATTCCCGGAACGGGTCACACTGTCTTGCAAGAAGAAGCTCGAGAGTGGCTAGCGGGAAGAACTGTAGAGTTTCTTCGCACCATTACTTAAGCCTGGCTTACTTTATCCACCGCGAGAATGACTTACACAAGGAGGGAAATGGTGGATATTTACCACAAGGGAGACCAGGTGGCACCTTTGTCTCACACATTGTGGTTGTACCACTAGCACATAGCATCTAAATCCTCAATTGTCTGCCAGCAACTATGATGTTGGGTCGACTGCACAGTAGAATCAATCATGCAGCGTACGACATAATCACAGCCATGACAAATATACTACTTTGTCCAGGAGACAAGAAGAAAAAAAATTAATTCAAATCGCCGTAATACAAAGCCCCTCCAGGGTAAGCGGCCATCCACGGAAATCGGTCGATAGACATCCGATACCGCCGATTGGGGTGATGGGTATATCGGATTTAGACCCGGTATCGTATCCCCAGCGCTCTGCTTGTTTAAGCAAGTGGTCTGGCCTGTGAGCACTGCTGCAATGCACGCCGTACGGGGTAATAGAGGTAATAGAGGCCCTCTAATTCGTCATCGGCGCTGTGCCTGGTAGCAGCTGGGGCTCTGTGGGACGTTTAGCGGCCCCTTTAGCGGCCTTGTGGCGGTACCTGCTGAAAAGACCTGCGCCGGCTGACAAAGCACCGCCAGAAGCCTCTGTAGTTCGGCGCGCACAGGTCTCCACAGCCAAATCCAGTGGGTATCATTCGTTTCCGTTCAATCTCGGCCGCTCGCTGGGCAGCCTCTTTTTTTCTTCTTCTCTGAGCTCACGGCTTTTGCTCTTCGTCCACTGCTACCTCATCGATTTTTATCGCCAGGTCTTGCATCGGCTGAGCCTCCGTCACCCGCCAAAACAAATCCCTTGCGCCGCGCCGACGCATTGGACTTTTTTTTGCCGTGTCGGAACCCCTTGCGTCACTGACCGACTAACAGCAGCTTCGACATCATCGTTGCGCCTTCGCCTCACTACCGATAGGCCGACGTCGAGCATGCGGTAACAACTTCGCACGCACGTTTGAACAAGTTAAGAGCTGGATCGCAATCATGGATCCGTACAGCGAGCAAAAGGTGCTGCTGCACACCGGCTCGTTCACCGGTTACCGACCACACAGGGAGCTGGGCAGCAACTATCTCGCCGCCAACGCCTCTTGCAACAACTTCTGCGGCAATGAAGAGGGATGGGGCCCCCTGAGTCCGTTCCGATACGACTTCACGCCGTGCTTCGTCGACGTCTGGATCGCTGCTGTCTCCGTATATGGAATCCTCTTTGGCGCCATCGCCATCTGGTGGCTGAAGAAGAAGAAGCAGGAGTTGCCGACGTCTAAGAATGCGCATTTCTGGATTAAACAGGTAGGCTATAGCCTGTGGAAGTGTTGTTTTGTTTGGGAGAGTGTGGCTAACGCATCTAATTCTGATTAGACCTTACTCGGAGCCATCATTGCCGACGTCATCGTTCAATTCGCTTTCCAAATCGTTAGCTATGGAAGCATCTGGTTTCGCGACTTCCGAGCCTGGACTACAGTTGCCCTCGCCTTGTCCTTATTCGTCATCTTTACAATCCAATGGCTGGAACATTCACGCTTGAGAAACGCAAACGGGGTTGTGCTATTCTACTGGCTGCTGCTCATCATCTCATTCGCGGTGAAGCAGCGCTCCTTGGTGTCGCAGCAGCTCTATGCCAAGAGCCTTCCGTATTTCATCACCTACACTGTCGGGGTCGGCCTCACCGTGGCCGAGTTTTTGGTCGAGTGGCTGTGGCCCCGTTCGCTGGATAACGGATATGAAGCCATTCTCGACGAAGAGGAGTGCCCTCAAGACTACGCCACCGTCTTCTCCAAGCTCACCTTCTCGTGGATGACACCACTGATGAGACGCGGTTACAAGATCTTCTTGACCGAAAACGATCTCTGGGGGCTCGCTCGAGCTGACCAGACCAGGAACACGGGCGTGGCTCTCGAAGAAGCGTGGAAGTACGAGCTCAAGCACCGACCCAACTCACCGTCACTTTGGCTGGCCCTATTCCGAGCCTACGGAGGCCCCTACGTCACGGCCGCTTTCTTCAAGGCTGGAAATGATGTTGCACAGTACATCCAGCCGCAGCTCCTTCGTCTTCTCATTGCGTTCGTCGCGTCTTATAACCTTGGAGAGACTCCCCAGCCCATCATTCAGGGCGCTTCTATTGCGCTTGCCATGTTTGCTTGTGCCGTCTTCCAAACCACAATGGTTCACCAATATTTCCAACTTGCTTTTGAAACTGGTATGCGTATCAAGGGTGGTCTGGCCTCGACAATTTATCGAAAGTCGTTGCGACTGTCCAACGAGGGACGATCATCCAAGTCTACTGGTGACATTGTCAACTACATGGCAGTCGATGCCCAACGTCTCCAAGATCTCACTCAGTTTGCCCAGCAAGCCTGGTCGGCGCCATTCCAAATTGCCATCTGCATGGTTTCCTTGTATAACCTTGTTGGATGGTCTATGATGGCAGGTGTCGTCGTCATGATCATCATGATGCCCGTGCAAGGCTTCGTCGCCCGAATGATGAGAAACCTGCAAAAGGATCAGATGAAGAACAAGGATGCCAGAAGTCGATTGATCAACGAAATCATCAACAACATGAAGAGTATCAAGCTCTATGCCTGGGGCTCTGCCTTTATGGCTAAGCTGAACTTTGTCCGAAACGAGCAAGAGTTGAAGAATCTTCGCAGGATTGGCGCGACCCAAGCTGTGGCCAACTTCACCTGGAACACGGCGCCCTTCTTCGTCTCCTGCTCCACCTTTACCGTTTTCGTTCTCACCCAGGATCGCCCTCTGACTACGGATATTGTCTTCCCTGCTCTCGCCCTGTTCAACCTCCTGACCTTCCCTCTGGCTGTGCTTCCCATGGTCATCACCTCCATCGTGGAGGCTTCCGTTGCTGTTGGCCGTCTCACCGCCTTCCTCACCGCCGAAGAGCTACAGGCAGATGCCGTTACTGTTAGAGAATCCCCCCAGGAAATGGGCGAGGAAACCGTTCTCATCCGAGATGGTACCTTCTCTTGGAACCGCCACGAAGATAAGAATGCGCTGACAGACATCAACTTCACTGCCTACAAGGGAGAGCTATCATGCGTTGTCGGCCGAGTTGGAGCCGGCAAGTCCTCGTTCTTGCAAAGTGTTCTTGGTGGTTTATACAAGGTAAAGGGCTCCGCAGAAGTTAGGGGAACTATTGCATATGGCTCTCAACAATGCTGGGTTCTCAATGCCACCGTCAAGGAAAACATTGTCTTTGGATATAAATGGGACCCCGAGTTTTACGAAAAGACCATCAAGGCTTGTGCTCTGATTGATGATTTTGCACAACTCCCTGACGGCGATGAGACTGTCGTGGGTGAGCGAGGTATTTCTCTTAGCGGTGGCCAAAGAGCTCGTGTCTCGTTGGCTCGCGCTGTCTATGCCAGAGC